AATAATTCAAAATCTTAGTAGTTAAAAAATAATTACATCAAATTACAATTTTTTATAAATTAAATTTCTTATGATTTTAATCCAATTGTGAATGTAAAAATAGCAACGAATAACGCTATATATTAAAACAATTACACGTTTATGAAATTTTTTTGTTTCAACAAAACAACAATCACATTTTACAAGGATATCTAATGTAAATTCATAGTCTGCGTGCATAAAACAAGAGAGATAAGAAGTCAGTACTGTTTCGTTTTCGGAGTTCGTAAATTCAATTCCCTTAGTTATTACAAACCATTTCGCTCTTTGTACTAGAAAATCCCAAGAGACAACAACGATATATCCGAGCACGGAAGTTTATTAATTACACCCGTGAGTGCAGCGACTTGTAATAATTAATAAACGTACAAATTACGCAAAATTATGCAACATTTATTCTGATATTGTTAACAATATCGCAATAAATGTTGGTTTATTCACAAACTTATTATACAACAATTATGTGACAATTATGTGACATACAATAATATGTCATGTCGCATATCACAGCAAATAACTAAAAGCTCATTCAATATGGAAGATGCTAATAATTTACGGTAAAGTTATGTATGAATAATGTAATCTTAAGTTTGTTTGAACTTCAAATTCACTATACACGTAAAATTTTTAATTAAAATTTAGTGATTATAATACTCTCAAGTAATATTTTCGTGTTAACTGACAATTACGAATAATATATTACACTTCAAAGATTTTACGCAAAACAGTATTGCTACGGAAAATGTATAAATAAATTGAAAATTACGAATCAAGCGTGATTAATTTAATTAATTAATTAATTTTGGTAGGAGAAAAACAATATAAAAATAAATAAAAAATATTAGATAATATAAAAATAAATTAAAAATATTCATAGAAAATTATACTGCACTGATATCAAACCTGCGACAAAGATTGGATCTAATTGTAACATTGAATCTCTACGAAACTCGTTTATACAGAAAAATATTTTGAAAATATTGTGTTACGAATCCTATTCTATCGCGATATGCACTATAATTCACATCAAATATCATCGTCTGGAAACAAATTGTGTGAATAAAAACGAGCTAATCGTTACACGTGCATATGTATCTTGAGAGCATCTACACGAGATTTATCTCTATATGAAAATCGCATTAAGTTTTCCGCGACAACAAATAAAACTTTCACTTAAATCGTGATCGCGAAACAATATAGATTGAAAGTCTATCACGAAAAATCGCATTAACCGTACCGTTGTAATAGGATAGATACGCTGTCGCAGAATTGCTGCTCTTCGGATATATCCAAATCCCGTTACGTTTTAACGGATAGCAACGATTTCGACCGTGGAAGTGAAAAAATAATCGCGCTGCAAAATAATTTTGTTGAATAAGATATAATCGTATTTCTATATAATCATCTACTATAGAGAAGATATGTAATCCTCGTCGCGCATTTATAAAATTAGTTAAGCTGAATTAATATTAATGAATAATGACATGATAGCTATCGCTGTATCTCGTTGTAATAGCCGCTAAAATTTACATTCTCAAAGAGAAATGTGCTTTCAAAAAAGTAGCAAGCGTGAATTAAAAACGTAAAAAACAATTGTGCACTTGTCCATTTCATGTTTCCAAGATTGAATATAACTTAACACATTCGCGACAACTTGAATGCGAAATACGATTGCAATTTGCATTATTTAAATGAGACGGAACGTTTTTGAAATTAATATCCGTAAAATGTAATGTCACAAATACGCGTCAAGACTACATCATAGCGAAACAAAAATTCCTCCCGTCCAGAGCATTTCACAAAACACATTTATCATTGCTGTAGATATTAATAAATAATTATTATAAATTCATAATAGAAAGTAGAGAATATATTTTTATTCTGCATAAACAATTTCTAAAACATATTTGGGATTTTTATTTGTTTCACTAATTTGTAATTATCTTAACGAGAATCAAAATTCTTTCATTACATGATGCCCGTAAAATTAATTTGTACAGCAAAAAAATCGAATAAAATTCAAAAATAAAGTGCCACAATAGTATTTGGATTCGGATGAATGCGGATGATATCGGCGGCAATGTACAATTATATTTTATTCGTGCGCTAGTTTGCGTCACTGGTATGATTATTACATATCAAATTTTCATAAAATGGCTTTGAGAAGCTATGCAAGAACAAAAGAGCTGTATGATAATCTTTATTCAACTGAAATCCCGCAAAAAAGACGATTTGAATACTTAACAATGATACAAGAATGTTACATTTATACTTGCAAATAGAAATTTCCATGATAATAATGGAATATACATATATACACACACACATATATATTATACAGATACTACGTTATATTTTTATTTAAAACTGGTATGATTAACGACTATGTGATAATTAAATATAATGTTTATTTTTTTTTAAGATCGCAGTAGCTATTTGATTCTTGTGCTGCATAAATTTAATATTGCAATCGTTATTCATAGAAATTTTATCAAAATTAATTGAATGTAAATATAATGATAGTAGAATATATAGTTCTCTAGTGCAAATTAAAAATTTCGCGTATTACAGTTACGGAAAAGTAACAAAATAAAAAAACTTGGAAATACAAAACAGGTCATCCAAATTGAAATTCAGATTAGAAAAGTTGCGATCCATAGAAATTGAGACATATTGAATTTCTGGTGTATTGCGAAATGGCAATGCGTGTAACTTTATCAGGACAGTTTTAAACAAATTCAGTGCGCGAACCGCTCTTCATTCCTAGAAATCTAATTGACTTTTTCCAGTGAGACAACACATTTTTTATTTGCTTGTTTTATGAAACAAATAATTCAAAACCATATGCTTTTACAGAAACGATCGTCGAGCGAATGTATCATGTTAACCAAAAATATTTTGCGTTTGGGAGAAGAAAACATTTTCAATATCCTACACGATTATTTCACGTACGATCACGACTTGTTTTTAATGATAAATTCAACGGATGAATAGAATTTTTTGAAGTGATATTTCAAACAAAACCGCAAAAATGTATAACATATTTTTGCAAGTGTAAAAATATTTGCAATGCAGATATAGTAGATTGGCATTAAAGAGAAAAGGACAAGAGAAACAGATAAATAATTGGCAGTGCATTTAAATGCAATGTAAATTATAGTATATGTTTTGCGTGATATATTTTCTTTTGTGAAAATCACACAATATCGGCAAAATAACAGGTCGATGTTTGGCAATGTTATTAAATCCATATGGTCCTCTGCATTTGAATTATTCGAGATATTTATTGTTTCATAAATTTGTATGCGCATTGCAATTACAATGTTATATGAAAAAGAAAATGTAATCATACAACTTCATATAACCGAAAATATCTATTGTTTATCGAACGGTCATATTCATATTTTAACGCATATATTTGCATTTTCAGCATGTAAAATTTTCTATAAAATGACAGCATCGAAGGTACTGTATTAATGAATAGTTAAAAGTAAGTCACGTAACTATTTGCAGATTCCGATAATAATAAATACATCATGTAATATTCAGCAAATAAAAATCTCGAAAATCAATAATTTCTCTATTTCTGTTTCGCCGGACATTTCGTCTCATCTTTTAAAAACAGTGTTCATCGATTTCCATTAATTTCAACTCGTTTAACTAATTCTACCATGTCCTGTTCCAAAACTGTAATTAGGAAATGACAAACGACGGGAGTTAAACCGCGGTTAAAGTTAATAATGAACGTAAGAGGAACCCGTTTTCTCATTCTCCGGGATTTTCTACACAGGAAACGTAAATCCTAATCCAGAGGTTCGTTCGACGAAGAAGACGTGTATTCTCGTTAGAAAGCATTCGCGATCCTGTATGACGGCGATGACACGTGTGATTTAGTGGGAAAAGTTGCGGCACGAGAAGTGAATCGGCATCTCACCTTTCTCCGCTAAACTCTCCATCGAACGATTGTGGAAGTCACGAAGAAAATGCGCTAAATAATAATAATGATCGGTTTCGTCCGGGATTCTACCGAGTGTGTTCGGTCCCACCTTGCTGTAGATTGCGCCGAGTAGCGGTATGCAGGACAGTAGGTCGGCCTTCTCTTCTTTCCTCATCTCTTTTCTCTGCATCCTGCTATCTCCATCCCGCTGTCTCCCTCGGAAGACAGATCAGGTCTTTTCTCAAATGGCTGTTCGCGACTGACTGTCTTTTCCTCCTTCTCTTCGCGCTTCGAGGAAAAGCCGCGTAATCCAGAGCTCGTTAAAGCTCGTTGCTTTGTAAAAGATCTCGTACAACAGGTGAATCGACAATGCTATATCGAAATTTTTCCTCTAAATTGCAACCTTCGTGGCATTAACGAGGATATTACGCGAGGAAGAACAGAAGGAGCGTCTTCTCTTATCATCTCGATGAACGGCCGCTTTGTGCTTCGTATTCGAAGTCATTTGTCTCCCGCAGCCGTTTCTTCCATCATCTTCCGCTTCCCTTGATTGCTCGAGGCGTTTATATCTATGGTATTTATACTTTTTATACCCCATGTGTTGATGCGAATACCGTCATAGAACAGATGGCTTTTTGCTCATCCTCTTCGCCTAGAGTACTCATCACTTTACGTCTTCTCTTTCACTCTTCCTATCGCTTTCTTCCTCGCTCGCGCACTCATTCACGCAGAACTTGATGATCGTTTTTCGCTTGGTGTCTCTCTTTCCTATCTCCTTCCTCTTCTTCCGCTCTTTTTTTTCCAATCATTTCTCCCCTCATTTTGCTCTCTGTCTCAATCCCCGTTCCTCTTTATCCCACGTGTTCCAGGATGAGAATCGTTCGCGAGAGAAAGAGAGAGAGAGAGAGACAGAGAGTGATCCTCCACTCTTCTTCCACCACCAACCTTCCGAACCGGGATCTCACGTATTCCCGAAGACGAACGGCAACTTCGTTACTCGCATTCACGACCGACATGTCGTGTCATTCGAAATTCGCCAGCAAAAACACGCATCGCCGCCACAAGCTCGGTGGTCCTAGATAAGCACGAGCGAATTCGATCGCGCGTTACGAGTTCGCGATACTGTGAACGTGTTCACGGTGAAGTTTCCGAATCGCGAGACAACTAAAATCATTCGACAGTTATATAAGATGATTCTTCGCGCGGATTGACTATCGAAAGGAAGTTTGTTCGCAGTGTGGATATTCCGGATCTAAGGATCAGGATGTACTCCATTGTTACCAGACTCTTGTAAGTCTTCAATTAACATAATTGAATCTCTTATGGGACGTTTATGTATACGAATAAAAATTGAACAGAAAATGAATCAGAAATCTCAATATTTCGGATAAATTGTGAGTTTTCAATGTGAGATAATCACATTAAAATTCAATCAGTTTTTTCATTTTTTAAATTATATAATACTTTTATGTAACTTATGTATATGTAAATAAATTATAAATGATTGCACTGTATATTATATATATATATATATATATATATATATATATATATATAATGTATTTAAAAAATTACATGTATAGTGTCGAGTACTATATGCATTCAAAATTTTTTAATGGAAATATCACAATGAGAAATTTTTTAAATAGATAAAGACTCAAAACTTTAATCTACTCATATATTTTCATAGTTCATAATTTAAAAGTATATTATCTGATGTTATAAAATTAATTTAAGAGTGAAAATAAATACACATAATTGATATAATGAACCTATTATATTATTTATAATCGTGTCTTGAAATTCCTTTTAGAAAATTAGCTTAATTAAAACGCCATTTAATTAACATTTTTTAATTAAAATTTATGTTTTGTTTCGCGAGGTGGTAAATTCCATAATAAATTTGATAATTATCTTCAATTAACTTTATATTTTTTTCGATATTTTTATTAAATGCAGCATGAATTATATTAAAATTTATTATAGTATCACATTTTCGAAAATTAATTCAGCTAATAATAATTAAAAAATTGCGAGAACCGTAGTAAAACGACGAATTCTGTGCACATAAGCGTAATTAAAGTAATTAAAAAAAATTGTTACTATATGCAATTATAGTACAACCAAACTCGTATTCTTTGATATAATAAATTACGAAAAAAATGTTTCATTAAATATATTAAATACTCTACTATTAAAAAAACTGACGTGTTAATCACTCACCAATTATCTCAGATATTTAAAATTTAAACGAAATACATCAAAAATATATATTATATCACACAATAACATTTTTTAATGCAGAAACTTTACAATTGACTTTAGATACAATAGCTGTTCAAATCGATGCATGTTTTTGCTTTCACCGTTTATTCACTAAGCGATGCTATAATATTATTCCGAATTATTCATTGCAGATATTCATTTTTCTATTTCCGTCCCGTTTTTTCTCTCTCTCTCTCTCTCTCTCTCTCTTTCTCGCAAAATCTTTCAATATCTTTCTCTCGTCCGTGAACTTTATCATACCATAAAAGGCACATGTTTCCAGCAAAGGTATATATACTGAAATTTGCTAGGTATCTGCGATGCACCGGCGAGATTATACACCGCAGTTCCGAGATCCGATGCATCATGCATGGACCATTTCTGTCGCTATAGAGTGTCGCCTCGCTAACGGCAAATATTTTATTCTACTAGAATGCGCGCACGTGTACAAAGTATACAAGAAGACTTTTGCAGAAGAAAAATGGATACTCCTTCCATTTTTGATAACTTCTATTTGAATTTACTTTTCTCTTTTCACCTTCTTGTTTTACATGTGCATATACATACAGCGTGCGCTTTTAAGGAAATCGAAGATCATACATCTTAAGATATTAATGTCAAAGTTTTCCGAATCGCTTTTTTCATGTCGATTATTTCTATATAAAAAATGTCTAGAAAATTTATAATTATAAAAATAAACTAAAAATAAATAAGGACAAAAACTCAATTTTATTCGTGTGAACAACTAATAGAACTTTTGTTCCTTAATTTTTTTAGATTTGTTTTAATACTATTTCAATGTAATATTTAATTATAAAATTAACATAGAAATATATATCTATATATGATACATAAATATAGATAAAATTTTCGTTTGAAATTCGCCAAGTTATTAGTCGCTAAAATGTTTTCAATAGCTCAGAGACACACCCTGGATATACAGTGGAATTTTGCTGTGCCGGAGAGCTTCGGCACTTATTTCACGCGAGATATATTACAAATTTATGCAAATCCCTCGACACATTCATATTCCCACGTGGATTGCATCGCAGAGAGCGCGTAAAAATATTTCGCCGGGACGCATCGAGAAAGAACGCGACTCACAGTGAATAATTCTGTCCGCAGGTCCAGCTTGTCTCGCGAAAAAGTGGGCCGGTCTGCCCGGAGGCTGTAGGCCAGTTCGTGTTTCGTATTCGAGGACCATCCAGGCAGAAAGAAATTTGTGAAAGAAAGAGACGCGGAAAAACAGAGACGAGCGAGAAAGAAGGATGCGTAATACGCTATAGAGGGACGAAAAGAAAGCCAAAAAATCGTTAATCGACTTCGGGCATTCTTGAGCTGAAGAGTGAGGATCGTCGAGAGATCGATCAACGATCGACGCGGGCCACGGAGATAATTGCATGATGATAATGAGACTGGCTTAGCACTAACGATAGAAGATCGAAGGAATTGAGGTTCAACAAGTGAAGAAACCAGATCGAGAGCGATGCGGTGAGTACAAAAGCGAATCAACAATGAAATGTTTCTGCCGGCTGTTTCTGAGCGGAGAATTGCGAAAAAGAGCCCATGTGGGAGAGAATAGCGGTTAGAAAATTAGACGACGAGGTCTGCCTCGAGGCAGCTTACGTTTCTGCCAGAGACCAGACGTGTGGAAAATCGTGAGGGAGAGAAAGGAAGGGCTAACCTCGTCAAGGACAAAGTGAAGTCAAAGCGAAGAAAAACGAGGGGTCGAGCGAGAGTAATCAGCACGCGTCGCTCTAATGGATACGATTATAAAAAAAGAGTCGATTTTTAAACTTTATCGTTAGGAAGATATTCAACTTGTGTGTGCATTACAAAGTACGAAATAGAAAAAAAATTGAAATTATTTCAATAACATAATTTTGATATAACTTACGTACGCTTTAGATAGAAATTTTACCAATAAAAATAGAAAACAGATGGAAGAGTGAAAAAACTAAATTGATTAAACACATGCTTATTAATTTCACCTGCGAGCTACGCGAATAGAATACAAATAAATTAAAGAATAATATTGACGAAAAAACATCAAAGTATTGAGTCCAACGAGAATAGCATTAATGGATAAATTAGTAGGGAAATTTATTTAAGTAAAAATCAATCATATACAAAATACAATTGAAAAACGTGTTCTCGCAAAGAAAGCAAATAAATTAATTTGGAAGTCATTGTCTTGTTGAAAAATCTGGAAAATACGAAAAAGTCTGAAATTTTAATTAAAATTGAATCAATCGCGATATTACATACACGCCTAATTTTTCTCTCCTAAAATATTTATTTATTTAGGTTTATAAAAATCACCGTACTGCTTACCGGATCTCAAAAGCCGAAAAAAATCACAAAACATTCGAAATCGATTTGATTGACGAAATCCCGCGATTGTGAAAACATCTAAGTGCACATAAAGCAATAAAGAGCCGACGACGAGAGCCATCATCGGGACACACTCGCCCTCGAGTATGCTGTAAAAAGTATCAATTTGTAAGAGGTGGGACGGCGACCCAGAGTTCACGAAGACGCGTGGCTGACGGGTCAAAGATCGCATCGAGAACAGAGAGAAAGGATCGTGAAAGTCTCGAAATAGCGGTGAAAGAAAAGTCGACCCGTGAAGTAAACGTGCCTTGAATGGACTGTCCCAAAGAGCCGAGAAAAAGATCGCAAGGGTGATTCTCGAGTGACATTTTTAACCTTCGTTTCCGCGAGAGAAATAAATATAAATACAGATTTCGGGCGCCTATCGAAAAGGATAGAGTTAAAAAAATAAGACGGCGAAGAGTGGACGAAGATGAGCAGGCAAAGCGTATCATCACCTTCAGGCATCAATTCCTGCGAAAGGATCAGGCCGGAGCGACCCAGAAATACGATACAGAAACTCGTATGGGGTCCCGGTTCGCAGTTCCAGGTCGGCCATATCGGCATCCCGGAGGATGAGGGCTCAAATCCGCGGATGGCATTGAGAAGGTACGTAGACTTTACGTAGAAAGTTATTAAAATCGCTCGAGTCGGGTCACTGAGGCCTATATATAGTATTTTAAAGACTGCATTTTTTGGACGTGTAACAAAATCCGTATATTATCTGAAAAAACAGGTATATCCATTTCATATATTCATATATCTTGTAAAAAAATCTGAGCGATTAAAATTTCATTAATAAAAAACACATACAAAATTCATATACGGAATACGGATTTATATACGGACGTCGTTAAAACTTTGCTAAAAATTTGTTCATATAAAAAAATGGTATCAGGATAAGAGAAAAAGTTTAAGAGTTGCGTTTAAAATTCAGTAGAAATTTTTTGCGTTTCTAATTAATCGCGGCTGATTAATTACACAACTTTGATAAGAACAAGTCTTCAAAAGCCATCAAAAAATTTTTCACGTTTCTAGCCCTTTAGTTGGATAATAAGCATACTGTACCAACTAATTATACATAGGGCAGTACAAAGGCATTGCAATTATAAAGCACGAGATGCTTTTATGCACAGAAAGAATTATAACAAAGGATTTTGCGAAGCAGTAACTTATAATTACAATTCGCTCGGCTACGTAAATATGTTGAAGTAACGTGCCGCTCTGCCTGCATGTAACTATAACAGTCTCTTGCATTATCGAATCACATTGTGTCTTCCTCTCTCGCGAGTCAAGAATCAGAGATAATTACCATCATATCCGTCAGGTAGACAGTCGCGACGTCTAATAGGTTTATTTAATCTCCCTATGCGCGCGTCGCGCATCAATAGAACCGTGAAAGAGGAAAGGAGTAACGTGACAATCAATTATACAAAGACGACCGATCGATAAAACGTATATACGGAAATTACGTGATGCAAAAAGCAACCGTGATTCACGTCTAATAAGAGGAGTAGATCCGCGAGTTTGCGGATATCCGCGCGATAAATCCGCTTAACATCGTTTCCTAATAACAGGAATAATTCGCGCAATAATTAATCGCCGAGAGACTTATTTGTCTGCGAGGTCTGAGATAAATTAATCCATCCCCGTCGTGACTTTTTAATAACGGTAATTCGTGATTATACAAGTTGTTGTGTTTACGTAAGACTAACGAGATAATTAGCACCGACAGTAGTTTCAAGTACAGCTCGTTAATCCATAATCACGTTATTATGTGTTAAATATAAAACTATGATTATTATATAAAAATATATAATAATTAAATATTTTCTTATTTATTTTGTTAATTGCTTTAAAATTTTTTTATTTTTTATGTAAGAAAATTCACAAGTTTTTTCAAGCACATTTAATCAACTTCTAGCAAGAGGGCGTATAGTAGTGTGTGATTAATTTTTATATATTGATACTTTTAAATTTTCATGTAAATATTTGCAAATTATTACAACTTTAATTCTGATTCAATATATGAAACATGTATCTTACATTATATATATTTCAACATTGCATATTAATTAAAATTAAAATTTTATCTCTCTGTTTGTATATATATATCTAATCTACTTTTTATATAACAAACTTCACAAACTTTTTTCAAGCGCGATAATCAAGAGAGTGCGTATTACAATGAGATTACTTTTCATATTAATATCCTTACCATGTTTGAAGATCACGTTGCTACAACTTTAATTTCGATTCACTCTATGTAAAACTGATATATTTATATTTCCGGAAATATATATTCAGATATTCAAATTATACATATATTATCAGATAGAATATAATTTGATTTTCAAATCTCGCTTCTGAATTATATTCTCATAAGTAGGTGCAATGTGATATCAATTGTGAAAGAGAATTATGTATGTATTTTCGATTAAAGATGAGTTAACTTAGAATATCAATAATCATAATCTACCAATAATCATAAATCTAAACTATTATTGTCAGTGAATTATTAGCATACATGCCGATACCAGTATTTCCACAGAATCTACGTAAATTCATTGCACAATTAGCAATTCTACATTACCTTCACTACATTCAACAACCACTATCCCATGTCGTACGATGATTTATAGCTCGTATTGTTCCCTCAATATCTTCGTAATATGTTCGACAACGACAATTTCGATGGACCGAATTTATCTTTTAATCTATATTTTTATCACATTTTGCTACATGTTCTGTACGTAGACGTATTCTGTTTAAAATGCAACATGAAAATCTGATAATACATGATATAAGCGGAAATTAAATTAATAAATGTGTCATAAAAATACGATCTATTAATTATAAATTTTTTGTTGCTATATACATTGAATAAACATAAACATCATTTTCGTCTAGATATATAATTAAGATTAATGAGTTTGGGTCGCAAAGTTAAATCTTGATTCTATATTGTCTTAACACTGTTCTAGTTTGTATAACGTAAAGTTCCGCCAACAGACTGTCGCACACATACTAACAGAATTCGGCTACGTCCCTTCTTTCAGACTGCTAAGATTGTACGAGGGAAGACAATACAGAGAAGCGGCCGGCTTTCTGATGAAACTGCCGCATTACACTCTGAAGGCAGCCTTGACGGATATTCCGGTGGACCTGTTGATCGAGACGCTACCGCACAGCCTCATCTTGCTGGAGGCGCTCTATTCTCGGCTGGTGGAACTGAACGTCAGCGACACGAAAATCTTGCGAATCGAGCAAGTCCTCTGGAGGATAGTGCATCTGATATCGACCAGTCAGGATCATGTCCGACCGCGGATCTGGTGCAAACTTCTCGTATCCTTGAATAGATTATCACCCAACACAAAGAACGTACTGATATCGAGGAGACGCGGCCTGGAGAGAGCCGTTGAAGGACTCGGCAAGCACGGACTGGTGCCCTCTTCGCAAACAAACAACTCCGAGAACTCCGTTACACCGAATCTGGTACCTTTGCCGATTGCATTGAAAGAGGAACTCGAAACGCGAATGGAGACTTATAAATTAGCGTTGCACAAGATGGAGAATTTTGGCAAGCACGCCGGAACTCATAAAGGTATGTAAAGATTCCGATTTTATTGTTAACGCGAAGATCGCACGTCGCAAATACTTCTCTATGTATAGTAATCTCTTGTAACGTTATATTTGTAAATTTGTAAATATTCAAATTACATCGTCTTGATTTTTGAAAGTTTCACACGGAAAAAAATTAGCTACCGCATAGCTAAATTTTAGGTGTCCATATATTACACGTGAAATTTAGTTAGCATGTCTAAACTTTAGCCTATGATAGCTAATATTTTTTAGCTATAACATTCTCCGTTAAAGTAAGACTAAAGAATATTTTTTACCATAGTTAAAATTTAGGCATGATAATTAAATTTCAAGTTATAATATATGGACAGTTAACATTTAGCTATAGTAGCTAATTCGCTTTTTTCCGTGCGCAAATTGACATGACATAGTATTATCGATATATAAATTGCATGGCAATATATCGTAAATCAAAGTGCGTAATTATTAAAAGTAGTAAAGATAAATGAGGATCCATTCATCTTTCGATTACGCGATTAATTTTATTCAAAAAGGAAGTGTTAATTGCCGCTGAGGCAAATCAGCGTAAAATCCTAAATTAATATTACAATATTTTGCAATTATATGTTATTTCATGAATTCGTCAAAATTTTCATGTACGAGATTCGGTATTATAGTGGACACGTTATCGAAATATTATTCGCCACGGAAAACCGCGACACGGATTCGGCCGAAGTTATCTGTGCAAATCGCGTTCATCAGTGCGGTAATACACATATTACAGCATGCAATTATCATCTACTGCCCAATGGGATTAATTCGCGCCGCTAACTTCATCGGAATAAAGTTGCACGGCCTTTCCATCATCACGCGTACATCTGGAGCACCGCGGAACCGTGAAGTATCGGACTTTAACTAGCGCCGCATTATGTTTACAAATGCAAATTGACTAATGTCGGGGCCGCGCGTTAAGTCATTTACATAGGAAAGACTGTGCTACTCTCTCGTCCGCGGATATATCTTGCGTGACGAGCAATCCGAGATGCGCGTCATCGTCGGGATGTTATCGAGGAGAAAGGCGTTAAAAAGAGAAACAACGATCAATATAGAGGATATCGGTCGTAAATATTGACAAATGTCTATAGAAACTTTATTTCACACGAGTGCCAAGTTGCTTGATCATTAAGCGATAATTTAATTACGCTAATAATCAACAATGTCTTTTATCAAGGATATAAAGGTTGTCTCAGGATTTTCGTCACTTTAAATATATACCTATAAATTTTTAAATATATATATATATATGTATAAATGAAAAAGGTGTAATGGGTATCTTATATTACATGATATAATGGGAATAAACCTTAGTATAACTTATTGGAGCGTAAATCCGCGGCAATCCGCTTCGCGCGCGAAAGTGCGGAAACGGCGCATAATTTAATCCTGTTTCATTATAAAGAGGAAAGTATGGTACATTTCGCTATATATGATGTCAGACACTCCCGATGATTTCACTGTTCGTGCCGGATATCGGCCCGACTATCTGCGTAACTCAAGGCGCCGTAAAAAGACAGCAGCGGACGCCACTAATAATCGTCTCGCGCGTCGCTCACATCGGTTCCGCTCTAATAATAAAAAATAATAATAAAACTCCCGAAGAGAAAGAGAGAAGGCGGGAGAAAGGGAGAGAGAAGCTCCGATCTTTTCTTACGCTTTTGTAGCGGATCAAGGTGTACAGGCGGCCTCGCATCAGCGGCAGCTTTCCCTGAAATACAGCGAGATCCAGCAGCGGCTGATCGATAATCAGAGCCTGCTGAACACCTTGGAGAAAGCGGGTGGGCCGTGTAGCTTGGAGAATCTACTGGCGGAGCTGAAGCGCCGGGTCGAGCAAGACAAGGAGGCGCTTCGACAATGGACGGCCTTGCGAAACTCGACCTTCGCATCGACCAACGCGAAAAACCCGGCTCTCGCTGCCAGATTGCTGCAATTTTCGAGGGGTTGCGCGCTCGCCCTGCAGTTTATGAGCGAAGATAATCCGCAGGTAAGCGAGAACCAACGAAATATTCCCGAAATTTAATCTTCAAAAATATACGCCAACTTCTTCCCATTTCCCTTCACCTTTATACAAGAAGAGCAGAGTCAGATTACGCTCGGGTTGTTTCTTTAACATCAGCTTGAAAGCATTTTTTCTCCAAAATGCGAATATTAATTACACAAATGCGATATCCGTAGAACAAAAAATTCGACTTCAAATAGCTCATTGTCAGAGAATACGTTTCAGGCTCGTTATATTTAACAATGCAAGTGTTAGTTATTCGCGAGACAATTCACGCGCTTCGCGCGACCGTTTGAAGGAAAGATTCGTTAGAGAAACGGGTTAGCCTACTAAAACAATGATCGTGTAGTTCGTGTGCGATCGCGATTTATTTTTCGTGCCCCTGCGTGAGACTCGTACGGTCGGCAGTAACAATAAGAAAGGTGAAGGACCTTGCACCGCCCGACCCGAGAGAGAAAACACGGTTCTAAGATAGGTCGTGACACAGCACATGCAACTGCGAGTGCTCTCGCGGGATTTACGGCAGCCGATGTGTCTAAGACGATCCGTGACCACGAACGGTCAAAGGGCGCTAGGGTAATCATCGTGAAATCCCATAAGGGCCATAAGGATCGTATGACGAGCCTAAATTACGCACGAGCTTATATTCTTGTCACTGCTTAGACTCGATTGCGCTTGACTAGGGTGAATTTCAGGGTGTCCAGCAGACTCAATGAAAAAAATTCCCTGACTTTTTCAGATTTTCCAAGCCCAGAAATTAATTTTTTTCCCTGACTTTTTAGTATTATTTGTTCCAAATATATAATTTGCATATATCTATATAATAAATCAATTAAGTGTCAAATCATGAAAACCTTGAGATATTTTTGTCCACAATGAAAAGGAAGTTAAAACAAAAATTTAAATCAATTATACAATGTACGATAATCGAAACAAACATGTCACTATAAACTATTTAAATACTCACCTTTTTTATTTATATTGTATCAAATTTTTTAGTTTTGTCTCTATCAAACACATTGAAATAAAATAACACGACGATGAAAATATAAATTAACGAACACGCTTCAGATGAATCGATTTTTAACAACACATAAAATTAGTGTACTTGGAGTCAAAGAAAAGTTTATATTTATTTAATAAAAAATTTCAAATTTTGAAAAAAATAAAGAATAATGTGAAAAAATCCAGAGAAATAGTAAAATTTCCTGACTTTTCACTGACAATTCCAAATAATTCCCTGCTCGGTTTTACAAATTTCCCTGGCCGCTAGACACCCTGAATCCATCGCGAATTGAAGCTATACTCGAATAGAAATCAACCAACAAGAAATAAATTTCTCGCGCACGATTAATAAATAAACGAGATGTGATTATCAACTCGAGATTAAATTAAAACAAGCACTGATATCAAATCGGGATCAAAGCGATATGTTATATTCACGCGTGCAGCAGGAATATGTGGGAATATAAATTATTTCCACCGGTTCTCTAGTGAGTCAATTACATTGAATTTATTTGATTCGAATATCAAAATTGCTGAAGCTTTAGTCGAAATAAAATTAATCATTATATAATATATAGACATACTAAATAGTTATATGTGTACTAAATAGACGTGTGCTCGCGTATATCATTCATTAGCCCATACAATTAATATGTCATCATCGCGATGAGAAATATTTAAACTGAGATCAAATTAAATGTATCACAAAATATGCACAAAGAAATATACATATATACTTACGTGTGTACATGTATAAAAGCAAATAGAAATAATTTTTTAATCAAATAAAAACAAGCTCACCTGATCGATGAGTTTTATCGTAAATTCCGTCTCATAATATGTTTATTATTCATAATTCATGACCGAGAACGTGATTATAGAGTTCCGAGTAACATTGTCCCATCGAATTTATCGATAAAATCGATATGCAAGATATTTATGAGAAATGTTTTGGTACGCGCAAGCGTGCGCGAAAGTATATTAATAATCGCGGAATGTTAATACGGATGTTACGATTAATATCGCACGCGAATATTTAATGCCGGGTCATAAATTATCACCATTGAGAGCGACGTCGCATACGCGATAAATATTTTACACGTCTAATTGCCACCGTTGCAGCACAAAATTTTGTGGGAATAAAAATTTTAAATCGATTCCGCTGACTGTACATACACGTTTGGCCTTCACAAAACGTTTTGGCAGAACGCGACTGATTGTGCGCGAGATGCCATAGCGAATGACAAACGCGCGACACGATGTATCGGGGACGTCCACTTAGAGAAGAATAGCAATTTCTATTTAATCGGACAATGCAAACGGCAAAATTAGTTTGCTTTCTCCCCTTTCGACCACAGTCATTCACTTCAATGAGGAAAATAATCACGTTTAGCTCGATTGATGAATTTCGCCAGGACCGACAGAGAAAGAGAGAAATCCTCTAAAGAGTTTTAACGTAAATACGCAACATTTATTCTTTCGTATGCGTGAAATCAGATTATCATTTCGTGATCGAAGATCATAAATTGTTGAGAATTCAGATTTTATTTTCAATAGTTCTACATAGTTCTTGGTAGTTTAAACAAATATAGTTTTAGCGATTAAAGAAAAGATCTAAAGACAAACTGATATGCCAATATAAAATATTTGTTTGAAAAATTTTCTAATTATTATTACCAGAACTTTTTGGAAATAAGGCATTGTATATGCTTAGAACTATACCATAATTATTTCGTAAGCAGAATTCTTGAAAATCAAACGGCGTTTTACTTCGATATCTTCATGTAAGAGTTTAAACTATGAAAAATTCTAGAACTATTGGAAACGCTTCACATACCTCTATTACTGCACTACTGCTATAGAAATGTTATGAAATTAACAATTTCTCACTCACCGATAGCTGCAATAGCGGAGTTGTAGTATACAGCACGACGATCTGAAAACAAAATATGCAAATTATGTATTATACATATGAATATTTGAAAAGTCTAGAAACGATTGAATATCTCATAAACAATGCAATGTGAAAAAAATGTTTTTATTTTGCATGCATACCTCATAGTTGCCCCGCTGTCGCCCGATGCCTCCTCAGGCCGCCTCTTTCTCGTCCTCCTCTTTTGGTTACGTAGCACTCGCAACACTCGCGAAAACACGAATAATTACGATCGCCCGACACTTTACACGGCACTCCCGACGCGCGAAACTTTACATGGCACTCCCGATTCCGATAGGACACGTGAATCGCACTGTGTATCGCAATGCTACCTGTAACAAATAAAATACAAGCATATATTAGAATAATCTTATTATTTCGATTGTCTTTATTTTAGCTTCATTTTTTCTTGCTTTTAGAAGGCAGAACTCTTTTTTTGAATCTCATGTAGAACTATCAATTTTTTAAATCCTGATAATTACTATGATAAAGAAAATCGGTAGGACAAAGTAACATGTTGCGTAAAGTTGACATATCAATTTGTTCTTAAGCATTTTCTTTTTCTATTTGTTTAAAGTACCAAGAATTCTAGAACTAAATTGAAAATAAAGCCAGAACTCTCAATTATTTTATTTATGATCTTCCATTGAACAATATGCTAGCTTCACACACACTATCCTTTCTCGCGAAATTCAGTCGAAATTCAATTGGAAATGCGTGATAAATCCCGCTATCATGTGATGTGTTTAAACTGCTTCTCGTTAATGGACAAACACAAAGTGACAAAGTTGTTAGAATTGTGTATATCACTTGCGTTAAATTGAAAGCAAAAATACACGAGTCATTAATCTCTTTTATCCTGAGCAGAACTTCAAAACGGCCGTAAATGACGGTCGTTGAAATATAAAAAGCGCGGAAAGTGGCAAATTGTTATATAACAGAATTGGAAAACTCGCTTCGGTATACCGAAACGCGTTAATTGCTCTCTATTGAGTACGTTTTATTTGAAAGCCCAGAATCGACTGTAAATCCCAATCGAAAATAGGACAAGTGAATAGAAAAGCGCGTGTGCTACGACTGTTCAGCAGTTCCTCCTCTGACAACACTCGATATATTCTACTATACGCAAGTGAAATAAAAATATTATCTTTTTCGATATGTTTTTTCTTTCATAAATGTAATAAAAAATAGAATTGTTATCAGTAAATATTCCCAATTAAATAAAATTCATCTTCTAAATATACTTCTTTAGATTTTTCTGAAAGAGAGAAAAAACAAAGCCAATCTATTTTTACTTTTTTTTTATTTCTATCTTATTTTTTAAAAAGAATAAATTGTAATATATTTTTTCTCGCGATAATATTTATTCTCATTCCAATATTCTCTAAGCATTTTCAACTCTGAATTTTTCTATACCTTACAAACACACAGCAACCTTATATACGCAGAGTGCATTAAAAAAAATATTTTATTTACTGTAAAAAATACTTAAATTTTTAATCGAGAACTGCAAAACCAACACAGAATTTAAAGAAACACAGTGTCGAACGGTAGAAAAATAAAAAAACATATCTTCGAAAATCAGATCATTTTATCGATATGCTCTTTGCAAAAGAAGTCTAAATATTCAGATATAGATATTAGCCAAAGTACATAAATTTTGTATTATGCATTTTTCAATATCTCTATATAAATAAAAAACATTTTTTTGGGATTTAAGAATTGAATGTAGAAATTCTGTACTGCATCAAGAACCATTATTGTGCAGATATTACATCTCGAGGAAAACCTAGGCGATGATTACGAGGAAGAATCCAGCAGCGCTGGCTACCATACAGACGAGAGTTGCAGCCCAACTCCGGAGCCCGTCGTAACGGGTAGCAACTGTGAAGTTCTCAACGTGGAGGACAATTGCTCGGATTTAACCTCGGTGGAGCGACTCGCCGAGAAGTATGGTGCTCTTTATGCCCAGGCCAATCTGCATACCCTGGACGCACTAGACGCGCTAGAGTCGCTCAAGGACGCTCCTGACTTAAAAGCGAAGATTCTCTACTCGGTGGTAGTGGTAAGTGCAACTTTAAGTCAAGTAATCGCAATCAAGATACTTCTCTACTCGTCAAAGCACCGCGATACTTAAAATCTCGCATATCATATATAAAATTGCACCTCTATAAATATTTAGCTCTGTCGACATTAAAAATATATCCAGTCTTAAAATCATAAAATAAAAAACATAAAATATAAAATATAAAATTGGAATTAAATAATTAAAAATATTTTAAATAAAATTTAAATGAAATAAAATTTTTAATGGTATATTAACAGAGATTTTCAGTGGATAGCAAAATTATCGATGTATGACAAAATCAAACATTAAAATTGTATTACATACCGGAAATCGAAATATATTTTTTCTCATCGATCAATTTTGCATGACAGACAGTGCGCGACTTTCGCCAGATGGAAAAAACGATCGGACGTAACAAAAGGCGCAACGAAGCGACTATATGGATTATACGAATAGCACTCGATCATTCGCAGAAATGCGTACGAATTAGTCACGTAACAGGCACGAAATTATTGTGTGAATATCCATTATACAATATGTCGTTGTCCCGCTTCGCACATGGATTATTAACGAAATCTGAATAAAAAAGGCTTTGACTATTTATGACACACTTCGTTAACCATCTGGTTTAATGTCAGTCTGACTTATTGTCAGTATCTTGTCAATATATAATTGTATAAGTAGTTGATTGATTTGATTATTAATTCATTCTATAGAAACAGTGCACTGCAGGATAGAAATGATAAAATAATTTAAAAAATGCTAATTTTTTAATCATAAATGTAAATAAATAAATAACATATTCTGATAGAGACATTCACACTAATATGCATTCATATGCAAATGCAATTGATTTGATAAAGACATTAAAATATCATGTATCATATCGTTTTTTTAGAGTATCTTCTTATATTATTATTAATTTCTGTTTGTTTTTTTATTATGATTATTACGAGTAAACAATGTCGAAAGACTGTTTCCCTTCCCTCTCTCTCTCTCTCTCTCTCTCTCTCTCTTCTATATACAAAATATTTTTCTTATGCATATATTATTTTACACAAAATTAAAATAATGCATATATACATACATACATATACATACGTATATATTGTATATGTTTCGATTTATTATTTTATGATGACAATAAAGATTCCTTCGCTTAATAAATGTAATTTAATATCTCTTTAACGCGATATTAATAATCGCTTTATACAAAAAATAAATAAATAAAAAATGCAAAATTTATCGTTTTAATACCATAGCCAATAATTGATTAATAACAAATTTGTATTCTTTCTAATATATCAATTTAATTTTAAATTTTGACTTAAAATCAAATTTAGCACAAATTTTATTTTTATAACAATTAACATAGAAACAATGATGTAAAAAATCCGTAAAATCGAACAATAGAGACCAACTTAATGCATGCGTAATTAAACCGATGTACACGTGTACATGAGTCTGAGCAGCTAATATACGGTTCACAGGAATTGTATATACGTCATCACGTGCAAACACAGATCATGTTAAAGGTGTCAGAACATGTAACGAGATATTGGGTTACACCTTGCGCGTATCACTCCTGACAAAATTTGAGGCATAGTAATTATATCAACGAGATTGAGTTACTAAAAGCATATCCGAAAAATCTCTCAATGTGTTAATCATTTTTTTTAATCTGTTGCTCTATAAATATTTTTTTAATCCATTCGTACGCTCTCATTGACGTAAATTTTAATATTTTAAAATCTCGTTTGAACTTGGATTATATAAACAAGCAAACATAAATATGTTTATTCAAGTATAAATATCGGAAATTAAATTGGATGTAGAATATTTTCCATATTTCTTGTTACAGAAACAGAAGTTTGTTATTCTCTTTATAAATTCGGTCACTCTGAGTATAAACACACGTTTTTTTCTAAAAATAAAGTCGCATTAGTTTCGCGTGTCAACAAGAATGATCGAACGAGTTACTGTCGTATGAACTCGCCAAGCTCATTTTCGCGTGACATTGGCTGTTACCCACAGGTCGCTATGGAAACTAAGTATTGTGGCATTGAACGCTAACGATATGATACAATAGTGATAAGTGATCATTATCATTACGATGAGTAAATGAAATGTAAATAGAAGTATGCAATATGAGACACATTTTGCTACATTTTTATGTACGATAGTAGGAGAACAAAGTTCCATTTCTCAAGTAGAGTGAAAGAGATGCATCTCGAGATGCAAAAAATTATGCAAAGCACAAAATTTATCTTCTCATTCGCGAGCATTAAAAAAACGTCGGTTGTACATCATGAAAAAGAGAGAGAGATTAGCCGAAATTTAATGGAGAACGCATATACTCGACCGAGAGTGCGGTATGTCGACACTTGATCTCCACTTGCACTCTCGCGTTGGATAATGTTAAAGCAGGCGCTACAAACAATGCCACCGCGAAACGTGCACTTTGGTGTGGTTTACACATCCCGTAATCATCCTTTGAAACTCATGTTGTACAAAAGATATCTACTACCATATATCTCCTTTTCGTTAAATATTCTCCAAATAATTCAAAATCAATCTTTATCATTCTCTCTTTAGTAAAAGTTTAATGAAAGATCCTCTTTTTTCTATACAATTTTTGAATGATCAATATTAAATAATTTAATAAATTTAACGAATACGTTTACATCAAAAGTATTGAAACTTTTTAAGTGAAGTTCACGTAAAGTCAAACGGGCAATATCTATTATTATCCACTTTTCAAGTTTAATTTACAGAAAGTTCTCAATTTTCAGTGATATAACTCAAAGACTCTTGATACTACAGTTTTTCTTAATGAAAAGAAGATTGCTATCAAATTCATCAAAACGTATGAATGTACATTGAAATGCTAAGCATGTATAAAATGTCATTTTATACATTTCTGAAAAATGGAGAATATGCACAAAATAAAAAAAAGGAAGAATAAAAGCTTCATTCAATTTCAAATATCAAGACAACTGTAACTTAAAAAGATGAAAAATTACATAAAACGCAATTTAAATTAATAGATACATTTAAAGAATTTATAAATATATAGGTATTAGATTTCACATTGTGCCGACAAGTAATAATTTTTTTACTGCTGGTTTGAACAGGAATTTATAAAGTAAACTTCTTCATTGCAGGTGAAGCGTAAAGCGATCCATTTCGCGTTCGCGTCGCGTCGTCTCGTTGATCCAAATAATTTCATTACAGCGTAAAACTCAGTTTTATGATCAACGAAGTCTTTGAACAAAAACTTGTAAAGTTGTACAAGATATCCTTTAAGAATTTAAGAGCGATTATATATGCAAATATAAAATTTTAACTAATTATTTCAAAATACACGTAATTATTATCAATTTTCGATATCTTTTAATTAAATAAATATTTCTTGCATTGAAACTGAATTTCATAGATATAATTGCATGCATAGATCCAATTCTGTATGCAATGTAATTACATGTATATACAGATATAAAAGTAGCACTGTGTAATTGCATATAATAAACACGTAATATAGACGAAAGAAAAATCGGAATTTATTTGGAAAATACCAATTTATTCGCGTTAAAAGCGAACAATCTCTTCATTAGCAACGAATGCAAGCGTGCGTGTAATAGCGTGCTTTAAAATTAAGCTCTGTGTATTTTCGGGGAAATTGCATTATTTAAAATAAAACGTGCATTTCACAAAATAACGTATTCAGTAATCCATCTGAAAAACATCTGGCTCTTGATATATATATATATATTTTTTTTAATTAGCAAACGAATCAAACGAAACAACAACGAAATAAAAAAAGCAAGAGAGAGAAAAAGTATATAAAGAGATATCTTTTTGTAACAGTTAATCATAAATTTTGAATAGAGCATCAACGATGTTTGTATATACATATAAGTATGTTGTAAGATTATTTTTACTACCACCACGCACCTGTCTCTCGTCCGATCGATGGACCATTAACGTCAAAGCCGCCAGGGGGAGGAAAAGAGCGAAGGGATGATCTGTGGTAGTGCGAAAGGGGAGCCGGGCAGAGAGCGCACTTTTGCGATGAAGTATACTCGGCAAGTGACAGAGAGAGAGAGAGAGAGAGAGAGAGAGAGAGAGAGAGAGAGAGAGACACTGGTCCGTCAGCCTGAGGCTATTAGGTACTTTGCATATATACACGGATACATACAAGTATCTTTCACACGGATATCTGGGAAATCGATGAACTAAAATAAATATCCACGAAGAAAGCGACACACACACACACACACACATACACACACATGTATATACATATGCGCGCTCGCGCACAAATCTGGACTATATCTTTCTTCGTTACTTCTCTTTCTTTCTCGCGTGTTTATGTCACCTTGTAGAATAGGCTGCTGTCACTTGGTCGATAACCCGGCTGAGACAATTCGCGAAATACTATCTTCCTCGAGAGGCGCATATATGCACCTGTAATTTCGATGACGATGCCAGAACTAGCGCTACAGCAACTCCCGATGTTCATGCGTCATTTTCAGACGAGCTACGACAGCTGATTCCGTCGCAGATGGTGGAATTTCAATCGACAATACGATTTATACTTCAACCTGAAATAACTTGATGTATGCACGAATATCTCTCAGACGAATATCAAGATGACGGAATAGTATAGCATAAGAAACGAGCGAGGTGAAATATTGACAGCTGCTGATCGATATTTTAAAGGCCCGAAATCCAATAAAATTCTCCTCTCCGATTACTATTAAAAGTGTCGAATAAAATGCGAGAGGCAATCGTTTTCTTAAATAACACAAGCAGAGAGATCTAATTCGCTAGTCAGCCGTTGCCGTCTTTCGTTTCACACACAAATGCGATGAAATAAGCATGAAGCAGAAGGGATTCCTTGCTGCTCAAATTACCTCATGCATTTTTCCTTTATTTTGCGAAAGGTTTTCATCCGCGTGCGTATTTATATATTCGTAGATAGAAAATAGCAAGAAGATATTAACTGATAAATACCTATAAGTGCAATAATAATTCCTAATATTTTCTTAAAATACGATCACTAATTATTTGATTATTTATACAAAAATGTTAAGGAGTAATTTATATAAGTCGATTCTTCTCTCTCAAACAAAATTATTTTCATAATCAAAAAAATAAATATTAATGTTGAAAAACAATTTACATATTGAATAATTGTTCTTCTATTAAAAAATGTAAAGTCCTGTAAATGACCATGAATTAATACTCGATATTACAACTATAAGTTGGGATATAGCTTAGAGCAATCAATTTAATTGATAATAAAACTTTACACGAATTATTAATGAGAGAGAGCTTACGCAGTTAAATGTTCTGTCTTAACTTCCGATTAGTTAAATCGAAATCTACACGGAAAAAAATTAACCACCATAATTAAATTTTAGCTGTCCCTATATTATACCTGAAATTTATTATGCCTAAATTTTAGCTATAATAACTAATACATTTTAGCTACACAGAGAGAATTTTCTCTTACAATTTATCTTGAAAATCATGGTAATCGTGGGAGAATATGGTATTGGAAGAATTTTATAAGAATTTCTCTGATTAATATTTATCACAATGAAAAATATTAATATCTACTATAATAAGATATAAAATATGTTCGATTAATTTTATTATATACATAGTAAAATTTATTATGTACATATTCATATTTTTTATTGTGATAAATATTAATCAGAGAAATTCTTATAAAATTCTTCAAATACCATATTGTCCCACGATTGCCATGCTTTTCAGGATAAATTCTAAGAGAGAATTCTCTTCGTATATCCTTAAACATAGAATTCTCTCTCTCTCTCTCTCTCTCTCTCTCTCTCTCTCTCTCTCTCTCATATAATAACTAAATTTCAGGTTGTAATATAAGGACAGCTGAAATTTAAGTGGTCTACAGTTAGCTAATTTTTCCCGTGTATGAAAAAAAGAGTTGATTAAAACTAGTATATATATATATGTTGATTATCATTTTTCTTTAGAATTTGAGCCAACTGCGAATGATCGTGCGTAATATATTTATATAGTGATAGCTTATCACTCTGCAATTAAATATGTTGCATAGCGGCAAAATGATTTTCACGTAATAAAATAGATATTGCAACGAAGAAATGATTTTTTTGCTCTTACAAACCTACAGATGTGTCTTACAATTAGAAATACTAACCAGAGGAGTCTCGACTATAAAGAAAGCTTAAAAGAGAGATAATTGTGCTTATTCGATAATGAATAAAAATCTTTCGCGTTATTGCATACGTAAATAGTAGCGTTTATCAGCTGATTATGATCCAATTTAATACTTTGCGCGATGTAGAGTTGCAACCCACATTATATTCAGCTGGCAGTCACGCGGTGAATGCAAAGTTCTAACTCTAAGTTCTAACTCAATTCCGCAGATTGAAGGTATTGCGTGTACCAGTAGTTTGGTAACTTTCGACATTCTTGATATAAACTAAAAGTTACCATGGATATTTCTATAAATTGGCTAGTCGTGAGTTAAATTCTCCTTCGTGGAAATCGACAATTGTCGATATCATAGTGATATTAATATATACAATATTCTCGTTAATTAAAATATATTCTCAAGATTTAGACATAATTGTTATTTCTTCAGATTATCGACTCCCAATTATTTATAATAAAACATTATTGCACGAATAATTCACGATTCCGTTAGAAGTTTATTATGACTCTAGTGTTCAGAATATTTTTATGTCAAAGAGAGATTCTCAGAGTGAATCACCCTTAAAAAAAATGTCGATTTCTTTTAAACAATAGAAAATACTAGGTTGTGTGCACAAAAATTATATTCCTGTATTGTGTGTCTCGTAGTAACACACTCTGTCTCATTAAGCTTTAACTCGTTTCTTCTGATTCATTACGCATAAAATAACTGATTGTTATGACGAACGAATGAAAACGTACGAGTTGTAATACGACAGCGCAAACTTTCGCACTTGTAACGGTACCGGATAAACAGTTAGTCGCTCTCCGTTCAGGATGAACCGCTGTTAAAAACAGTAATTCATCAACAATGCCCGTATATATTGCCATTGTGTAAATCCGAGTGTAAATCCAACGGAGAGGATTCCTTCGCGCGACATGATCTCGTGAAATTCCGTCACAATTACGCGATAACCGGAATAACGCGGAAGAAGTATGCTCTCACATCGCCTAATTAAAACGACCGGCATTCTTACCACGATGACTTCAATGCTGCCCCCGATTTCATAGAGATTACGATCGACGTATCCTCCATAATAAGCATATAATAAGCACGGCAAAGCATGTTAACAAGATAATCTCTATGATCTATTATATTATGGTATGTGTTCGCAGATGATTCGCGATTATAAATACGTTTGGTACTTTACGCATAAAATCCATTATCAATCAAATATAATTATCGTATTAACGTTATTGGAAAAAAAATAATCGTATGAGAATTATATAAAATACGCAAATCAGCATCATCCAACATAAGTGAAAATTATAAATAATTAAAATAGAAATTCGAAATATTAATCTGATTAATACAGATTGCATTTAGATAAAAAAATCCTCATGTTGTATATTTTATTGAATACTACTGCTTCAGTTTTAGTATAGTAATTCACTGCTACAAGTTTTTTATTATTATATAACCAGTAACAGTGATTTTTACCATATGATAAAATGTAAAGAACATTTTAATAACATATATGTTTAACTTTGCGAACTAATATTTATCAAATACTCTGTCAATCAAAGATATCCGGATATCATAAATCTGTCGTATAAAAAAACCATTCAATTTGTAGCGAAACGATCGAAACATATAGGATATACAAATCATACGTCGACGTCAATCATGAATCAGCAAATGTGTTATAAAATATGTTCCACTTTCATCTCTCCTGCTTAACATCCGTTCATGATAATTTTACTACGCCACGTGCGACATGTACTCGACACTTCTTCCTCATTCAATTCCACTTGAATATTCTAAACATTCGTGGAAGAAAAGCTCGTAGCACGAGCGTCGAGCAGACGCGCGTAATTTAACGGCGTGTCTCTAACAGCATGCATATTCTAATAGAATGGAAAACTGTTACATTACCAGTCGTAGTCTCAGCTAATCGTCGAATTTCATCCGCAGCTCTCGTGGCGTTTAGCTGGCATGGTTCAGACGTCGAGGCGCCTGGAAGCCCTGAAGATCCTGAACGGCGCGGCCGCATCGCAGTCGTCGGCGACGTCTCCGGAGCTCGAGGAATGCATAAAACGGCAACTGGCCACTTCCGGTGCGAAGACCGGTTCCCGTGAGGTCGCCGAGCAGGTGGTCAGCCAGTTGGAGAGGACACTGTATGACTTTCCGTGTCTGCGTAGCTGCGCCGAGGTCAAGAGTTATGCCACCGCGTGCTCCACTTTGGCCTGGGCGTGTCTGGCACGTTCCACGCCGCTGGTGCTCGACGTAGCACAGAGTCTGGAGTTTCGTAGAGAGGTCCACGTGAGGCATCACGCTTCCCCGAATCCGCACGGGACCAGGATCAGATCGGTCCTGTGGCCGGGACTTCGGGAGGGTTGTCAAGGTCCCTGCCTTCACAGGGCCGTTGTGATGACTTACTGAAGTACTTGCGACACTTCTGTAAAAAATAAAAACGTACATTTATACAGAATTGTCGTTTTAAGTATTAATTGAGCTTGATGAAAAAAAAATATATACATATATTTTATACATGGAACAATAAGAGAAGTACATACAAACTTTAATGAACGATTAACACCATCAAATAATAATATATAATACAATAATTTTCTACAACAATTTATAATTATTTTGCATAAAATAAATAACAGAATTATAAATACTCTTTAATAATTTGAGAAAATTTATCTTCGTCTTAAAACGTAATTCGCTTCTAGCTGGATTATCTTACCTAAATCGAATAAAAATCTCGATATAATTTAGACAATTTTGCACAATTACAAAATTTATAGTGTACAATTGATTAGACTTACGCAATTACAATTTCAGATATATACATATAAACAAATATTTTTACAGCAAAATTTTTAAATTTGCAATTATATATAATTTGACCACGAAAAGAGATAATTATTAACTAAATGAAAGACAGATAATTTCATATAGGATGCTGCATCACAGACCCAATTTCATGCGTGCTTATGATGTGCATTTCACATCGTTGACACTTGACGCCGCAACCGGGCCTTAAATTTCAGAAATGTATTTCGTGCATGTTGCTCGTGATTCCATTGACCGCATAATCAAGAATTTAGGGTAGTATGACACGTGTTGAAGTACTGCATATCCTGTCTGCATTCTTGTTTTTATGTAAGTATGTTTAATTCGATATTCTCGAGACAAAAAGAGATTGATAAGAAAAAAGAATGATCAATATACAAAGTGAATGCAAACAGATTATGCGATATACAATAATTGAAAATAAAAAAAATTATTACAATAGAATCGAATCGAGAAAAAAATGTGCATATGTTTATATTTATTAAAGGAAATAACTAAAATAAAACTATTCATTTATTATTTTCTCGCGTAAATAATATGTAATTATAACAGAAAATAATTAATATATTATAATCATTCAAAAATTGCCTATTCTGTAAAGAAAAAAAGTATGTTTTTTATTACAAGGCAATGTCTTCGAATTGTTGTACCTGAAAAAATATTTATCTCTTCGATTCAACAATTGATATCTTAGGAAGAGAAATTATTTAATTTTTTATTTATAAATTCTCCAAACTTATTTAAGCAGATGTAGATTTAATTTATCTGTTAAAAATATGATCACAGAAAAAATTATAATATAATGACAAGATATAATAAGGAACAATTTAAAAAATAGTAATTTTATATTTAGAGAAAATATTAACATTTTGTTATTTATCTAATAAGTTAAGAGATTAATGCTCAATATATAATATAAAGTTACATAAAATTACAATACTAATAATTATTGAGATATATGATCAATATTTTATTCATCAATAGACTTTATTTTACGTTTATTATAACAAAAATATTGTATATGATTTTAGTCACCATATATCCTTTTATTAGAATTATGTACATTAAAAATGTTAATAAAATTTTTTAATAAAGCATTTACATTTCTTAGAATTTATCTGATCTAAAAATAATTCTAAAAAAGAGAACAAAGTGATATTATAATTACGAAAATTGATATTAAGGCAGGAATTCAGACGAATCAAGCTTAATTATTGAAGCGCAGCTAGAACAACATCGTCTGAGAGGAAGTCTTAATATACTCAATGTACTGATATGCATCACATAATTAGAGCGAAAGCTTCAAGAATTTGTTGTTTTAATTTTATTCGACAATCTATTAATTTTATTTTTTTAATAATTTTTCTATTATTATTTTATTAATATTATTGTCATATATCTAAAGATAATGAGAAAAATAGATAATAAATATTTTTCAAATTAATATATTTTTACATTATTAATGGTATGAATTGAATTAACTTCAATTATGTTTTTATTTAAAACATTACATTCTGAAACTATTACATTTCCTAAAACGAAATAATTTAATTTTAACAGAGCAATAATAATAATAATAATAATATGAAGAGAAAACTCCAATAATTAGATTTTCAATTGTTATATCAAGCGAATTACCGTAGGATGACGTTTCAGATTTAAAGATCAACTAAAAATCTGCTAACTATAAAACATGATTAATAATTTACAGCGCCTGATCTTCTGTGTAAGTTAGCAGTATCATCTTAACTAACCATCTGTCCGACAAATGTGTTGTTATTGATTTGATCCTATATGTCTGGAATGTGATCAAAGAAAGAGATGAGGCTATTCCTTTAGCCATTTAAATTCCTTGAGACTTTACTGCCGACCCTTGCATCCTACTGCAATCCACTAAATATTCATGCCTTTTATACTTGTTAAAAATGCGGAAATATATTTATATTATATATTTAAATATATTTTTCAAAAATATATATATATTTTAAAATGCTGCAAAGATATGAAAAAGAAAATATACATTAAAACATCACATTTAAATTAATAACAAATTCAACAATATACAATATATATATTTTATTTTTTATAATTGCAACAAATGATCATATTTGTTGATAAAATGAGTATTCTTATATCAAATATAAGTAGCGCATGGAAAATTACCATGTTTTCTATAAAAGTATTGAATTGATCTATCAATTAAAAAATTGTACCATAACATAATATAACATTACAATATACAAATTATTAATTTTTTTTAAACTGATGTGAAAAAACTGATATGATATGGATCATGTAATAGCCAATAGGAATATTTTTAATGATAGATCATAAAAAGCCACTGGTATCTTAAATACGGATATACTTATTTCGTAGTAACAATTCGGTATAACTAAAATATACAATCATACTGATATTTGATATTACAATCAAGCTTTGAAATTTGTTCGAAATAACTATATATAGAGTAAAGCATAATCTCGTATCAATAATACAAAGCCTCGCCAAATTACAGAAATTTAAATAGTATACTTCATAAAGAACTAAATATGTAGATAAAGATATGTCTTTAATATTACACAATATGAGAAATAAATGTATAGAATAGACATCTTTCAGAGATAGTGTGATAGTAAACAGAAGAAATTACTTCCAGGTAAATATTTTGTCAAATCAATATATATACGTAACATTGCGTTACAGAATTATTTCTATTTATGATTAAAATAAAACTTATTCATTTATCTGTGTATTTATCATATATCTCTACTTACAAAATTGTATTTGATATATAAATACAGATTACATGGGATGTAAATTAGAACATATATACTCAAATTAAATACATTTTACATTTCTGTACGTGTTCTGTATGTATGTATGTATGTGTTTAATTATGTATGTATGTATGTGTTTAATTATGTATTTTATATCGCATTATACCAAAAATTAGTGTTTTATAGAATCAAGTCTTTGTTTATAAAATAGTCATGTCAAGTTAATAAAATTGTACTTTTTTATTATTATAGTTTATTTTTCTCTTTCTAAATTTGTTATTCAGTTAGCAAATGGCAATAAAAAGTTACACATTAACAGTTTTAACAATTTATACAGTAGAGAGAAATACAATATTTAACTAATTTAATTATTAAAAACATTATATCTACTATTAAAGAAGAAAGTGAAATTTTTTTCTAAAAACACATGTTATCTGGCAAATTTTAAAACGTAAAGAAATACGAATTTAATTATTTCTAACTGATTGATTAGAAAGGATATCCGCTATCAAAAAGTGATATACATGAATGCTTCTGATTACACCTCTTGAAAATATAAAATTTCTTTTTCTTTTGTATGACATAATTTTTCATGAAAATTTACATGATGACACACCATTTCTTTGTACTCTCAGTTGTTTCAGTCGTTACCTTATTGTCATCATCCTTTATCCCGCTAATGTCTAACTTGGTGGATTCAAACTTATAAGGTGTGGCTTTTGGTGTGGATATCAGCATAGGTTTGACAAAACCTTTTACTAGATTTATAGATCTATTTAATGAACTATTCTCTTCATCTGTTTTCTGTTTTTTTGATGAATCCCAATTTGCTGTCTCAATTCTACGTTTCCTGTCCAATGGGCTACCATTTGTAGGAAAACTGTCGGATAATAAACTATAATGCAAGATCTTAGGTTCTGTCTCGTCATCTTGTGGTATCGACATGTTAGACGTATTTACGAAAAGAGAGCTATTTGGTGATATCCTTCTCTCACGCAAAGTAACATGACGCATTCTACCAATCGAATGTCTTCCTGAGATGTTCCTTAAGGTCTTGCCGAATGACAAATCTTTTGATGGTTGACTTGGTGTGCCTTCTGTATTACTTACGTCAAAGAGTTTTGAATTATCTTTCACACAATCTGATCTGACAAGCATAACTTGTACATCTTTTAGCATGTATGGATCTTTTAATGTAGATGCATTATGAGAAACAGATGCCTCATTGTTAATATCATCGACTTTTTCTTTATCCTTCTGTATATCATTCTGAGAAATGGATTCTGATGTTTCCGATAGCTCCGATGTTGTAGATTCAACAATGTCCACTGAATAACTTTCCGTGTCTGTTTGAACTTCGCTTTGTATCTCTTCTTTTTCATTTATGCCATTTTTCAGTTGGTCTTGTAATTGGTCTTCTCCTAGACTGTCGTCTTTTGGTCGTTTGTCGTTTAATTTTTCTTCTCCATTTTTTGCAGGACTCTTCTCAAATGTCAATTTCATATTATTATCCTCTTCAAATTCTTTGGTTTCAGTGTTGACATTTTCTGTAGAGATTCCTTTTTCTTGAGAAATAATTTTGCTTTCAACAAATGCAACTTCCTGAATAGTCTTTGTAGAAGTTTGAAATTTGCTTGATGTTTGTTCTGTATGATCAACATATTCTTTTTCAACAGTAGATTCTTCAATTACGATAACTTTGTTACCATTCTCTTCCTTATTTTCCTTTTGAATTGAAACGTTCAATTTAACTTCAGCTTCTTCTGATCCTAGCTGCATGTCTGTAGTCTTTGCTTCTGGATTTTTCATTGATAATTTTAATTGTTTTGATGACTGATTAAGTCCCTTTGTTGGAGGACGAAGTTTGCTCTACAACATACATTATTTCTGCATTGCAAAGAAAGTAACTTAACAGATACTTTATATACTCAGATATTTTTGTATTATTTATGCAATTATAATATTACTTTGGCCAAAAATTATTTATCCAATCTATATGAATTAATTTTCTTATAGAATATATATGTATCTATAATTTCTCTCTATACAATTTTAATTATCTGTTAAGCTATTGATTACATAGTTAATATAATACAAAATTTTACATTTTACAATAATATGATAATTTTACATTTTACAACAATAAGATAAAAATGTTTATTATTTAAATTACATGAAAATGTTTTATTATAACGAAATTCTTCTATAATATATAAAATGTTTTTAATAATTAACATCTTTTAGCACTTGTACATAAATTACAATTTAAAACACATGCAAGATTTATATAAGATATAAGAAAAATAAGAAAATCAATATAAAAATCAAATACCATGAAAAAATTGTTAGTAATAATAAAGTTGACAATAAAGAATTAAGAATTAAATAATCATGATAAATAATTATAAACATAATTATAGAATTATCATTCCAAATGTATACAATATGCTGATAAATTCATACTTAATCTATAAGAAAAGATAATACTATCATAATTATAAGTTTAATAGAAAATATCAATATTACACTAATTAAAATAAACACCTAATATTATATAAATTGACAAAATACAATATATTAAATAAATAAAGCAGTGTAGCAATTTCAATAATTATATAAATATATAATTTCTAAACAGATTATTTAATATTTGTATATTGTAATGTGTATTTCAAAATAATCATGTATACAATTATCATAAACTTATCAAATTTATAATAGTTTCTGAATATATTGTAAATAATGAGAAATTAAGAAGAAAATTAAAAGCAAATTTTTATGAAGATTTAGAATCATGTTTATAAAAAAAATTGAAAGTATAGTTTTATATACCTTAAAATTCTTTCCTGATCCAGTTGGTACTTTTTTCTGCACTCCAGTCAGTTTTGGCCTGAAACAAAAATAAGATATTCATAATCAATGAAGAGAGATAAGTCGTATATGGCAGATGGCCTTTGAGTAAATGCTGGAGGTGATGAGAGGTACTAATTTAAAAATATGTAAAACAAGATTAACCAAAGTTTCTCATGTCTTTTCAAACAGAAAAAATCTATATATATATATTTCTCACACATACATTATTAAAATATTCTCTCTAAAATAAAATAAGAGAAATAAAAATTCTAAAATATCTCTAAATCTCTATCATTCCGTATCATTAAAGCTTATATCAACTTGGTTCTTACTTCAAAATTCTTCGACTTACTGAAAATTGTCTTTATGCTCCAAAATTTATAAACCATATTTTCATATTACAATCATATAGTATATTATATATAGATATATTTCCAGATGTTATGAGATGATGCAATATCATGGAGATCATCTTGGAGATTCTTCTCTATGAAATATAGAAAACTATAGCGGCAAACACAAGTTCCAAATATACAAACAGTACTACGTAATCTACTTCTTCTTCACTCTGACAATGCCTCGGAGTCAATCAGGTAGATCCAAGTGTGACTATCTATGACTGAGAAACTCTGGCAGAACTTGCAATTTCGCTGTTGCTAATGTTTCTACAAACCTGTTCAAACTCTCGGACTCGCGCTGTCTCTCGTGCAAGCTAGATTCAGAAGCTTTCGACGGCGCGGTCGTTGCCTTGAGCCTCCGAACGTACAAATTCCTCTCATCGCCCCCAGGGGCCGCCTTCTTTGGCGTCTTACCCATGGCCACGATAGCGATTAGCGGCGTGCCTATTAGTCGCGCCCGATTAAACTCCACACCCTTTTTTTTCGTCTTATCCGATCTTTGTGCAAACGCTACAAGCTCCCACTTAATGTACGATAAGCAATATACCTATATCTTGCTTCTACTATCGGACTCTTTCTCTCACATACACACACACACTCTTCCTCACTTACTCTCTCTCTCTCTCTCTCACACACTCTCTCTCTCTCGCTCTTCTCCTAATTCTTCGCTACCAATTCGCCTTCTCGCTAGCTCAAATATTAATATTCGTCCTTTCTTACTCTCGTCGCGGCCAACTACTCGCGACGTGGACGTGGCTGTACGAATGCGGGTGCCGGTTTCTCGTGCACGAACGGCTCCGTCGAGTTCAAGCGCACATACGCACTACGCAGGACGCCATGCAACCGCAGACCGACTGCGACGACGAGGACACGATTAATGCACGACGCAAGCGCGCGCGCGCGCACGTGTGTGTGTGTATATGTACGTATATGGCATGCGAGGGTGACGGAAACGTTTATTTCGAAGACTCGTACACGTGAAATTGTCTCCGCGATTCCAGGAGTCTGAAATGCCGATTAATCAATTGTCGCGCGCGAAATAGACTGTCGACGTCGCGTGTATGTACGTGTGTAAATGTACAACCGGCTCGCGCTTCTCACTGACTCTCCTCACTTCCGGTTGCCGGACGCGGGCGGCGTCCTTAATTGGCGCTGTCGTCGCTTTCGCGCGCATACGAATCGCTCCGAAATTATCTTCACGAAACTATATTTTTAATAATTTATTTTACACAAAAATTGCGGTCACACAAAATCAGCCATTTTTTATTACGATGTCGTTCTCTCGGGAAATGTAGAATTTAAGAAAAATTTTTTTACATAATATACTAGACATATATATGTTATATTATATTCGTATACTTTATTGAATATTGGGAAAAATATTGATATATCTACCTTGATGATGCGATGGCACGTCGATCTCATTTAATTTTGTTGCACTTTGATTTTGTAGGATGAACTTCTTTTTTTATGACAATTTTGGAGACCAAATCAAAATCGCGACCGATATATCGATCACAAACGACGCCTACGTTACGTTTACACTTTAAGAGAATCTCGCGATAAATTTCGCGTGCAAAACTTTCACTTTTGGACAACGAATGCGAGAAATATAAACCGATTCGAATATAAATTCCGCGACACGTTAGCAGCGCTTTCCAAGCTCGGCAGCCATATAAAACCGTAGCCGCCATATTGTCTATCGAGAGACGAGATTGCGATTCTCGAAGCATCGAAGTATCGAAGCAATCGAAGCAGCTAACTTCAAACCATATATGTGATTATATCAATTTGAATACATAAAATAAGAAATATTTTAGAAAACATGAAGAATAGATATAGTTATGCAAGAAATATATACGCACATTTTTAATTTATATTATAGAAATATAATCAGAAGAAGCATTAATTATAGAATATATATGTATACGTACAAATCTGACGATGATTGTGTTTGGTTTTCGATCTCGACGCAATTTGGCAAGAAAATAGATATCGATGATTCATCTCCTCGATCGACCTACAATTGTACAATATTATATATTATTATAGAACATATATAAATATATGTGATAATTATTCACGTACGAGATTTACACACTTTTTTCAGACGACCGCAAGAAATATCGAAGGACTCGCGAACGATTGTAACTCTGCGATTCGTCATAGATTAGATGTTTCACCAACAGACTGTTCATTCGCTAGGAATATTTTGCAACGTTCTGATTGGTCGATCGAAAACACTTGACGCGGGAACTTGAAATTCAAATTTATCAATTCTTAATTTATTAATATAATTTTTGATTTTTTATATGATTTATATATATGAAATTTTAAACGTGAAAAAGAATTTATTGATCTGTATAGTCAATAAAAAGATACTTAAAAATTATTATTTAATATTCGCATTTGGTCGGTAAGACAGACCTCCAGTTATTTTGATGTATATGTGTGATGTCTATATGTATATATTATATGGCTTTTGAAGTTAGTTTTTATGTACATACGTGTCAGTAAATATTTGATGTATTATGTGAAATATTATTTTTATAATATCACAAAATTTGTTTAAAAGTTTTTTTACCATAATTGCATGTGTATGGTATTTTGATGTATATGAGTTGTGAAGTTATCATATGTGAGTAGTAGTAATTATGTTATTAATGTATTAATAATGAATGTTTTTATAATTATCTCATGTATTATATGAAATATTTTTTTACAGATAAGCATTACAGTCTCTGGTAAAACAACAGTTTCCTTGATAGATGATCCCACACTGGGTATAAATTACATAATGGAAAAAGAAGAAGGTGTTGGATCAGTTACATTTTTTGATGATAGTGATCACAGTGATGATCATTATAATTCTATTCAGGAAGTTACAATCTCCACTATAATTAAAAGTTTATCCCAAAATACCAAGTACAATATCTTATTGTTTTATATGTTAATCTTTTTATGTTCAATTACTAGAATACTAAAATGATAATAATTTTAGTGCTTCAAAGGAAAACAACAATGCATCTCTATCCACTGATAAGGTAAGATTGCAAATTTATTATAAAAAATCTAGAAGAAAAAAGGACATTGGCATAAAAATTATATTAATTTTATAATTCTATTTTGACATATTGAAAATATATATTTGGAATGATAAAATCCTCTTTAATTTGAAAATTATTTTTAAAAAACATTAGTTTTGAAACATTAATAATATTCATAAAAAAAGAAAAATATAATAAATTGACTTATTTTTTAGAATAATTTAAATGAAAGTATATTTAAGCTAATGAGTTTGCAAACACTGGTATTTGTGCAATTCAATATATAGTTAAATAATATGAATTATAATGTCAGAAATTATGAGTTTTATTCTTGCAAGATACATCAAAATAAATAAATATTTTTGAATACTATGTTTAATAATAATGGATTAGTAAAACATACTGAAAACTTATTTTGATTCATGAATTAATAAATAGCTTGGGCAATTATTTTAAAGTTTATTTTTGCTTGAAACTTTTATTACAACAATTGACCGAAATTTACAACTATTTATTAATTCACGAATCAAAAATAAAGTTTTGGTGTATTTTACTAATCATGTCATTGAATATAATATTCAACAATACTTATTTATTTTGATGTATTTTGCAAGATTAAAACTCATAATTTCTGATGTTATAATTCAATATGGTATACATGCAATGAGGACACACAAGTCTTAAATATTGAACTGTGCGATAAAAACTAATGATTTACTTAATGAGTTTTATATCAGTATGATTTAATATATAAAAAAATATATTTTTGTAATTTATATTTATGGTGATATTTTTTCTACAGCTATGCCAATTTCTTTGTTTTAATGTTACAATGATAATAGATAAAAATATGTACCCAGATAGCCACAATAATTATTATGACATCATTTTGACATCAAAATGATATCATAATAATTACTGTGGCTATCTGGGTATTATATATATTTAGTTGATATATTTGTACGAATAATATATAAAAAGATAAATATTACACTATATAAATATATATATATTTATATTTAATAAAAACTATGAAGTGAAATAGACAGTATATAATGTGGCTAATAATAATATTTCAAACAAGTATGATAATGTCACATTGCTGCAATACGTATATAAGGATTTTGTAATAAATTAACGGAATACTCCTTAGCACATTATTCAAAACAAAGTATACTCTAAGTACAAAGTATACTATATTATTACTAAGAGCTTATTTTGGTCAAAGGAATGTTTGCTGTCTGTTTACACAGCAGCTACAGTTTATTTCACTTCGACTGATGTGAATAATGTAATATAAAATTACCTGTGAGGAAGTCAAGCCAATACTCATAGCAGAAAGGAAGAAGACTGGGATGTCTGTTGATATAAGGATAATGATTGTGGTGCCAGAAGACTGATCTTATACTTATTATGCAAATGCTCTGTTATAATGATTGATTGTGTGACTGATGAATGACTAATAAATTTAGATTATTTAAGACTTGTGTATTAACAATAGCATTTTTTAATGTTAACAAGTTTAAAGCATTCTTATTTCAGTACATAGTCATTAAGAAGTATTTGAGACTTAGAAAGAAGAGCTAATGTTAGAATTAAAGATATTCTGTTTTATTATCATATTACAGGTCATATTGACAGCAGTTTACAATGATCATCTTAATTTAATAAATCATATATTTCTATTTTTTTGTCTGTAATTTTTTTATCAATTTTTTTTGTGTCATCTGTAGATATATTACAATTGTATTTCTTTACAGATGTTCTATAAGAAGAACAATAAACGAAATGCCAAAAAAATAGAGAAAATAGAGCAAGATGATCCCATATCTAAACGACTCAAGGCAGAGAGTAGAGCTTCAAAACCAAAACTTATTCATAAAGAGTCGGGTATAAGAATATATTTGATACATGAAATATATGTGCAATACACTAATGTTTATTTTATTATTTATTTTTAGAGTATTTAACAATATCATCTCATGAAGAAGAAGACAGTAGGACTAACAAAATTGAAAGCGTTAATAATAATGCATTATTAAATAATGCAAGTAACGCTTTTAACGAAGATGCGAACACCATTCTAGAAAAGGAACTAGTAGTTACAAGCACTTCTGTTTCTCATTCATGTAACGATTATCTAGCAATTAATAAAGAAAGTAGTACAGGTAATGTTTCATTAAAAAATATAAATAATATTGAATATTTCAGTTAGTCACCGATTCGAGTAATATAAGCATACATAATAACAAAGTGATAAAAATTTCAGGAATATGTGATAATCAGAGCTTGTTAGACAATGAACAATTATCACAGGTTACTATAGAGTGTCAAATGGTCATAATAGGTTCTTATAAATGTATTCCTAAGGAAAATGTAATTATTTCCCATACTGGTGTACGATTTAACGTACCTTTATTAGAAGATGGTAAATTTATTTTACTCATTGCAAAAAGATATTTGTAAATATTTAAAAAACATTTTGAAATATTTCAATATTTTATAGCTACAAGTTTTGTTACTCTGGACGTAAAATATAAGGATATATGTAAGCTGTTGGTTCATTTTGGGATTTCATTGCCAGTATTATTCTTTTATACATCACCAAGTTCAGGTGCTATGATACGTGAGTTATTAGGAATGAAAGATCCAAACGGACCATATTATGATCCTATTGGAAAATATGGTATGCAATGCACACGAAAATTCAAAATAATATAAGATTTTTTACGAGTAAATGACTATTATATTTTTTTATTGTTTTTTTTAGATTTTATGCATAGACGTATTACAGTATTGTCAAATAAGTTACTGGACTATTCAAGACCCAAATTAAACAGTATATTTTCACCTACAAATAAAATAGATGAATTAAATTCTAAAGAAGCGCATAATATATTCGTACGAGCATCACCTAGGGATGTATGTGTATATACATATTTGATTAAATTAATTTATTATATATATAAATATATATATGTATATTTCTATATATTTACTTAATCTTTACAGAATCAGCAATCGCATAATACTGTTACACGAAAACAGAATCAAAGCTCTGTACCAAATATTGTCGATGGTAATGACAACATACAAGCGTAAGACTTTTATTCAAACAATTGATTGATATTTGTTATAAACAATTGATTTTTTATTTTTTAATAAATTAATATTTAATACATGTGCACGAATATACGTATATGATAAAGTATACTTTGTAACTTAATCTGTTTAATCTTTTTTCTTTTTTTTTGTCAGTCAGCTAAATTTTAAAATACAAATGTTGCTTCTTTTTACAGAATAACCATATATCCACCACCTCCTGCAAAAGGGGGAATAGCCATCAACACTGAAGATTATTTATGCCTAGCGGAAGATCAGTTTTTGAATGACGTGATTATAGATTTTTATTTAAAATATCTAATTTTAGAGATATTATCAGAATCTGATCAACGCAGGACTCATATGTTCAGTTCGTACTTTTATAAACGCTTGATCAGACCACATGCTCAAGCTGATGAAAGCGTTGTGCCAATGACGCCTGCTGCGAAACGACATGCAAGAGTACAGAAATGGACAAAGAATGTCAATATATTTGAGAAAGATTTCATTATAATTCCTATCAACAAATAGTAAGTAATCATAAATTTTTTAATGATTTAATTCCTAACTGCGCTGACCATGTTAAAATTATGACGTCAGAGGCGAGAAAACACGCTACAAATTTTTGAATGCTATTTCGAAACGAAAAGATATTTTAAAAGTATTTTAAAAGTGCTAAAGCTATCTGAAATAGTATTTCATCGAAATATTTTTTCATTAAAAAATAGCATATAAATTTTCAGCATGTGCTTTTTCGCCTCTGACGTCACAATCTAATATGGCAAAGATCAAGGAGCTATAAGTAGCAAACATGCTATTTTCTTTTATAAATAATATAATTATTTGTAGCAAACATTGGTTCTTGGCTATTATCTGTTTTCCTGGACTAGTTGGAAAAGTTTCCACGCCTGCTAAGAAAACAATAAAAAATGATGTCCAAAAGGTTGTAAAAAAGTTGAAAAAATTGAAAACAAAAGCCATTACAATTGGTTCTACAATCACTCCTGTACCTACGACGATAACGATAGATCAGCTGGATGATGAATTTGAGAAGGATGAAGTTGAAGGTGATGATGATGATGAGATGGAAATAGACAGTGACAAAGAGGTAAAATTAATTTTATTAATTATATTTTCATTATACTATATTCTTTTTACTCTGAAATAGTTAATAATAGAATAACATATTTTATTTATATAGGACGAGACGGAACGACCAGAGGAAAATACAATTCAAACTCAAATTAAACTTGAGCAGCAAAAGGAAATTGTCAAAATGTAGATACATGCATAATACATATACATAATGTATCATTTATGTAATTTGTCGTGAATTGAATATTTGAGTGTTTGAAATTTTATTTACATTGCAGTCCATGCATATTGATATTTGATTCGCTTGCTGGCACCAGTAGATCACGAGTAATCGCTACGTTAAGGGATTATTTAAGTTGCGAATATGTTAGTAAATTTGGTGCAGAAAAGACATTTTCAAAAGATACGATTAAGGGAGCATACCCGAAAGTACCCCAACAATCAAATTTGACTGATTGTGGATTGTATGTATTACAGTATGTCGAAAGTTTTTTTAAGGTAAGAGTATATACAACATTAAAAACAAAAAAAAATTAATTTTTTAATTATTTGTTTCTATATTTCTCTGATTATGCATATATATTAATATAATTATGAACTCTTGTTTTCCTTTATTAGGATCCAATTAAAGATTATACTTTGCCAATTAAAACTTTGAAAACATGGTTTGAGGAAATTATTGTGACAAGAAAAAGAGAGGAGTTATCAAAACTATTAATTAGATTAATAAATAACACCAAAGGGAACAAAACTATCAGTTTGCCCACTATTAATTTCCCCACGTCCGACGGTAAATTAAAACCGAAGAGCGAAACTCAGACAGATACAAAAGCTGCAAAGCCGGAAGGGGAAAACAAGGAAAAGTCTACAAATGTAGAGACAGAAACACGCATTGTCTCAATTGTGACAGAAAATACTGAACCGTCTAATGAATTTATTAGTAGTAGAACTTACCATATTACTCCTTGTTCTTCTCCAAGTTCTACCGACTAACACGACCGAGAGTAATACAACGGAATTGAATTTGACTGAACACAAAACTACAAAGTATAATTATATCTTTTATAGTAATTTTTATATTATTGATAAAAATTATTTTTATTTTACTATCAAAATACGCCTATATACCAACCGTTATGAACCGTTTTCCTGATTCGACTTTGTTTCCACTCACTATAATTCTCCATGGATTTTTCCAGAAACGCTTTCTCCCAAAACATACCAATCAAGATGTGATATTACTATTAATTATATATAAAAGAATTATATGCTATTTTTATAAATATATATTTTGTATAATTAAATATATAACATTTTAATATATCAAATATTTTATTGATTTTTAGATCATCAAATAAAACGGTCGTATTTAAAAGTTAAACGAATTTTTAGGTTGATATCAAGAAGACAGGATCAAGACGATTCTCCTACTATTAAAAAACACAAAGGAGAGTCCTTTAATTCTTGTAAATAAGTTTTTTTCTACATTGATAAGATTATAATGTTAATCCTCATTTACGAAAAATACATGAAATTATTTATTTTAACATATATAAATAAAAATATGTATAGTTAATTTCTTCGAATAAGACTTTGAATAAAACTATTTAATTTCGCAGATTGTACATCTGGTACTTATGTGATTAATTTTTTACATATCTATACTCTATAACGGATTATTATATAGGCATATGTTTCTTTAAAATTTTATATACCTATATAATAACAAAATGTATATATGTATTATCTATATTTACATCTCAGATAAAAAGAAGTATTACCTTTATTAAATTATCTAGAATTTTCAGATAATTTTATTGGTTTCGAATTAGCACATAAAAAATATTTAAGCAGTAATACATATATATATATATATTTTATATCCCTTTTATAATTTACATTTTTTTTATAACTGCATAAGAATACATAGTCTTGAAAATTATTATCTATAAAATTATCTAGATGAATCGCCGTATAATATATTTAAAACAAGATTATCTTCATCTTATCTGGTGATTATCTTCATATTATTTGGTTCTTATTTTATCTTTTTATCATTTATCTTTTTCTAGCTAATATATCTATTTGATTCTCAACTTGGTTCTTATTTGAATAGTTCGGATATGAACCATATCACGGAATCGAACCGTGCTTTTTACCGAACGTAACGATGTAGTTAGTTTATGTCCACTTTGTCAGGGGGCGCATCAGGTTTCTCTCTGATCGTATATATCGACATATCGATGACGTTGGCCAGCTTGAGTGGCCTTTGCAGTTGGCTGAAGTGTGCTGAAGCGGGGTGGCTGCTTTGGATAACGCGTTGTTATTATCGTCGCGTATATAATTTATAATTTATTATTAAAGTGTGTTAGAAAAAACACGTGGTGCAAAGCGCTATTTTGTCACGGATGAAAGAAAACATGAGTGTAATTTCGTGTTTGCTTCTTCTGATTATCGGAATTTTCGAGTCATTCGCCGCAGAATGGAACACAAAGGACTACATGAAACGTGAACACAGTCTGGTCAAGCCGTATCAAGGTTCGCCGATTTCGATTATCTTAATATGTCACGCACTTGAAAGATTTCTTTTTATCGACACGAGATCTATTTATTTATTATTTAATTGCAACATCCTACATTGCGATTCATTTCGTTGTGATTTTGAGGTTACGAAGCGTCAGATTGAGTTATTCTTCACATTTGTAATTGTTTTTTTCGATTATTTATTATGTGTAAATTATTGAAAACTGTTCATGTGTGTTTTACAATTAAAAAAGCAGTAATTATGATTTATCGTTAAGATCAGATCAACGTAAGTACATATAAATCAAAGATATGTCACTCTTAAAAAAGGCGCCAAATATTACATTTTTAATTGTAGGCTTTGATAGACTTTTAAACTATACCATTAGAAATATTCTTTTTTTCTTATTTTATTGAAAGATTCGTAACAGAAACTATAAAATTTTATGAAATATTAAATAATATAAATGTTATGTATAAATATCAGTAAAGATAACTTATAATAATAAGTTGTAAGTTATTTCTAATGTATCTTAAATTCAAGGTAAGCTATAAAATCACGTTATAAAACAGCAAGAGAGATATAGTGACTATAATGTATAATATATAAATATATAATATAATACATAATACAAATTAATGTATAATGTACATTTATAAAAAATCTGTCTTTATTTAAATTATTTATTTTTTAATAATTATATGCAATATAAATAATATACTCATAAAATTATATTTAATATATAATAGGCACAGGTATGACAATGCCTTATTGGGACTTTATGGGAAGTACAATGGTAACTAATAATTATGTCAGGTTAACACCTGATTTACAAAGTAAACAAGGTGCCTTATGGAATTCTGTAGTAAGCACTTTTCTTGTACATGTTTGTGTATATATAAAGACTGTATAATGTATTGAGTAAGATTTTTAAGCTTATTATATTTATAGCCATGCCATGTACGAAACTGGGAACTACAAGTTGAGTTTAAAGTACATGGAAAGGGAAAAGACTTATTTGGAGATGGTTTTGTCATTTGGTATGCCAAGGAAAGAATGAAAGGAGGTCCAGTATTTGGAAATCAAGACTATTTCCAAGGATTAGCAGTAATACTTGACACGTACAGTAATCATAACGGTGCACATAGTGTACGTTGAATATGTAAAAACTTGTAGCAATATATATAGGGTATAATAAGATTATGCTAGTAAATACTTTTGAAGTTCTAGCCAAAGTTTGAATAATCTTGAATATTTCAAATTTTCACATTTTTTTGATTATTTGATATTTTGCAATAATATATTGCAATAGTCATATCTATGTGTTAAAATCTTATTCGTTTCTTTATATCTTTTAAATGATTAATATATTTGTAATAAATAGCATCAACATCCTTATATCTCAGCAATGGTTAATAATGGATCTTTACATTATGATCATGATCGCGATGGTACTCATACACAACTCGCAGGGTGCGAAGCAAAGTTTAGGAATGTAGAACATGGTACACATATAGCTATAAGATATGAGAGGGATGTCTTAACAGGTATGTAAAATTCCAACACAATTATACATTAAAACACATCTGATTGCATCTTTTATATTATGTAGTATGCATTATTATTAAAGTATCAGTATAATAAGAATTTTCAATATGAATAAGAAATATAGCATCTTATTTTACATTGTTTCTTTATTTGTACTTTGTACTTTGCTCTATTACATTACATGGATTGTTTTTGTGTTTTTACTTACATTGTGTCATCTTTATGATTAGTTTTTTCTTTTGTCTGCAAACGTATATATGTATACTGACTGTGAAATCACATATATATATTATGCTAATCTTACATTTTTTTTTCTTTTTTTTATCACAATAAAGTTTCAACGGATATTGCTGATAAACTAGGATGGAAGCAATGCTTCCAAGTGAATGAAGTTAAACTACCAACAGGATATTATATGGGAATTACCGCAACCACGGGTGATTTGTCTGACAATCATGATATACAGTCAATTCGTTTGTTTGAATTAGATTTACCAGATGATGTAAGTGCTAAGAAAAAATTACTAAATTTTTAATAAGTCTTGTTCCATGTTTCTATATTGAATGTATAACATTTTTTATATACATAATCAATTTTATATGTCGATAAAAATATAAACGATTTAATTATAATAATTAACAAATTAACAATGACAATCAACTTGACAATTTAAATGAATTTACAGCCTAAAGACCAAGAAGATAGATCTCAAATTGTGCCCTCAGCAGCGTTCTATGATGCACCAAGAGGTACGATGGAATCAAATAAAAAGTACTCTGTTGTGTACATATATATAAATTTTTATTCTAATATCTCTTATTTCAGAACGCATAGAAGATACGAAGCAATCTGGCATGAGTGGTATAAAGCTTTTCCTAATTATGCTAGTTGGTGCACTTGCATTAATAGTCATTGTTGTCATTGCCATTATGCTATACCAGAAACATCAGGAAAATAGCAGAAAGCGTTTTTACTAAGTCAGCTTTTTTTAGATAGCGTGTATGTCTCTTGAACGTCACAGTTTACCGATTTCTCTTTTATCCAGAATCCTTTGTATACATAAGACATATTATAGATTATAAAATACTCATAAGACTGTTCTTTTTTTTTTTCAAAAATTAAAATAAAGAGTGATGACAAAAAGACTTGTTTTTTCGCCCATTTTATAGGGTTGAATTTTGGGACCCCAAATTTCAAACTTTTTTATGCCAAATAGTACTATTAGATGAAACATTAATCCCACTAAAATTTTAAGATGAACATAGGCACGGTTCCTTAGATATGAAAAAGTGAAAGTGATAATTTCTCATAAAACTGACTAAAAATCATCACTTTTCCCCTTGTATCTTCGAAACCATGCCTATACTCATCTCGAAATTTTACTGGGATTAATATTTCATCTAATAGTACTTTTTGCCATGAAAAAAAAGTTTGAAATTCGAGGTCCCAGAAATGGGCGTTTGTCATCACTCTTTAGCATAAAGTTATGTAAATGGTGTTTTTTTTTTGCAAAAGAATAAAGGCTTCAGGATAAAGGAGAAATATGTATGTATGCAAGTATTTTAACAACTTAAAACATTTGCCGAATGTTGTCTCATTTGTATATTAAATTGATTGCCAATTGTCATTAATTGAATTTTAATGTGTGTCTATTTAATTTTATTATATCTAAAAGTACGTATTTATTATAGTTCTTATAAACCAAAGTTATTAGTTCTTGAGATGCCACAAGGAATTTGACAGTTTCTTATATACCTGACTTGTAAAAAAAAATATATTGGGAAGAGATAATAATTAACTTGAGTGTATTATATGTGTACATTGTTAACTATATCAGAATGATGTTGAAAAATCTTCCATATGTTAATTTCAGACTAAATATTCAAGATTTTTGCCGTCGCATGTTTTTTTTAAACCATTTATCCAAGTTGGAATGTAAATGTAAATTAATTCTAATATATTCAGTAATTTTTAAAAAATATTTAAAGAAGTACATCACAAATAAAAGGAATGTTTCTTAGAGGAACAAAAAACAATTCTTTTTGATCCTTTTTTTTTTATTTTTTTTTATTATTTTTTTTTTTTTTTTAATTCGGTAATTATTTGCAATTGCAGATTAGATATAGTGAAGAAGACTTTATTAATATAGATTTTATATCTGTACATAAAGGAAAAATTAATATTATATTCGAAGCTCCCATATTGTATACAGTTTGTGTTAGAACTTTTTGCAAATTATATACATCTACAACTATAAACAGATTATTAGTCTGTTGACTATATTGATCATACGAATTATGTAATATTAGAATGGAACTTGACATTGTATCAAAGTACAACATAAAGAAAACGCAATATGGAAGATTCTTTAATGTATATTTCAATATATAAAATAATTAAATAGTGTAAAACTCTGTATTGTATAATAAAGTTCTTTTATATGGAAATTAAGAAAAAGAGGGAACCAAACCGTTTAATAAACAATTGTCTTGTTATCAATATGATGTTATCATTCGAAACAATAATGTATCATGTTGCCAAATACAAAATAAATATGTCTATATAATTCTAAACAAAATATCTGCTTTTTTCTATAATAGGTATGCTGGTGCGCACAGATATATGAGGTATTAAAACTTATTGCTACATTAGTAGTAAGACAATATTTTGAATTTTATATTTCTTAATATATTGTTTATGACAAAAATATACATTTACACAGAATGCAAGAGTTCATGGTATTTCGATGCATTTAATCATTAAGTTTGCTTTGAAGAAGCATATAGAATACTTTTATTATCAACGATAAAACTATTCAAACAGAAAACACCAAGGCACATCTATATCTGTCTTATCTCTTTTCTACTATCTTGGTTCCTATTGTCTTTGTGTAATACAATGACGAAACTATCCTTAACTCTATAGACAGATATACTTATTAATAGTTATCTGACTACTTAACATCAATGTACAAAGTAAATTGTTTATATTGTACATATATTTTCAGTGTTCCTTAAAAGTTGTGTCATTCAGGTAACTGAATTTTAATAGTTTAATCGATATTACACAAAATTCTATATGAATATTATATTTTTTCCTTTGTTCTTTTAATCATAGATTATTAAATATAATCTAAGATTATATATTAGTTTGTGCATATACTGCCCTAATTCATCAATTAAAATTTTATCATGATAATGTATGTAATTATAAATCTAGTTTAAAAAATGCAGTTTTTTATTACATACATCATTAAAAGAAGATTGAAATTATGTCAATTCTAATCATTGTCCAAAAACGGAATACAAAAATATCAAGTGTTTGTCTCTTTTTTTTTACTGGCAGTAATGCTTAGGAAAATATATCGATCTTAAAATATATGTTAATATTCTGAAGCAGATTACAATTTGTTTATGAAAATCTAATTTATATGCCTGAGGCGTTTGGTAACATCAAAACGCACTATTATCTACTTTCATATCTCACACACACACACACATATGTATATGTGTGTCAGACATTGAAGAAATGCTGCTTATATATCTAATATAATTATTTTTTTCAATTTAGCTTGTACTATGTACATATATAATGTGTGAGATATAATATTTTGCATTATTATATTTTAGCGGTATAAACACACTTGTAAATCAATCATCTATTTTAATAAAATGCTTATGTTAAATTGCTCAAACGAAGAATTAATGTACTGAAAGATTTATAATATATTGAAACGTCTTTTAAAGACAATTGTATTACAATTCACTGCATGCATATTTATACTCATAAAGTTGTATTTTCTCAGTACATTAATTATATATGAATTGTATTTCCAATTTTGTTTAATTTTTACTTTCTCAGTTTAGAAACTCTAATAAAATAATTCTCGTTTTTATAAGATAAATAGTATTAAATAGACAATAGTAATATTTAGAAATATTAGAATAGTATAGACATGCTAAATATAAATTAAGAAAGTTTTCAAAGAATTCAATCATGTAATCAAACAAAGTAATCATGTGATCACTTGAACATTACAATTGGATTTAAGAGAAAATTTAATACTGTCTTTACACTGAGTAAAACATCTCTGATAATAGAACTTAAGCTTATCCGATACCTATAACGTTTGTAAGATGTTTCTAGATCAAGTGAGTTGCACGCGAGACATCCTGCCTCTTCTAAATCGATATGTGGTTCGGCGCCACCGAGAAGAGATTCTCTTTCTAAGCCATTATTCAAAAGCACACCAGAAAACCAAATTTTGTCGCCCGGATATATGTTCAAACTAAAATTTGTAAAAGAATGATCCGCGATAAGACGTATCTCCGTTGTACTTCCCCAAACGCCGTTTTTCATCTTCACGAAGATCTCGAATTCGTATCGATTCCAAGACGGCACGTGACATTTATTCCTTCGTCTCTGAATGCTCGTGACATGCTTGCAATTCTTTTTACGAGTATCGTCGCCCGAATTACAATTTTCCACGTACGCTTCCCCGTACATACAATTAATTATAGATCTAATATTATCAGGCAATTTGTTTAATATGATTGCGATATTGTTCTTCATCGATTTTAATCTAACATTCGTCACGTAACCTTCCCACGAAACAGGTACGCCTTCCAACTGGGCGCATTGCGCTTGCACTTGAGCTTTCGACGACAATTCTTCCCATGCAGGTTGATGACAGTAGTTTCGATACTGATCCCATGTTAAGCTAGAAGCGATTTCGTACGATACTTCTGAATCCTGCTTATATTCCAATAGCATTGGCCATGATAAAAATGTCGCAGCACCAATACCAAGCACAATCTATAAAAAAACAAGACATAAATTTTTAAGTCTAAGATGGTCAAAGCATATTAACGATATACATACTTGAATGAGCGTAATAATCCAATTAAATCTTGATGCTCTGGTTCTTCTCAGATACCATGAAGCCAAAAATGGCATTCCTCCGAGTACAGTGGTCACCGCTATTCTCATTGCCAGATCATTTTCCGATAAATACTTTGCAATGGCTATGATTGGTAATATGACGGAAGCTATACCGGCTATTGGAAGAAAGAGGACCATGCCGACTAGCGCAAGGGCACCTCTGATCAAGCCGTACCATGTCGCGCCTTGAGAACTGAAGATTGCTATTTGCCACCAGCTCAGAGTAACGCAGTGAGGTATCAGAGTTCGATACGTGCCTCGCCAACCATCTCTTGCAGCCATTTTCGCGAAGACCGCTGGTATCAGAAGATAAAACACAGCGCGGAAGTTGAGACAGAACTCTATACCGTTGCCGACAACATAAGACGCAAATGTCGGCACTCTGACGTCCAAGAATCTCCAACTTTGCGCCACAACCATATCCGTCTCGTAAGGATACTTCGCAAGAACGTGTACGCCGAAACTGAACAGAGCTAGGAAGTCGGGAAACCGCGAAGAGTCCTTCCACATGAAATTAGAGAGCGTAATGAGAGTCAACGCGACCGCTATTACGGTGAATTCGGATTGCGGAGTCCACTGATGAGCTATCAAAGGATAGAGTATCAGGTTCAAGAGCAATGCGAGAAAGAAGTGTCCGTGAGGTTTCAGATTGTTGCGGCAAAATTGATACTCTGCTTCCTCAGGATTCAGATTTCCGCCCGAATAACTCAGAAAAAGGCCGGACCACACACGGAAGTCGTTGAACTCGCGTTTCCGTTGAAGCATTTGAAATGTGGCTACTACCATGACTATGAACGATAGATAGTAGAGAGCCATCGGTATAAAAAGTATTAGGCTCTCTGTACCGAATAAAGAGTATAATAAGAATAATAAAAAAATGTGTAAGTTCGATGTGAATAAGATATTTCTGATCGACGTTCCTCTATGACCCAGAGTCTCGATCAGCCAACTATAGAAACGCTTTAACGATGCAAGTGGATGGACGAATGATCTCTGCAGCAACGGTATTGTATCCAGTTCCAATTCGGAAGGATCCACCACGGAGAGAGCGTGTGATACTATTGGAAGCATTCCACGTGCATAACTCGCAGCCGCGGACACCAAAGCAGCCTCTGTGATCTTTTCACCTTGATGATCCGTCCGATCTGCGATTATGTAGCAAATGTATGTAAATGTAAGTAAAGGATATATAAATGTGTAAACATTTTTTAAAACTTCTTACTCTGAATGTCGTTTGCTCGATCTTCGTCTTTTGAAGCTGGAGAATCGTCAGGAAGCCCGTTTCTGAGGAAGCAATCGTTATCATCGTCATTCAATTTCTTTTGCGACAAGTTATTAGAAGAATTATTCGATTGAGAAGAATCGTGATTACTGGTCGATGGGGACGATAAACTTCTCATACGTCTTTGCAGTTGTTCTGTTGTAATAAAATCCTCGCCGTTTGCTAAGCTGATTGGAAAAACAAATTTCATATTATATAATGTGTGATTTGTTTTTATATTTTTATATTATCATATGTTATATTTTTATATATAACATATGATAATATATTTAATGTATATAGTGTGTAATTTATTTGTATTTGTCTCTATTGCTTGATTATTTATTTTTTACCTTGTAAACATCTCTCTTGCTGCTCTTCTAGCCAACTTTTCATCTTGCGTCATATCCAGACAACTTTTCACATCATAATAATTATGCTCCGTAATACCATGGCCTGTAGCTAAACATTTTCTAAGAATGTCAGTTGCTTCTAGATTTCCCTGCTCCGAGGCTTTTGTCAACCAATAAACACCCAATTTGGCATTTTCTTCTTTATCAACGTCAAGATCTACAAATATATATTTTAACATATAATGTATGTATATAACAAAGATAAAATAATGACAGGAAAATTTTATTACAGATATTTATAACTTTATAACTCACCACATCGTTCTTCCAATAATTGTTTAGCTAATATTACTTGAGATTCTGGACAGCCATCTTCTGCCAATCGAGAACGTAACCGTCTAAGAGAACCTTTAGGTCCATCTATTAATAAGATAATACAATTAATAAATTGTTTAAATCACAGTTCATTATCTTATTGCATACACATGAGACATTAATAATAAATTAACATTGTTCCAAGTGATGTTAGCTATTGTGATCATTATCAAAGTTTTATTCAGATTGCATCCAATTTTGTTGATGCATAATAATTATTATATAAATAATTGTTAATTCATAAAACATTAATTTGAATATATATTGTTGAAAAGACATTTCTAATAAGATTAATTATGTGATTAATTAAATGTCGTATTACAAAACGTAAGGATATCGCTCATCAATTGTCAAAGATGAATTTTTCATCGATTCCAATTTGACAATTAACATTCATTTGTTTATTTATGTGTGCTGTTTGTAAAACAAATTTAAGAACGCGTTGTATTTCGCGCCATTTTTTATTCACAGATCACGTGCGCCTCTCTGACATGAACATAGTCAACATCCTTGTCCGAATAAATTAGATCGCATTCCATCCCTCTCAAAGTTCGCTCGTGCGAGATCGCAGGAGATGATTACCGTGCAGCGTCCACTGTTTTCGGCCGGATCTGCCGGAGAGCGGCATGATACCAGCCATGTTTTCGTGACCCGGAACAGTTCGCGATCGTCGCGAGATCCGTCCGCTCGGTTCTCGTCCGTGACAGATATCGCGCGTCCGCGATCTCGCCGTCCAACTTTTCGCGGACGCGAAACGCAAAACACAAACACCGACCGGACGCTCCTGTTGAACAGCTGGTAAGCGTGGGCGCGCGGCGCGTGCGCGTGCGCGTTCATGCACGTGAAGTTAGGTTGAGTTGGACCAGGTTAGATACGTAAACAACGCGCACTCGCCGCGCCGGGTGCGCCAGAGATTCAATCTTTTTGCGCGTGTGTGTGTGTTTTTTCGGTAACTTTCCGCTCAGCATCTCGATTAGAAAGCGAAATGTTGATTTAGTCGCCTATTTGTACTACGAGACGCCGTTATCGGGGACAAATGATCAGAAGGTTAACTCATTTGCCGCATCTCTTGCAACATCTTTAACTTTTAGTCTCCATTTTGAACGTTTTTTCTCATTTCATTACTTTTTCCGTTACAGATGCATGTCACGAGCGATCCGGATTTCTCCGGATTTCAGACACGATCGTCGATGGAAAATTCATCTTGTCCACAATGTTAACTACTTGGGGTATGTTACTATAAAATAATTTCAATCATTGGTTTGACAAACAAGTATAATTTGTGGAGCAATTTTTGTTTTTGGAATAATAATATATATATGAAGATAAAGAATAATAATAAATATAGTGCTCTTTCTTAATTGAAAGAGAGGAAAACAAAAATTATACATAAAATTATTTGTACATTCTTAATGAAATAGATTCTAATTAATCACATAATTAATTTTAAATATTTATCCTCAATAATGTGAGAACAAAAATTAATGCATTTTTAGAATTATACATTTATTATTTCTTCAATAAATATGCAAAAGTTGTTGCTACGATACAATTATACATACATAAATGTTATGCAATTTACTTGATTATTATGTACAATATACATGAGTAATATGTATCCAATGTACATAATGTCTAAAAAACGCTGTTCCCTCTAATTACAACTCGTCTATTTATATAAAGATATGTTTTGAGAAATTTTTAAGTCACAAGTCAATTTGTCAAAGAAATATTTAACATATTGCCAAACTTTATACTGCTCGAAAAGCATGACGTAAATACGTGTTTACGATTAGCAATAATAAGTGATGCACGCATATTTAATATCCGATTCAACTTGCAAATTTGAAGTTGGTTTCGATGAGTTTGTAGAGTCCTCGGCCTCGAAACGTGTTGATTGAAAGCCACCCGCGAGCTATATTTATTTAGCAAAACCATGTTTTCGCGGGTTGCTCGTATAGTCAGAAATCGGCGCGTAAGCTGGCACTGTGAATCATAAATGGATAATGCACAATTAGAATATATGTAATAGGGTGTATCTAAATTTTCGGAGATGATTCTTTGACGAAAATTAAGGGGAATTTTTTTATATAAACACATATACTTCTATATCCCTCCCTGAGAAGTTACACTTTTCTAGAGAGGCAGGTAAAAATTAAGTTTTTATTTTTTTCCCAAATTTCAGATAAATTACAAAAATAAAACGGAAAATATCCACCAAGTTTCAATTTTTTAATTTGCCTGAAATTTGAGAAAAAAAATACAAACTTAATTTTTACTTCTCTCTTTAGAAAAGTGTAATTTCTCAGAGAGAAATATAAGAGTATATGTTTATATAAGAAACTCCCTTAATTTTCGACAAAGAATTATCTTCGAAATTGTTTGCATTTATTTAGATACCCTGTATATCATACGCGGAGAAATACTTACAAATTCGTCGGTCCGGTATAAGGTGGCGGATTTGGACGAATATACGGATTGCAACGTTCGCCGGAGCTTCTGAAAAATGATCTTTATTAAAATCCCAAGTAGAACAGAAAATCAAAATAATATCATTTTGACGTCATACTGATCAAATTTGGAGTTCAAATTTGGTCAATATGACGTCAAATTGACATTATTTTGACTTTTCTGTTCTACTTGGGATCACAAGATAATCAAAGCAACACTGAAAACATTTGTTTATTTGACTAAACTTTTCGGCTAAATATTATTTTGTTAATTGAATATATAAGAATATTTAAATATAACATATTAAATCTAACAAAACGTTAGTATACTACTTGACTTGAATACTAATATACATATGTTAAATTAATAAAATAATAATTTAGTTGAACAGTTTAATCAAGTTAACAAATTTTTTTTCAGTATATGATAATATTAATAAAGCAATAATAGAGAAACTATTTAAAAAAATATAAAATAAATACATTGTCGAATAAAATTAGAATTAAAACAGCAAATTCTTCAAGTTCTTGCCTCAATTATGTGATACATATCAGTATACAATTATACAATTATTGTATAAAAGGCAGAACAAGAAACGAGTGAAAGATTTGTTAATATTTTTAAAACATTTTTTATATTCTTTTTAAATGTCTTCTTGAAAACAAATTTAATTTATATGACTCGATGACTTAAATTATTCGAAATTTTTCGTTTTGTATTTGTGCGATATATAGTTTTCTCGTTTCACGCAAAATGTACTTATATAATTTAGTAAAGAGTATTTGTAAAGATTATTCATTCGACTTTGTACGAATGTCTCTTTACTATTTCCACGTAATGCATACACAATATGCGATCGCGTTGAATTGTATTGTTTTTTTCCTTTTTTCGACTGGAAAGAATTACGTCACATATTATTATTGTACATGCACTTGTACGTTTGATTAATGATTCTGCTTGTGCGTACGCACGATATTCTCTTCATGGGAAATAATGTCCTACTGCTTTACGCAATAACACGATAATTTAATGCAATTTTTGTTGTCTTCTCTAAAATCTTAATTTTTTCTCGGGAGGGAAATTCCGGTGCAAAATAAAATGCTTATAAATATTCATCAACCATTATTTATGATCATCAGATTTCCAGAGATTGAAAGCAGCATAATTTGCACAAGTTTGTCATGGATTTCATTGTAAAAAAATACATATACAACGGTAATCTTTATATTTAATTCGTTCCTAAAAATGCGATAATTTATGTAAAAATAATTCTTTTTACAAGCATCAATTAAAATAATAATTAACTTGTCGAAATTATATCTTTTGATCTTTGTAAGTCATTCTACCTCGGACTTCGTGATAGAGAATTATTCGGACTCGATGGTTGAGCTGACAGAGATTTCAAAGTGCCTCTCTCCGACATGGCATATTGCACCATTTGTATTCCATTGTTTCCGACTCCTTCCACTGGTGTTGGTTCTCGTTTTTCGCTGCAAAAATGTACAAAAATATAGCTTCGTTAAAATAGAATCTTATTTAAAAATTCAGGAGAACATTAATACTTCACAATTCAGATTTATTATTCGCATTTGTAATGCGATGAAAATAATATTTAGGAATGTGAATAAAATTAAAATGCAACTTTGTTCGAAAACCTATTAATTATGATTAACTGTAATTTTATATCATCATTTATCATATAAATGATTACAAACATATTGTTAATCTTTACAAGATTTTAAAAAGCCTGTACGGAAAAAAATTAGTTATCATAGCAAAATTTTAGTTGTCCCTATATATGAAACATGAAATTTAGTTATCATGTTTAAATTTTGCTATATATGATAGCTAATGTTTTTAAAGCATTCTTCATTAAACTATAACTAAAAAATATTAGTTACCATAGCTAAAATTTAGCTATGATAACTAATTTTTTTCCGTAATGTAGATTTCAAAATCGTTATATTTAAATAATAATTTATTTTTATGACAAAACATGCACAATAAATTAGAAAAACTATATATGAGGAAATAAAATTGAAAATAAATTGAATCTGAATTAATTAAAATGGTAAAGTCAAGTGGTTTCCATATCAATTTATTATATGTATTATTTCACACAAAATTAGTAGTACTTTAATTATGTTGCGCCCGGTTGCGTCATTATGCAACAATTAGTAGTTATTAGAAATCTCAAATAAATTATTTACGCAAGTGTGAACATACCTAATAGGTTGTTCCCTTATAAGGAAAATATTAAAGAGTTCATCAAAATATTCATCTGAGTCTGGATCTGTCCTAGACAAAATAAAATATAAATATCTATGTTTTTTCATTGAATATGTTTAAATAATAGCTGATTAATTAATATCATTAAATGTAAACGGTCGGCCGGTTTAACATTAACGTTTGCGTCAATCATAAATTATATTATCTAGATTGCATAATTGAAACTGTATAAATACAAAGGTTGATAAGTAGATAATAGTATATTATTTTCTTCTAATGACATTTTAATCATTATTTATGTCAGAATACGTCTCTTATGCAAACTTCGAAAACATAAATAATAAATATACAAGTTGCAGTAAAAAATAAGGAAAAAACTTGCGGATATAAAACTAATCAAATAATTTAAACAAGTTAAAAAGTTTTCAAACAAGTATATAAACATCTATACGATATGTTTATTTGTTATTAAGATAACATTTATTAATTCATATTTTGCAATAAACTATCTATAGCTGTCAAACAATATTCCAATCATCTAATAATCGATGATAAGGAAATATTACAATAAAATATTATTTATTCAAACTTATCATAAATTTAAAAAATAAAATTCTTTTACGATTATAATTTTGAAAAATTTTTGCCAATATTTATATTAACATATTTATTGAATTCGAATAAATATTTATGTCAATATACTGCCTTATAAATCATTTATTTAAAACTACTAATATGGACGTGAAAATATATATTTATTGGATACAAGAAAATTCTTTTCAAAACAGATAAGTATTTATTTATTTTAAATAAATGATTTATAAGAAAATATTGAAATAAATATTTATATTAATTTAATAATTTTTTTTCAATCTGTATATAATATAACGAAATTTTGTCACAATATATGCTTAAGGATGCCTGAAATTTCAAACAAGTACATAAAAAATTCGTCTCGTTCAGCATTTACCATAATTGAATTCTTATCGCGATTTTTTATATATTAATCAAATGGGAAGAAAGTCGATAGGACGTTGATTAAAGGGGAAGATGAAAGAGAGCGCGCCGCTAAAACCCGTTTGTCGCATAATTATGGAGAAAAGCTTTTATTGTACGATAAATTTTTATGATGCTTCCATCGAAAAAAAGAGAATGGGTTTTCTGCGGGCCTCTCTTCGTGGCAGCGGCCAGAACTTTTTAATGAGTCATATCGCGTCTATGACGCGCGAGTCCTGTTCCTGTTTGCGCAGTGCCCGCATTATCAACCGCGTAGATTACCTTGATCGTGCGTATGGATCACGACACGGTTTGTCGGAGTCTCCCTTGGGGAGAACATATAACACGAGCGTGCTGGACATGAACGCGGAACGTGAAAATAAACGCGCGAGATCGCTCACGACTCTCTCCGCGACTCTCCTCGATTGTGACTTCAATGAATCCCCATCGATTTCCCCTCTCAAACGCGCGCGAAATGAACACGGCTACGTCAGTGTTGCGTCAATCGTCACGTGTAACACGACATAATTGACTTATTATCGCGACGCGCCAATGAAAATTGTTGCGCTCCACGATACTCGAAGACACGCACGCACTCGGACGTGCAAGTGCGCTTTGGACAGGGTCGTCTCTCTTTTGCAAACGCGCCGATTATCGTACACAACACGGACAAGCCGGCGACCCGATTAAAATTCTGCTGCATTCCATTTAATCGCGCGTCTCCATTTATGGCCACGGATTGAATTCGGTGGAATTTTCAGCATGCACAAATTTCGATAGGAGAAAGGCGTCTTGTAAAGGCGCCAATATCGCGACGTTTTTATTATCGTAAACATACACGAAGAGAATTTTCTCATAGAATTTACTCTGAAAATCATAGTAATCCTTGGACAATATTGGATTTTTAAGAATTTTATAAGAGTTTCTCTGATTAAATATTTACCAGAATAAAAAATATTAATTTGTACGCGTAGTAAAATTAATCGAACATATTTGATTTATCTCATTGCGGTAGATATTAATATTTTATTGTGATAAATATTTAATCAGAGAAACTCTTATAAAATTCATTTTTAGGATAAATTCTAAGAGAAAATTCTCTCTGAAACGTCATCAAAGTTATACTTTACGCTTATAAATTATAAAAATACTAGTAAAAATATAAAAAAAAATTGATATTATAATTAAGAATTTATTTCACCAATATCTCATAATTATTACGTAGTGTATGTTTGATAACAAACACACTCGGTGACTAAAATAAATTCGCATTTATTTTCTCGACGGTTATACCTCGTATATTGACACGCGCTGTTTATTAATTGCCTTCATATTGCGAAAAATATTGACGTTAGACGATTAGATTAGATGCGATTTCGCGTATGTCGTTCTCGAATACATATTATTATCATTGTAAGGTTCAAGAGGTTTTTCGTAAATATTTACGATAAAGACTGATATTCTTTGACGTAGAACGCCTAATTATAATAGATTAACCGGTGTTATCAAAAGTAATGTATATTACATGCAAAGGTAAAAGTGTCTCAAAGTTGCTGATAAAATAATAAAAGGTCACTGCAAAAAGTATATTAAAAATATATTCAACTAGATTAATCATTATGAAATGTGTTGTAAACTGTAATGACAGAAAAAATTTACTTGATGTATATGTTTAATAATTTTATAGTCTGACTCCAAATGAATCAAATGATATGTCTTGTAATAATTTTTAATTTATATGTATCTCATACAGTCATAAGAATATACGAAGACTCAATTACTTTTCCACGAGCATCCAGAAAAAAATGTAGATTTTATGACGACACTTACACGATAACTTTGTAAAGTGTCTTTTGTGGCCATTGTAAGTATTATTTCCGGTCAGTTCACGCCTTTTAGCGGTAGCCGGTCCATACCGCTTTTGTAACTAGTAATTGAAGCGTTCAACTGATATAACATTACGTCATTTTGCGAACTCGTGGATATTATTAGAGAAAAAAACTATTTTATACATCCTATTAAGAATAAAAATAGTTTTTCTAATAATACATTGAATAAAATAATATATCCTCGCAACACACACATACTATACATTGAGATATCTAAAAAAAATCTCGCAATTTTTCAAACGCTTTCAGATATCTTTTAAATTCTTGTTTTGTGTGTTTGCAACAATATACATATATCATAATAATAAAATTTTGTTGTAATTATTCTCTTATATTTTCCGCAATTGTTTGCCTTTTAAACAAATTTGTCCCATATTACTAGAACAAGATTTTAATTATTTTTTAAATCAAAAGCGCCATATTAATGGCTGCTTAAAATTGTTAGCTTAATAAAAAATACTGAATTCGTTTTTCCATAGCATGCCTAAATTTGCAAAATAACAGTTCTTTTTTTACGTTGACACATCTTGATTAGTGCTCAATTATAGCGATTATAGACGAGAGAACGAAAGGGGCCGCGACAATGGTAAATTTGAGAGCAGACACGCGACTTGAAAAAAATATTTACATATGCGAGGGTAAAATTAGCGTACGGTATGCGGTCGCCGATTGGCGGAAATCGGCATCGATCAGCGACACGTCGATCTATTTCCGCGTGAATAAGCGAGGCATGCTTGCCGATAAGCGATTCCGTTGCGTCACACCGATTCCGATCGCGTCATGCACTCATATGACCGTTGATCGTGAGGCACCGATCACTCGCGGTCACTTACCCGTTCGTCGTACGTCGCACGCACGCACGTACATACCTACGCACGCATGTATGCATGCCACGCGTTAGTTAGCATATGTGTGTACATGCGCAGCGTGAAAGAGATCAGGCGTGCGAATGGTAAGCATAGTGTACGCAGACACGTCAAGCCTCCTCCCTTCTCCCTGATGAAAGACAGCGTGATCAGGTGACACGATTTCGCTCTGTCATCATCGTGACTAGACGTGGCTATTTAAAAAAAAAAGATAGTGTTCTTTCTTTGTTTTTAAATTAACATTAGCGCGACATCATGAAGAATTCTGCTAGATATTAGCTAGCAATAATACACTATGATAAATAGAATATCAAAAGGTTAATGTAACGTGAAACTTGTTAACTTGACGCTTTTATCTTTCTTTTTTTTTTTACTATTATTTTCTGTTATTCTTCTATTCTTTCTTTGTACGATTTTTTTATTTATCACTTAGCACTTTCTTTTTTCTGAGTTTTTCCATTTCTTTTCTTTTTTTTTATTCTTATATTATTATTATAATGAGAAGTTTTATGGTAGACCATTACTGGCACAGCCACAGTTTTGCTTAATCAATGTTAATTGATTAAGCAAAATACTCGAAGCCGATAAAAATGATTATTGCATTCTTAAAAATATTTAAAAATTTTAAATATTTTAATATTTTAATATTTTAAAAATTGTAGTTAGGCAGTTATTTCGATAATTTATAATAGCCTGTGCACGCAAAGAATTTTCTCTTAGAATTTATCCTGAAAATCATGGTAATCGTAAGACAATATGGTATGGGAAGAATTTTATGAGTTTCTCTGATTAATATTTAGCACAATGAAAAATATTAATCAGAGAAATTTTTATAAAATTCTTCCAGTACCATATTGTCCCACGATTATCATGATTTTCAGGGTAAATTCTCAGAGAAAATTCTCTCTGTGTGAATTTGGAATGGCTGTTGGAAGAAATGCGCTTACATAAGCGAACAGATTTTAAATCGAAAACATAAGCAAAATGTTAAATATCACCGATTCTGTGACGTTTTATCAATTTATCGCCATGAATGATCTGGACCCAAACAAGTTTGACGTTCGACGAACTAAAATAGTCGTATTTTTATTTAAGAGTGAAAAAATATATTTGTATACGCGACAAACGTGACGCACATTGTGTCCATAATAAGATCACAGTTAAATCGGTTACATCACACGTACAAAAATTTCGATATCTGTAAATCGCCCGTAACCAGTTATTTATATCGCGCGTATGTATATATACATTGTATTCCGAAAATTATGTAATTTTAATCTTTTTATCGCCTCCAGAAAAACACATTGTTCTTCTCTTTGTCACGACTCATTACTCGCAAATTAACCGACCCTGAATGCTCGTTTTTATTGCCTTGAGCTGCAAATAAAGAAAACTGGAACGTGATAATGGACTTGGCAAAATAAGCAATTCCTCATTTTTATATATACATATAAAATATATAAGAAAATACTATGGAAATGTGTACGTACAAACTTTATCTAATTCAAAATTGTGCTTTGTTTTAACGAAAACTTGATTGCATATATATTTCTAAATCTTTGAATTTTCAACATATAAAATTTTGGATTATTAAACATACTTGCCAAGTAATCGGTCTCAAATAACGTTCGAAAGGAAACAACTTGAAATTTTCATTTAAAATGTTTTCCGGTGATAGTCGATAACCTTGCATGTGTGAAATATATATCCGATAACAATCATTTTGTATTTCAAACTGTGCATTATAATTACTGACATATAATTACGTACGTCAAAATGCTTCCGTTCGCGGTTTGTATCAAAGTCAACATTTCACATTCGTCCATTTCTTGCTTTTTCCCCTTCCTATTTCTTCGCGAATGTCATTCATATCTGGGCGACCTTATCCTTTTCTTTTTTTGTCAATGTGACACGCAACAGGTATGTTTCATCTTACGATTTCTTCACGATATTCCGCAAATCAAGGAGAACTACGATTCTCCTGTTTTTTTATTATTGTTAATTAGAATTATTTAATTAAATAGCACTCTATTTTTACGTAAATATATATATATATATATATATATGTATACATTATGTATAATATTATATATATATATATATATATATATAATGTATACATATACATATACAATTATATATAATGGCTTTTTATGTTTCTCATTTATTTTATTATCGCTTTATATATATTATTATTGTGAAATTGTTTGTCGGGATATATCTAATTTATGCGATTCTTGGTTCGTTAAAACATTATGCTGACGATTTTAAAAAACAGCGTTTTACGCTAATTCTATCCGTCTAGACTTTGACTTGCGTGTTCTTCGTTTTCGTTGTGCGTCACTCGTAGCAAGTGCATATTTTTCAAATTTATTTACCGAACATTCGTGCGATTTGGCATATTTTGATCGTACCGGCAGACATCTGTCAGATATCTAGTTATGAATGAAACTCGTCATAATAGCATATAATAACAAATACAGAGACTGCATGCTATTGTTAAATGCGCCCCACGGTGTGCTAAGCTATTGAAATTTTATCAAAATTAATATATATCGTATAGGCCTTCAAAGAATATTTTTTGTAAACACAATTGACCGAATTAAAATTCTTCAGCGTTCTGATCCCTGCTACAGAAATTTTATTGCAACAAATTATGCATGCATTTTCTCGACTATTACGAGACACTCAGATGTTGTAATCTTAATTTTCTCTCAGTTAATGTAAATGCTAAACAGGAAATAATGTCATCATTCATACGTAAGTGACCACAACTACAGATAAGAAATAAAGATATAAAAGCATTAAAATTAACTGGGTACAATTAATGAGAAGCAAAATATTGAATAAAAAATGAAATAGCGAAATCTACATCAAAATAAAGGAAAAAATAAAGATAAAATATCAAAGCTTTATCAAAGGAAAAAATATGCGAAATAAAAATATCTTTTTCCGGAATGCAGATGACCATCACGTTAAAGTAGCTCCGACTGGTTCTCCTCCAGCAATAAGGTATATAATGAGCGCTTACATTTTCTCGTGATGTAGACAGAAAGCGGTGCTAAGCAAGGCGCCTAGCACGAGAAGTATGATGACTGGTACGAAAATTGTGGTGGCGATTTCATTGAAGTAACTTCTCGTGGGTATGCTAGCTTTCGTCGAACGAGCCCAACGCCACTCCGTGTGCTCGGAGATGCCCGACGAAGGTAATCCTACAACGCTGGGACCCCGTCGAGCGCTCTCGTGCTGCAGACTCTGCTGGTCCTCTTCTAACTATATAGAGGAAACAATTGTCAATCGATCTGATAAAAAGAATATCATGAAATGTCGCGGAAATAAATGCCCCATTTTCGGATAATTATGACATCTCATGCATGATAATGCGCGAATCAAATATACAATCGATTAAGATATGAATTTACAAAATGAATATTTACGTAAATTAGAAAGACTGTTTGTGCGATAATTGAAAAAAAAAATTCTCAAGAAATACACGACGATAATAGATATAAAACGTGCATTGTCATCGTCAATATACTTGGAAACGTACCAAGTTTGTCTGAGAAGATAGATATATTAGATGCTTGTGCACACTGACATACGATAACATGTTGTATCATGAGTGCATACTTTTTTGGAAGGCAAATAATACAAGTAGGCGTCACAAATTATATAACAGGCAGAGTTGATTCTTTAGGCCTTCACCGGTGAAGCTATATTATTTTCGAACCATGATATGACATAATATAAAATATAAAGAAAAAAGTATTACATGTAGCAGAGCGCAATTAAGTCAAATAACTTACTAATCTGAAGGAACACCAATCCAATCTGAACTCAGCGTCTCGGAAGAGAATCTCCACACTGGTCCTCTTGAAGTCTCTGGGACACGATGGCATTTTCCAGAGCGGCTTGACTTCCTCTTGCAATTCGTTCAACTCTTGCGAGAATGGCATCGTACTGCCCAATCTTACGACGACTCTGAAAAAAACTTTGTTCACGACAACAACGAAGAATTATTAAGATAACGTAATTTCGAATGAGATATAAAATATTTGGACGAGCATCGAGTCAAATTTACCGGTGTCAAAGCGAGCTATCATACGCTTATATTATGAAAAAACTTTGACTTTCACAAACAATCAGGCGAATCATATCGCGATATTCACTCTACACGTATTTGCGTCATTCCCGTCAAGGATTCTTTTAAGTAGCACGCGTGGGGCTTTTGCCCGTAGCATGCATTAACAATTAAACGCAGCGTGTGCACGCGAACAATTGTTCCTCTGTAAATTATTAATGCTATCGACATAAATCAATATTGTTATTGCATTTTAAGAATTTATTATTAATTGATACGGTTTGCTAGAAATATTTTATTTTAAACACGATATTCCAATACGAATCTTGAGTATCCGAAAAAAAGTCGTGATTCTTCTGATTACAGTTAATACTTCATGATTTTATTGAATTTTTCATCTTTTTTTAATTGTTATGCATTGAATAAATTCTAAATCGTATTTCCGCTGAATATATTTTACTAATTATGGCAAAATTGTATAGAATTGTTATTATTATATAATATTGAGCTTTCTTGCGTGCAAATAGTTTAAATTCGACATCTGTCGCAATAATGTCAATTAAATAATATCAATTAAATAACATTCCTCGAGGCTAATTATTACGAATAATTAACTGATTTTACGCGAATATCAACCCAACATTTACAACATATTTTATCATGACCAACATATAAAATTGATTTCTGTATATTTGTCACGCACGTTTATATATAATTTTTATTTCTAACCGAATAATCGTTTTTCTTTTTCGTAATTATTGACTATAGAAATATAGCGGAGTCAAATTAAAAATTACATTGTTTTTCCAATTTGAAATTGTATCTTTGTACTTTTGAGTCATATACACGTGCATGACTCTTTACCTGCGAGTAATATACATATATTCGTACTTTATATATACATTTGTACGATTTGTCCCAACGATCTTGCAATCGTTCCTTCCGGTTTTCATACTGATACGCAACACTGATACGGTGCACTGATACGTATCGAGTGCACGAGGTGGCTCCTTAGGCGCGGCCTTATCACTTGTGGAAACAACTCCCCGCCAGTCAGTCAACTAAATGTTTCGAGCGTGACGGGAATGTCGCATTTACATTGGGAATAATTGCCGCTGGCACTGTCGGTAGTGTCATCGTACTTCGTGCGTGCAATATGTGCGATCAATCAGCGTAATCGATTTATCTTGGTCGCGAAGGAGATTAATCGTGCCGCCTCATCTCGCGCGATTTCGAACCTCCGTTTTGTTCCGCCGAGCATCACGAATAATTCATTGTCAGTGTCGGATAACACCTTCCGAGAGACTTCGGGCGCAAGATATATTTCGTTCAAGAGAAAAGGATCAGTCTGGTCTTGACTATCGAACAGTTTAGACGTTTTATTTATTTAAAAAAAAATTGTTTTCTCTATCCTTAACGTGAAATATACAGCATGTCTCAAAATCCTAAGAAGTATATTTTTTTATATAATATATAGTCCGATTTGAAATCTCGCCGTCATTGTGAAAAATTAATCGCTCGTAGATGTAGCGAGATTTTGGACTGTCGTACATTTCAAGTGCATACACGTGTTTAACACGCCACTTCGATTGAACACACAAGTGCGATGATAGTGTACGTTGGTGATTCACATATTAACATATGAGAGATATGCCGAGGCGTGAAAAAGGTAACGCCGCCGATTATCCGAATCTGCCGAATGTATATTGCATATTATCGTAATAATAGCGATAATTCATATAGCGGACATTCATTCTCGATTCTATTACTGTTATATTTTTTCCTAACAATAGTCGACCGACTGTATATTGCATGTTATCGGAACAATAGTGACAGATACATTGTGCAAGCAAGTGGGAATGCATTCGCTTTACAGATGTAAAGTTGCTGTTTTAGAAGGGAGAGAGAGATGAAGTAAAAGTTTTTATCCGAACATGATCATCGCGCAAGAAAAGGAGAGCATACATTACACAATTAAAAGGAGAGAGACATTTTTTCCAACATTATTTCTTGGTTCTTTTTCGCAAAAATTATTATCGATGAAATAATCTCTGTTGTATTGATCTTACAAATATCTTTTATAAGAGCCACATGTGTATATGTCATTTTCAACGCTCATTTTCAACACTCAAGGAAAGAGTAATTATTTTCGAATTTATTTTCAGAATAAGTTATCTCACATAACGATTAATGATTCTATTTTACTTAAATTACACGCGATGAATCAGAGGTGTGACGAACCAGAGCATCATCGGTAACGCAATAAGTATAATCTTGTGAAACAAGAGTAAAACATATATTTATCTATATATTATTAGCAATAATTCTTTTTATTCTCTTCGAGGAAGATCGTTGTTTTGAATCTTGTGTCTTGGATTCAAGACACGTCATAGCTTAAATATAAATTTGAGCTGCTTCATAATGAATCGATATCTGGTTGCGAAACTCTGCCTTGAGGTATTTGTCCAAACATAAATCTACATCGGGAACGTACGTTTCTGTCTTCTCTGTTTTTTTCGCTATATCTCACGTCCCTTATCGCATCGGTGTAACAAAGATTTCATAATAAATTTGAATTTCTTTTGATGCGGCGCGTTCATGCAAATATACGTTGTTTTTATGTCACATGTTGTTACACCGGAAGGAAGTCTGCCCACGCCGCGCCGCGCTTCAATAACATCAACACCGCGTACGATTCGTCTCACTTATTCTGCGTGTGCGACAAAATTATTTTGCTCGACAGTCTCGCGCAAATAAATGTATAAAGATGGGCAAAATTCCAATCCCAAAATTCCGTAACGCGCATCAATCGAAATTAAATTATTATGTAAAAGACTTACACTCTCTCTTCAATAAACGACCGGTTTTTCAATTTTTTATTACATCTGTACACCGAAAAATTGTATTCTTAGCGCCAAGAGGATCCTCTTAATTTAAGAAATTTCACTAAATTTTAGTATTTTTTTTCTGAAAATAAGAATAAATTAATTCTGAAATTAAGAATATCATCTTAAATTAAGAGGATCCTCTTGGCGCTATTTTTCGGTGTAAGTATTCTTATTTAAGATTTCATTTTTTTTCATCTCGAATAAATTTAATTGCAAAAAAATAACAATTATTGTCCGTAACAATACGCGGTATACTTATCAATTAAAAAAAATCCACATCATTTCAGAGACGTATTTTCCTTTGAAAAGAGTACGACAGCAACAAAAGCGGGACTCGATGCGTACTATCAATCATACATATGCCCATACGATAAATCATGATCGTTGATCCATGGAATCAGAATCTTATAGGGGAGTCACTTGGAGGACTCACGGTAAATTCCTGATCGGAAAGTCCGCAGGGCTTGAAATCGAAGGTTTATTCCCGAGAAATGTGTAAATAATCAATATTATTCATTCCCGGATTCTATGTGAAACATGACATACTTTTATGCGAGAAAACGATATGTCTTCGTTTCTATGGATCAGATCATTAAAACGCGCAAACTCTGCATGGAAGGAGTCGCATAATAGGATTCGTGATTTAATCAATAAGATGATGTAATCAATAAGAATTGTAAATTGCAATTCATGATGGTTTGTGCAAAACTCTTTAGCACGTTGGCTGATTTATGTTAAAAGAACTAAACTTTTATATTAACATTTTGCATATTATATGTGCGTAACATTCGCTGTGAATTCACTTTCGGAAAAGGATTCAATAAATGTTATAAAATATTATAATTTAATAAATATCAAAATCTTAATTATTTGGAAAATATCGTAATAGAGTGCTTTAGCACTAATATGTGTTTGGCATATATCTAATTAAAGATGACACGAAAGCATAACAAGAATAACTGCGACAGTTCGCTCTTCCAATGACTCTGAAAGTTCTCGGCCGCAATTAGATTAACTACGTTCTTCCCGTCGAGAGCATAAACGATAGCTCATATACAGATGTATAGGAAATAGCAATAATAATATTATAATATTATTTTAAAAACAACTGTGCATCGCGGATGCACGTCACGATGTTTGATCGGACGATTAGTACGTCAGCGATATCAGAGAAGCTGCTTGATCCCTCATCTGACAACATCATTCTCATTCTCGTGTAACCACGTTAATATATTTCTTCAAAATTTCATTGACGTACTAGTTTGTAATTTCAATTTATAATAAACTGCATAAAAATTAGCTAATTGTCTAAGTAACGATTAGGAAAGAATTTATTGAGGTGAATTATTGCTTATTTATTCTGTAATTATTTCTTCAATTATATTCTTTGATATATTTATTATAACTTGTGTGATCACGAATATTATTTGATAATTAATAGTTTAAAATATTTAGACGGGAAAAAAGAGAAAAAAGAGTCACATAGCTGAAAGTTTTGTCATTTTAAGACTGACAATGAGAGAAAAATCTATACTTTAGGAGCTTAAGGGTTAAATCGAGTTTGATAATTTCGAAAACGTGACTCACCCTTCGCCTTCGCTGGGTTTCAAAGGTAAACGAGCTCCGAGCTCAATCGCAGACGCCAAAAAGGTCACGTACAGATCCGCAGCACCTTTCCACAACTTTTTCCTACAATTCAAACAAACGGAACGCGTTTATCGCGCCAATATAATTATCGAATTATCGCGCGCGTTACGCATGTCATTATCGAAAAAATTCTCCCTGTTTTGCTTAGATCGAGGAAGGAAACGACAAATGACGTACGTTATCGCTATCAAGGACATCGAGACACCGAGAGAATTGAATTTTCGCTTAGACAGACCTAAATATGTCGAGGAGCTTCTCGGTGCGATTGCGATCGAACATGTCCTCCACGTTGAGGTTGTCGATTTTCAGATGCACCTCGTACTTGGTCAGATTCTCTCTCTCAAGTACGTTCATGTCGAGCACCTTGTAACGAGTTTCGTACGTGTGTTTGTTCAGTCCCACAATCTCCAGCTAAAATTACCATGGTAATTACATAAGCGTTAAACACGAGTTAATAATATAGTAGCGATTGTTTATTACCTGAAAGTACTTTTGATCTTTAGGCGCTACGCCGTATAGAAAACCGTGATGATCTTTCTTGCTATAAGTATAATGTATCCATGATGGAAGATCGGGAGCGTTTAATAAAGAAGGCTGATAGGAAAATTGATCGGAGTGTCCTGAAATAAAATGGTATAGACATTAGAAACACTCGCAATATTTGCATCGTAAAATTCACGCTAATTACAATATATATTTATAAAACATGATAACAAGGAAAGAATAAGATAGAAAAATGAAACACTTTATTAGATGAATGTGTTTGCGTGAGTTATTAATAAAATTAAAAATAGGAAAGATAGCGAAAAGTTTCTAGTAAAAATTGTCATATACAGGAGATATTTAAAAGCCACAGTAGCCAGAATAAAATCAATAAAATATGACAGCAATTTTTTAACGTTAATAAAAGTACATAATAAAATTTAAAAAATATCCTGTCTGCGTAAATATCCAAATATACCGCGATATAAAATCTTTCTAAAATCCTTTCACTTCTTCAGAGGTGATTAATCAGTTTCAAGTTTAAGAATAAGAAATAGATTTTTTATGCAAATGTAGGACACAGCCCTAATCTAGGAAATATAACATTATCTGAATACTGAATACCACGATAACTTTAATGACTTGTTTCGTGTATCATTGAAATTGTCTGAAGGCATTGAATTAGAAAGTACCGTGGTATGCGACAATATTGCCTCTAAGGCTAACGCAACGACGATCTAACAAGTATAATTGCTATTCGTAGCATGTTACGAATGACGTATGAAAACTCAAACTTTATTTCGTAATGTGAAATGGATTATCTACACCGAGATATCCACGTGGAATAATTACATCTATTTGGTTTTATTTTTCGTTTTGTTATTTTAATTATATTTAATTATATTTCCATTTATATATGTGATATTAAGAATCCTATGTCAAGAATTTATAGAGCTATTAAATAAAGATAATAGAAAATAATAAGATAATAATAAGAAAATTGTAAGATATTTCTGACGATGAAAGGAAGCTAAAATAGGCTGAATATACATATGTATATCTTACCATCTGCACTCCAGTCGAAAGTCTCAGGTCTGATGGGAATGACAAAGACCTCCGTCATTAGAATGCTCTCGGCAGCGACGAAGGCCACCAACGTCAGTAGTAATATTATTCTTAGGTGCATGATTGTGCTGGAAAGTGTCAACAAGCGGCACCGGTAATAAAAAGATTGATGACATCGAGACACGGTCACGTAGATGATAAGAAAACCTGTAGGCTTTTCGATCCAGGCGATCGAAATCGTCTCAAAAGCAAACCTAATTCTCGCACGATTTTGTCCTCGTGATTTTCAGACTAAATTCTAAGGGAAAATTCTCTTTGTGTATAATTATTCAAATTAGAGATATGTCTTTAAATAACATTTGCAAAGAATTTCTATATCCCTTAGTCGAAGTCTGAATTAAAATAAAGAAATCGGCTGTAAAATTAGATATCTAGCATTCATTCTTCGTATGCATATCAAACTCTCTTCCTCGTGAAACGTGACGTCTCTGAAATTTATATTTATGCGAAAACGCTAGCAACTTTCGTAAAAACGATGTGAGCTGTATAAAAGGCGCGATTTCTACTTACGATGAAATACTTAGCGTACGTTAATAGCGATTTTCAGCGAAACTCGTATACAATACGTCTGAATCAACGTTATGATTCATATATGATTGCACAATGCAAAAACCGCAGCGTATCCTCTGTTTTGATAATCATTGTGCTCGCATTTAATAACACGCAAAACGACACGAATAAAAAAGTACGCATCATTTTCGATCAAACATATACTCCTCTCCTTCCAGATAGTTTTTGCGCAGGGATTCAACATTAATATTAGTCAGACGTAACGAGGGCTTTTGTTTTCTACGATGTAAAGTCCAATCTTTTTATAATGTAGCAGTCTTTTGGATCGTATTGGAACTTTGCTCATATCTTTCTCTCTTTGCATCACGTATCACTTGCCTTTGATTTACATATTTTCATATCAATATATCCTTTAGTTAGTTATATATATATATATATATATATATCTATTGTTAAATAGAATTCTAGAACGAGAGAGAGAAATACTGCTACTTACAGAATTTAGAATTCTGTAAGTAGCAGAATGCAAGCTTGAAAAATTTTTCAAAAATTTGGACAATACTGAGGTAATTTTTTGCAAATTAAAGTTTATTTTCATAAAAAATTTAATGGAGATATATAGAAATAAATTCTGTTTCAAGAAGAGATAAAAGATGTTATGTAAATTATAATATAAATTATATTTATTTAAACAATTTTCAATTGAAAAATATATAGATTATTTATATGGAGTATTTTTTTATTGTAATGTAGAATTGTTTGTGATACGTTATTTGTCTTCAAATCTTGGTACTTGGAAACATCAGTTTGTGTTTTATGTTTCTGATTACAACAATATAAAAATATATCAAATCACATGTGCGATATATTCTTGACTTACTATTTTTCTGCTTCTCTTTTTCGGACACAATATTAAAACACATGTAGTCTATCAAATATTTAGATTCACCGACTTTTGCACATCGCAGTATGGACAAAAGATAAAACTATACAATATTCTAAATAAAATGCAGTTGAAACCATTGAAGAGCAAACATTTCCTTCGACTTTTTATTTTCCATTGCAATAATTAATGCACGATATCCCTGAAAATCGCTATTAATATTCTGGAAAAATTTGAAAATAAATTCGGGGAAAAATACAATCGCCGCACGTAACTGACAACTACGCGAATGATAAATCCAGAAGATCTCTAAGCAGATGTAGTTCAAGTCAGCGTCGCGATATTTCTGGCATGGCGTGCCGCTTTAATCTCCCAATGGGTCGCGGAAAGCGGGCAACGCGGTATCGATTATCGCGCGAAAGAGAGCCCGGATCTCTTTCTCTCTGTCTCTCTCTCGTCGGTCAAAATCTTTCGACGAATCTTACTCCAAAAAAAAAAAAAAAAAAAAATACACTCTACTGACCCGTCGCGCTCCGGAAATCCGCTGATTCTCCGACGTCACATCGTCGAAGTCGGTCGACTTCTGTCACGCCGACGTGCTACGCGAGGCGCACGCATGCACGTATATGATATTCACGTGCTGAAACTTACGTGCTCGCGGAAGAACCGCCAGAGAACCGTCTGATGCAGACGACACCCCGGGTCAATGAGATGCGGGAGAAAAACGTCGGCAACGCGACGCGACGCGAAGGTCGGAGCCCTGTTGCACGGTGACACAATCGCGTGCAGCTTTGAAATTGTACGGGGCGAACGCTCGAGGGTGATCGGTGACGACGGATATTACGTCCGGGTCGAGACAACGTCGGGAGAGAGAAAAAAGCTCGGGAGAACCGGACCGAGAGATGTGGCCGCAAGCTCCTCTGTTTCACATGCGCAGCTGTGACATCGCTTCCGACTACACGCGCCGTCTTCAGGGCCGTGTTGTTTCCCCCGAGTTGTCGAATCCACATTTAATGTAGTTTTGATCAATGTTATATAAATAATAACGAGTTGATATCGATCATTTTTGTTATATAGTGTCCGAAATCTTGTTTTCGAATTTTCGTTCGATCAATTCTGCGTGTATATACACAGAGTTTCTCTGTGATTAATATTTACTACAATAAAAATATTAATATCTACCACAATAAGATAGAAAATATGTTCGATTAATTTTACTATGTACATATTAATATTTTTTGTTTTGGTAAATGAATCGGAGAAATTCTTATAATTCTTCCATATTGTCCCTCGATTACCGCATGATCTTCAGGATAAATTCTAAGGGAAAATTCTCTCCGTGTAGCTTTATTCGGATAAGAAAGATGATATAACAAAATATAATTAATTTAAAACACATATATATATTTAAAAAATTTTTTCCATTTATTTCAAATTTTTTTAAGTATTTTATTTACTATGCGATTAAAGTGAGATTGATTCGAGAAAATAATTTAAACAGTTATATATTTAAATAGTTTTTACGTAATATTTTTATTATGAATTACACGTTTAAAAAATTAAAAAATATAGTCGAATCTCAGATTTCGTTTCTTAAAGTAAAATTAAAGATTAGTAACATAAAAGATTTTTTGTGCTTCTTAGAAACAAGTGCTGTAACAGTTCGCTTCTATTTCTGTCGTTATCTTTAAACTATAATGAATCTCTTTCTTCTCTTTTACGATCTCGTCATAGCTTATTTTTTTCGTATTTTAAAAGAGAATTACGAACGATTTATCTGACAATAACATACATTCACTCTCTCTTTCATGCACAGATAATGACGTTCGCTGATTCGACCAATAAGTTTTCAACAAATATAATCGCTTTCATATTGACGCAACTATTATTATCGCTTTTCACATATCGCGACAACTCACTTTTATTAAAACTTTTGTCCCGTTCATTATCATGACTGATGTTAGACCAGTTTTTACTTATTAGTTGATCGAGAAACAGACACCGGTTGTCAAAGAACAGCTAACAAAGAATCCGATTGAACAAAAATTATCAACTATACAAGGTTACATTTCGTGACGTAAATCCACTACGTCTTTCCTAGTGCATAGATTTAATTTCGATTGTCTAAGATCTCAAACAAATTTTTCTTACAAAAGATTTGCATTAGTTCCGTGTAAGCGCGCACTTTCAATACCTTTCGATCTTTTTGACCTCGAATTTTTATAAAATAAAGCTGATAATTTTTTTATATAGAAAATTATAAATATTGCATTTTTATAGCATCACGTATATTAATTTATATTAAAATGGGGCAAAAGTTATCTTATAAAAATATTGGGAAAAATAATGTGTGTAAAATTTTTATTCGATTATTTAAGAAATAGTTTGATTATTTTTTAAAAATATTTCCAGAATATCTAATTTTACTTTCAATACGCTTAAGTATTGTGATGACATTTATCACTCAAAAGATTTAAAACATTTATTTTCTTATGCATTATTTTCTGTATTCAAAATGACATAATTCAGTTTTTAGAAAAAGGAATAAAAAATATAATATATGAGCGATATAAAAATTATATTTTATAAGATACATTTATTATTTTTCCAACTTACATAAAATATACTTATAAAATCATATTTTATTTTATGTAAGCTATACAACTTTAGTAACTCTTATAAAGAATTTCAAGCGGTATTCTTTTGCATGGAAAAGTTGCTGTGATATAAGAAACGTTACAAAAAAGATCACGCATTCTTTTCTATAAAAATGAATAAAAAAATTGAATCAAAGCGGCATAATTTTTATTTTATTTATTTTATAAAATTGTAAAAGAAATGTCATGAAACTTGTTCAAAAAGATTCTTTATCCAGTTATCCGCGCTCCGATTTCAATATCATTCGCAGATGTCACATCATGTAGCATGACACATTAAATGACGCGTTATTGCACATATATGAGCAAGCTGGTAAATCCCCTAAATGGCAGTTCCAAATCTATACGAGATGATATACATAGTTTTCCTGGGAAAAATCTAGAATTGACGCACATATTTTTATACGCAAATTCGAAATTCACCGCGTGATTCGAGTGTTTTCCGAATTGTCATCGGCAATTTTCTCGGAGCCTGAGCGAGAAGCGACGCGCAGAAAAGTCGCACGTCACGAGATAACGCAGATCTCCGTTCGCGCGTAAAAAACTCCGGCTCTCTGGCATCTCTAGCCATGCCAGAATTCGCTGAACGGTATACATGCAGGAGCGATACTGGCAAGTATCGATCCTGTGTCGATTGTCATTGATACTTGCTCACCACCCGGATGCGACACGAATATTTTACGACGAGCATCGATAAACGATATACTCCTCTGCCTGTTGGAGCGTTGAAGCAATTTTTTGCTCGTTTTCTGAGTCACGCACAGATGACTTTGGTCTTTTTCTAAAATGAGCCATCCGATTAATTTGCGATGAACTTTCCTCGTTTATAATCGTTAAATTATATATTTTTTACGTTCTCAGTTGGACCTCCCATATATGCATATAATCAACTATTTTTGTGACGTTTATTCATTCGGCTGTGATAATCATCTATTTTATCTAAAGTAAATTACTGGAATTATACAGTATGAATTATTTTTTTGACTCTCCTATACTCATGTGAATTTTAAATTTATCATTTCGATTCAATTATGAATTTATTCATTATAAATAACAGATAAATATTTATTAGTTATTTTTTTTTGAAGTTCGTATCTGACATTTTAATATTAATTACATCATTTACAAATATATGTACATATTATCTTTCTCATTCATCAATGATTACATCCATATATAAAGACTGTTCATTTTTCTTTTTTTAATTATTATCTAAATAAAATTACCAAATAGAAAATAGAATTTTTTTATTCTTATTTATTCAATTATCTCTGAAATTGTCTATTAACGCCGTTGGCTTTTTTATTATTTGTATCTTAATATACATATATTTTATGTATAATATATATTTATATATATTTTATTAATTTATATTTTACACGGAAAGAATTTTCTTTTGGAATCGGTGATCGTGGTACAATATGACATTGGAAGAATTTTATAAGTTTTTCTGATTAATATTTATCATAATAAAAAATATTAATATGTATATATAATAAATTTTAGTATGTATACATAATAAAATTAATCGTACATATTTTACATCTTATTGTGGTAGATATTTATAGATAGAGATATTATATTTTATTGTGTGGTAAATATTAGTCAGAGAAACTTTTATAAAATTCTTCCAATACCAATAAATTGTCCTACGATTCCTGAGTAGGAAACTGACGTCATTTTGATATACATATAATGACGTCATTTTAACGTTTAATGACGTCAGTCTGCTACTTGGGTTATACTATGATATTTCAGGGTAAATTCCAAGAGGAAATTATATGTACATATATATTAATACATATTTTTAAAGATATATATTTGATATACATATATTGAAAATAAAAATAAAATAAAAATGTGCAATGATTTTGATTTGTTTTAGGTAAAATTGTAAACGAGAGATTCTCCCGTTTGACAGTCGATCGATCGTCGTCGACGAGGGCCGGCGACGAGACGAGGGAGCATTTCGCCACGGCGCCCCGCACGTGTCGCACGTGTTCGCCAGCCGCACACGTGATAGACACGGCACTGCTTATTGACGTCCGCGGTAGGCGGGACTTGCTCGCGGCCCGATAGAGGGATATATTTACCGCGCGCACACGACTTTTCTCTCTCTCGTGCGCCAACGCGACGCGACGCAACGTAACACGAGTCAACGCAGCGCAACGCGGCGACGCAAGAGGGACACCGGCTTCCTCTCTTTCTCTCTTTTTTTTTTCTCTCCCTCTCCCCGCGCGCGCACTCTCTTCCTCGCCACCTCGTCGCGATTAACAATGTGTACATACGTCCTCGCGGTACGCGACGAGCGGTGCATCGGTTCACGGTGCGCGAGCATGGCTTCTTCCCGGCTCGGGGGTTGACTTTTTTTTTCCTCTACCTCCCGTCACATCTTCAATTCTCGTGGACAGTGTCCGTTTAACTCGGCGCCTACTTCGCAGTGTGCGCGGTATCGCTGTCAACGCTGCGCTTTCCTCGAAAGGTACGAAGAGAAGAGAGGGAGGCGAGAGAAGAGGACCGACAGAGAGGACTTGCAGACGGGAGAGAGAGAGAGAGAACGAGAGACGGCCAGTTTAATGTGGCGCGGACGACAGTAGTGTGCGAGTGCGTTGCGAACGAGCGACGTGCGCGGCCACCCGCGGGTGCTGCCAGTCGCTGGTCCGTCATTTCATCATCGCCTTCGTCAGCTGTGGCAGATAGTGCAGTGCGGTGCGGTGCGCGTCCAGTCATCTTCAGCTGTCACTCCGGGGTCGATAACAATCGACCGGAATCTCGGCTCCAACAGCACGGAAGCGCCCGGCCGAAGAATGGCGGGTAACGGCGTCCCGGTTCTTCTCATCACCGCGAACGTCGGCAGCATCTTCGAGGAGGTACGTAAATATTCGAGAAAAATTGCCGACATGACATTTACCGCGCCCTCCGATCGATCGATCCCGCGTCTTCTTCGTCGTCGATTTTTTTTTTTTTTCTGCCGATTTTATTATATTCGCTTCTGCGACGCTCGACCTACTTGTCGTCCATCGTCGTCGTCGTCGATTTCCGCCGCCGTTCTCCTCGCCTTACTTACGTCGAGGTTGTCGCGGATTTCGCGCATATCTTGTCTGTGTTGTACACATACGGAATTTTAGGAACACACGTGCGGTTTCACTTCGACCGGGTCGATCGAGAAAGAAAGTCCGCGATGAAATTTCATTTTCAAATTCGATTTTCATTTCACATTAGATTTCCAAATTTCCGATGTATACTCGCTTCATTTTGAGTGATTAACATATAGAGTTTGACGTAACGTGACTTTGCTAGGACATTTTTTCGACTGTCTTATATATATGTCGAAAAAATTTTTTCTACGTGTAAAAACTTGAAAATATATAAACTTCCCTGACGTTTTTACGAGTTAGAGACTCCAAGGTTCGGTGTCACTTTGATTATATGTATGTCCGGTTATTATGCTTCAAAACATTGCGACGTCTTGTCATACTAATCATTGAAAACATTACATCTATTTTTCTCGGGATGCGGATAATTTAAAAAAAAGTCTAATGAGAAGAAATTTATACTTTGGAGTAGTTTTTTTCAGAGTTTCAATATTTATTTTTGTTTTTTTTTTATTATCGTCGCGTGTTGAAAAAGCGTGATGACGCGTGAATATTCGCGATAATTTCTCGTGTGACATTAACGATTGAATAATGTAATACCGCAAGATGAATCATTAACGAAATTATGTAATTTGTAAAGGTATGCCTGGAATATGTTCGCAAGTTCGATTCTGAAATAAAACATCGAATAAAATGTCATTCTTTTTTTTTTTCAAGCTATCTATTTTAACTAAAAAATTTTTATCATTGTCAAGTTGAGAAATCAACCCGAATTCTTTCTCGATTTATCTTACGTACATCTAGGATTTCTCGTGTTAAAAAACATCGTAAATTCTAATTTCAATGCTCAATTGTAAACACACGCGATTAATGAACAATAATTTGATTAAAAGGGGACTAAATATATGCATATAATAATGAGAAATTTTCATCTCCGGTGAATTTTTCTCTCATCGCGCACGAAAGGATCAAAAAACACTTAATTCGCAAGACATTTGTATTTATTGATATATTTCCATCCTAATCAAGGATGTCCGGAGGGGGGAAGTGCAAGAGATCATTTGCCCCCTTTGGAACCAATAAAAAAATTAATTATTTTTTTTTTTTTTTTTTTAATAAACTGAAATTTATTTGCATATTTAATATAAAAAAATAAAAGTAAAAATAACCAAAAATGAAGAAAGAACAAAAAATAAGAAACAAAAATTTTAATTATGCCTCTGCCCTGGAAAAATCCTACTCATGATCCTATTATTAATTAATTTGCATCAGAGAACATACATACATACATATGCGTTTTTATCAAAACACCTACATATACGTACCACGCTTGTTTATACCGGATTCGCGCGCGATTGTCAGAGTGATCGATTATCATATCGTCGTTAGTGCAAAATGTGAAGAATCGGCGCGGCGTTTTATTATCGTAAGGGGCACGGAGGGACATCCTCGATATCCTTGCGTGTGTGACGTTAACAATCTATTAATACATCCACGCGCCGTCGAACATCTCATTAAGCTCTTCTTTTAAAGTGCACGAGGTATGAAGGTTCGTGAGATTGATACCACTGATTTTCTCCTTGCAGCCTAGTGTCATGCTAAAGATATGGACGGAAGAATTTTTATCCGTAAGTATCCTTGGTGCGAACTTTTACACGATACGTCAACAACGCGTGCGCACGCGCGCACGAGGCTCTCTGTGTGTTTGTGCTTACGTGCAAATTGTTTTTTCAGACCATATCGAAACTAGATCCGAAATTTATAGCACTGCACTGTCAAGAAGTAGGTGGAAAAAATTACGAGCAGAGTATGAGGCATGTCGAAGACTTTGTTAGGTAAATCTCTCGCATATCTTCATCGAAATTTGATATAAACGTCTATGTATATTAATTCATTTTTATGTCGTACACTTGACACTAATATTATTTCCAAATAACGAAAGTTGCAATCAATTTTTAAACATATATTATATTAAAAATATTATTGAAACGCAAATGAAAAACAATATGAACTTCTTTCCTAGATTCCACACGCGTCGTGCTATATTTGTAGTGCTTCTTGGATGGTTTCCAGGAACTACTAATATTTGACTTTAATCCGATTATTAGGATAAGAGCTTATACATTCGTCTGTTAAACTTGTTTGTAGAAATCTCTCGATAGTTACCTGTAACATTTTCACTTTTGATTTTTATCCCTGTGTTGATATTATGAACAAACCTTTTATAAACCATGGCATAAAAAAGCAAATAGCTCTCTCTCTCTCTCTTTTCACATACTCGATATTGAATATGATTTAACGCATAACTGGCAAAAAGGCGCAAAAATAGACGCATCACGCGTGGCTCCATAGTTGAGTGAGCCGCTTCAAAAGATAATTGTATATGATATTGATAGGGGAGAAATTCATATATACATATAAAAAAAAGTTGTTTAAAAAGTATATAAAAGAATCTTACGTTATGTACATAAAGCTTATAAATGCGTTTAAGTATATAGATATGACTTTTAATGCGAGCTATAAATATTATTTTCAGATTACTTATGTCATCGGAAGAATTAAGATTATTTGATAAAATTAGGGTATTCCTTGACGAGGATTATTCATCCGCTGAACATTTCACAGTAAGTTGAAGAATATTTATTATTATTAATGCTCAATTAATACCTAATTCTTTAAACAAAGAGCAATACTCTCATCAAGATTATTTTATGCAGGCTCTAGGAAATTTTTATTTTGTGCACGAGTCCTTAAGCGATGTTTTATTATGGGATTTTAATGGTACGTTGCGTATATAATTTTATTTTCAATAGTTATCAATAATTGAATATAAATAAGTAATATATATTTTTTTCATTTATTTGTATTGATTCTAGAGTGCACTTTTATACCAGTAAATGGAAAAGAAGTCCATTCTGGCAACATAGAAGCAGTTACAACCAAAGAAAAAGCCAAGTTTCCTCAAGAATTTTTCCCAGAATGCAAATGGTCCAGGAAGGGTTTCCTACGGACTCGATGGAGTATTAGTGGAACAGTTTTTGATCTCATAAACATACACTTATTTCACGACGCGAGCAATTTTATTGCTATGGAGACGGTAAAGAACATTTTTACAAATAAATGTGATCCTCTATATATATTTTATATTTATATGCATAATATATGACTTACTGTTTTCATTTCTTTACAGTTTCCATCGGTATACAGTAAAACGCGCAGAAGAGCGCTCGAGCACACATTAGATAGATTTCATAACGACAAGTATCCAAATGTGCCGTATTTTTTATTTGGCGACTTTAATTTTAGGACAGACACTTCAAGCGTGATAAAGGTGAGGCCCATCAACAGTTACGATAAGATTAAAATAAAAAGCAAAAAAGAAATTAAATATTAATTTGCATTTGTGCATTCAATATAAACCTACTAGTAACACGTTTCTTAATATTGTACAAATAAATCAACATTGTTAATAGTTTTTAATAGCAATTGTTTTGAAAATCAATATATCTAGCAGTCGACAATCGTATTTTACTCTTCGTGTGTTACATACGCGTATTATTATCCATACCACAACAAATCAATCCTATTAAAATCCAATATATTACAGCACTTTAATTTGTCTTTAATAGAAACTGACGGAAGATACTCGAGAAAAGAAGTTATCGAATAAAGGAAACATTTCTAAATTGCAATTTCACAATAGAGACGATGATCTCATATTAACGTTAGGGAAAAAGGAATTTTCACATTACGAACATCAAAACATTTTTATGAAGAATGGCGGTGAATGGGTAAATATTACATATTTTTATGCATCGTATAATTATATTCAATCGAGTCAGAACGTCAATAATACAATTTTTAACATTTACAGTTACGCGAGTATGATAAAGAATTGGGAGATTTTGAAGAACGGTTGTTCGAGTTTCCGATCAATTTTGTACCAAGTTATCCGTTTCAAGAAGATGTTAACGAGCCTGTAAATTATATGCAAACGAGAGTGCCGGCTTGGTGCGATCGAGTCGTGTTGAGCCCTACTGCGAAAACACTAGTCCAGAATGTATGTATAAAGTTTATATTCTTGATCACGCGCGAAGCCGTTCTAGAAGTTGAAATTTATTAGCCCAACGTGACGCTCGTATCTTTGTATGTGCAGATAGATGATTCCGAGGCAGTGGAGTATGGTGTAATCGGCCCAACTACATGCATGGGCGATCACAAGGTAAGACAAGAGTCTTCAAAAAAAAAATTAGTACATTTCTCTTACATTTATAAAACGATACTGCGACATTTTTTACTTATTATATGCTGGGAACATGTATTTACACACTTCCTAGTTCTTATTCTGATGATCCATTCTTTCGATTATTATGGTGCAGCCTGTTTTTCTGGAGTTTCGAATGAATCTCTAAGCACTAAGGTACCTATCTATGAACTGTCTGTCTCTGTTCTTATCTCTCGAATCCCCCACATCTCTTTCACGTCTCTTTATTCTGTTATCTCGACAATAAACATACATATATAGGGGCTTGTTTAATGTAGCACTTCCACACGTAGTGTATATCCTCAAGTATTTCACTTCTACATTTTATACTTTGAATCTCATAATTCTTATCAGCTGTCACTATCCTTATCATAGAATAATTGTACTTTTTCAATCTAATTGCCGATATGCATTGTAACGCTTGTTACGCATTTTTTCGTCTTTTGTAATGCCGAATGACATTTTATTACATTATACATAAATATATAAATATTTTGCAATTACATAACAATAACACTTGTTACTCCATGATACTATAATGAGAAGCAATAATCAATCACGTTAATAATTCTATCATAAAAATTAATATTGGAAACATTGTTTTGTAAAAATTAATATCTTAATTTATGTTTAAAAAATATAATTTGCAGGTAATTATTATTACAACATATTTACTTAAATTATTAATTATAATGTCTCGACATAATTTTTCAGAATAGGACAGAGTCTTGTCATAATTATTTTCATAATTATTATGCCAACAAACCTTACAGATTGAAAAGTACATTATTGTGGCACATAATTATATCTTTGAAACGTTAGTTTGAGACCTTTCCCTCACATTCATAGAATTCCACACAATACGAACCCTTCATAATACCATCTTTATCATCCTCTCGCAATGACGCACGACGATACATAAAGAGCCGTTATTTTTCTTGCCATTTTACAGCCAGTCTACTTGAAGGCTAGTCTCATCTCCGATGCAGGTATGATAGATTGCTGCAACTTGCCAATTGCGTTTTGCTTCCGAGTGCCCAACAATTACCCGGAGTTGTTGTCCATGTTGCCTGATTGCAATAGTTACGCTAACGCGCGCGCGAATTTTGTTGATCGTTCGTCTAATCTGTTGCACGCAATACCCGTCAAGCATGATCCCTACACGCCAGATAGTATGGACAGTCCGAGTCCGAACGCTATTATGACCTCCGGAGAGGTCCCGGATCTAGATACGGAACATATCGATAACAACAATCTCGCCTCGTCCGCGCTAAGGTCGACCCAGATCACGTCGATCGCGTCGAGACGGCTCGTCGACCGAGCCGTGTCGCCGGCGTTACTAAAATCCAAATTGGAGCTGATCGTACAAAATAAAAGGAACGAGGACGCCGATCTGGACGTAGATGTCTCGGATATTAAGAGGAGTCCCAGCGAGTGTCATCTACGTTCTTGGCCCGACGCCGAGGATCAGCATTGGTGCGTGAGAAAGAACAGATGCAACAGCGACGTGTCGTGGCAACGGTCCCACGTTCTAACGGAGGCCTGGATCCAAGGTAAGGGTCATCAAGGATATCACTCTTTCAGTAATTTCGCGAATCAACCTTCGAATTCGAGTCCGCCACGAATCATACCACGAATAGCCATAATAAACGCGAGCAATTTCGAATCGAACGCGAGCTCCGTGTACTTCCACGACGACCGATTGAGTAATTATTCGGCAGACAAATTGAGCGCGTACTCGGATGGTCGCACGAAAACGCTGAGCGGCGAAGCCGTGAGTTCGGAAAAATCGGATGAGATTTGTGACAAGACGGACGAGGAAGAAGGTAACATATTGACTCCGGATTCAGAGAGAATAATAGAAATCGAGAGAAAAAATATGTATTCGAAGGATCACAGTGAGCCGGTATTGAGCGAGAAGCTGTACTGCAAAGAGGACAATAGAGAACTAATCCAGGACGAATGCGACATGTGCAAAGAGACGAAATGTCAAATAATAGAGGCGCAAGCTCTTGTGAGAACGTCTTATATGAAGAACGACGTCTTCCACGATAGGACTAACGAATTGGAGCGCGATATTTCGAACGAATCTTGTTTCAAAGACAAAGATACGCGATTCACCGAGATCCTGTTGGAGAATCAACCGGATTCTCAAGCATTAAAGGTATACGTGAATCATGATAAAACCCGCACGGATCCGAACGGAACAAACGTGGAAATCAAAGATAAGCCATGTGAGAAATCCGGCGCGGAAACGGAGCGCCTCAGAAATCGAGATTATGACTGCAATGTGATAAAGATATGCTCAGATGTACACACGGATCATGCGGTAAATCACGACACAGAGATTATAAGTTACGAGACAGTTAATAAACAAAGGATGTGCACGAGAAGCAACTCGGCGCACAGCCAGGATATCAGTGATCACGCAGGAAATGACAGATTAAAGTTGAAAGCTTATAAAGTCACTGAACGATGCAAGAGTAATATTATAGGAAAGCGGACTAGGTGTAAAAAGTGTTGTTGCGTAGTATCGTGAGCGAATTATCGCTTTAATCTGCATCTTAGAATCTGTGTATAATGTTCCTCGTTTATTTATCGTACTGTTGCGTCCGCAAATTAAGAAAGCAGAAAGTACCGACAGTCTTTTTTTCCTATAGAAAATATTACGCAAGCGCAAGTCGTCGGAGTAAAATCGTCGATATTTTCCGTTCTCTGGAAATGCCGATCAATTATTCTTTTTTTTTCTACTTACATAGAGTATTCTTTTGACAGACTTTGTTTCCACACATTTTCCTTCCTACTATTTTCTCGACGTGCCAGTAGCTAGTCGAGATAGCATCTACAGTCGCATCACTTATTGTTAGTGTAAGACTATAATTTATTTTTATACGGTGTGTATATTATTTCATTGTTAACTACAAGCCTAATTATTGCAATACATTCTTGAGCGTGTGATTAATAAATAGTATAATTGATGCAATTATTAGAAGAGGGGGGATACTGTGAATCACGAATGTGAGTAGACATATTTTATATATTTCATTGTCAAAGACACACACTTAAAAAATGACAATAAGTGTGACGTAACAAGAGAAAAATATGATCTTAAAAATTAATGATTTCTCGCTTGCGCTTTGCGTTTTATCGCGAAATATAAATTTTATACTTTTTGCATGTTGCGAGAGACATTGTGAAACGATGTTTTGCATGTGCATGATACTTTAATATCAAATTTGATTCTACACATATTTCTTAGAAAATAGTATATCCGAGTGATGGAAAATTCTGTTCCCTTTGTTGTATATTTATAACCAGTATAATCACACGTTACGTAATGTCACATTATTTTTAGTACGTATTCAATTTGCGAAGAATGGTTAATGATAGATAGAATTCACCGCTGTACAATGTCAAATATCACAATACGTACAGACTGATAAAATCGTTACCGGTATGCATCTTTTGCGCGAGCAAATCCTACACTCAGTGGCGCTGACTTTGGGAGGGGGACGCCCTCTTTCTTTTGAACGAGGAAAAATAATGTTTAACGATGAAAAACACTCATTATGCTTCGGTAAGCATCATGGTGGAATTTCAGACACAATCACGCATTAAAATCACATCGTTTATATGTACAATCGATTGCTGCGATGTACTTTCTTAATCGCAATCTAAGAAGAATAGAAAAGTCAAAATGATGTCAATTGACCTCATAGTGTAAGAAGTTGACTAATTAGTCGACTATTTTTCTCATACTTGATTGTAATGGTCAATTTCTTAAGACTTAGGACTTAAATTACCTATTGTGGACACGGTCCAAAGGCTATTTAAAAAAGGTCATTTGAAAAGCTTGTCTTTTGCCTCTCCAATATTTTTCCCAAGTTAGCGCCACTGCCTACACTTGTCCTATTTTATGTTACTTTATATAAAACCGATCGCGTGTGTCCTGATCCTTGATACGCCAAAAATAATCGTTTTCAAGGAAATTATTACCTCGCAGTGTTCTTGTCCTTGATTCTGTTGCAATATACTACAACCTTAATTATAATTTTATTTTATAGATTTATAGGTGTATAAATATTTATTATGTGATTACACTATCGTCTCGCAATTGAATAGTATTCATCGTACATCCGTTTCTAACATTTCACTCGCGTTTCACTAACGATGAAAAATTTGACGGTGCAATATCGCAAGTCTCGCATTGCATCTTTTTTTTCCTTTTTTTCTTTTTTTTTCTTTTTTTTTAGAACGTTACACACGTCATACGTACTGCGTCCATGCTAAGAAGATATCTATTCGCTAGATTTTTTTTACGAGCACGAGTGGACACTACTGCCAAAGTTAGATTCATTATAGCTTATTAAGTGAGAAAATATTAATTTATGTGAGGGATTTTGGTGGACAATTAAGAAATTTGCCTCGTTTATTACGGTTATCCGGAGAAATGACAGAGCATTAATTTTGAATCTATCAGACGTCATACCATTACTTGTATCAATATAATACGCATGGAAAGTCCATTAGTCAAATTGGAACGTAAAGCAATATCTGAAAATTTTTCAAGGAAAGAAACACAATTGATAATTTGAGCTTATTTGTTCTGTTAGTAGTATACTTTATTCCACGATTTTCTCTCCACGTTGTACTCGTTAGCGCTTTATCCTGCAATTTTTTTAATTCGATAAGAAATTGTATAGATAAAATATTTCGGAAATTATTTTGGAAAAAGAAGCGATCTCACGGTAGACGATTTGGCGAGAGATTAATCGATTTTAATTAAAAACATTTGATATATCTGTCCGAGTTTTTCTTGCCACGAGATGCGAAACGTGGAGCAATGTCGTGTGACAATTATGTGACTTAATGCTATTTACCTCTCCCCGATTCGTGTTGAAAATATAATAATTCTCGATGCGGATCCGCACGGGGAATCAGTTTTACATATACGCAGCAATTGTCCGAGCACCGTATCAATCGATTCCCATTTGCCATATTAGTTTTAAAACGATGAATCTGCGTGCGCGCATACGAAACGGAGCGCAGATTCTGAACCGTTGTTGTACTGCATTTTTATTTTATTTTCTATACCGCGTAGGCTGATTAGAATGTATCGCGTATTCCTGTCGTTGGAATATAATATCGTGTAAATAATTCATTCGACGAGACCTCCCTCTATATATACATATTTCCCTATTTTGTAAATATAAATTTATTTTTCATACACACACATGAATATTGTTCTCTTTATTTGTATCCTTCAGTTTCAATCTTTTATTGCGAATATACAGTATCGATTTGTTATCCTTGGTACTAAATAATAAATAATAAATATGATTTTGATAAAGAGGAGAGATAGTATAGAGAGAGCGCAAATATAACGTGCTTTTTTTATGCAATCGCGAAAGGAAAAACAATTCTTGAAGATTTAAAAAATAATGAACAGCGAGCTCTGTCTATCACTCTGATTATCGCATTTTTTCAATGTTCCAATATGTTCCATGTGAAAAAAAATATATATAGAAGATAAGATAATATATAGAACGATAATCTCTTCTGTACGGAAATTGTCTCGAGCTTTAATTTAGAATCACTATGAAGAATTTATTAATCTAATGAAAAATACATATTATTTACTTAAAGATTTTTTTCGAATGAATCGAGAATTTTTGCGTGTGCTTATATCAGATACATCTAGAATTTTACATATATTAACAAATATTTGTTTTATTGTATATATGTAACGAGAGCCTAAATTAAATGTTGCTGCTGTTGAATGGCGATTTTGCTGCATTTTTTTTTTAATCTCGGATACTTATCGATTATTGCTTCACATAGTGCGTCTGTATATTTTTATTTAATTTTACGCTCCGCACGTCAAGTCGCACTTTTAATAACACATCAACACAGTCGCAAATTTTAATTGTGGGGCGCAGTATGGCAGATCTGAGGGAAATTTTGAAAATAAATAATATTCCCTTCGTTGCGCACATTTTTCCTTCACGCATTTATATTTCTCGACATTTTTATATATTTTATGATTATTATTATTCTACTTGCATAAATGAGAAATAACAATTTTACGAAAATTTGATCTATATTTATAAAAGCTTTGACGCTTTTTAGATATATTCTCGCTTATTCTTACTTTTCATGTTATTTCTCACATATATTTCTCTTATTATCACAGTTATTTGTCTTTCATGATCTTTCTCGCGCAATACAATCGCAATTTATATATAACCCGACGTTGCGGCGGGTCGTGATACGATTGTTCAAGAAAAGAAACATGGTAAGCATTATTGTAGATATAAAATAGATGCACTTGTTTGTGCGATCTGCGCTACTGCGTCTCGAATGCAGTGTCATTAACCATCTTAACATATATGTATTTTTAATATACGAGAAGTTTGTTTTGATATAAAGTATGAAAAATGTACATCATGTTTGATGATTTTTCATTAAAATAAATTTCTCGCATATTCGACACTATTTATTCGCACACTTTAAATGTCTAATCATAATTATTTGTTGTATCATTGTATATAGGTCTAATAATTTTTATTATTATTTTATGTGTGTACTATTTTTAATAATTAAACAAAATTCAACACATGAGATAATAATAAAGATTATCTCTTTGAAATCAAAATACAGAAAGAATTCCGAAATAATTTTATATAATTCTTTACTATATAAATAATAAAAATAAAATGACTCGTAAAATTATCTAATATTTTAATAACTAATTAAAGAATGTAAAAATGATTGGAAGACAACTTTGTAAAATAGTATGAGATTCAAATTGGTGTGAATTCGGTTTTTTACAATGCATGACAACAGTTGTCACTTAGAAGAATATTCGTTCCTGGCCGCAGAGACGGCGATGGAAACCCAGGCAGAGACGAAATCCGGGTTGAGAGGCAACGAGATATTCAACGGCGTTAACAACAATAACAACAATGCCGTGAGGACGATAACAAGATACGTGCATACTAAGCATGCGGATTCGTCGGTGAAGATCTTTCGGGAGACGATGGTTTGATATCGTACTTTCGGACAAGACATTCGGTATACGTACAATATTAATCGCATATAAATTGATGTCTTTGAACATATAAAATTGTTTAATCCTTTTGATAGAATTTTGCCGATAGAACAAAAATTTATAGTTCGAATTAAAATATTAATTGTTATATACATACATATAATGTCAATCCATCGGATACACATTGCAATTAAATAAAATTTAATTTTAATTATTTCATATCGCGATTTCTAGAAACGTATTCCCGGCATTTTGCGGTCAAACCAATTTTTGTTCATTACTTTTATAGCATGTAGAAATTTTGGTATGTCAAAAGGATTAATTGTTAACGTCTGAATCCGTCATTAATATAAATGATGAAACGAGTGTAAAGCGGTGAATTGCGAAACACTGGACTCGTTTTTAGCCGCGACGGTATCTTAATCCGATCCACTGAATACTATCGCGTAATCCGAATACTATAAATACATTCCACTAGCGTAATCGGCAAAGGAATTTGCAAGCATATGAATCTAACGTCGCGTGCTCGAAGTTTACACAAGCTGCCCTTTTAACACGTCATATAACACTCGAGAGGTAAAGGGGGCTATATGTGTGTAAAACTCCAAACGACACGCGCTTGTGTTTAAAACCGCGTGTATACATATAAAGACGTTTAAAAGACGTCCTATATATTTTTAAAAAAATTTTAGGCTTCTTTTAGACGTCACCCTTTCGTGTTTTTGTGGAGTGTCGATATCGCGTTGAAGCACGATGAATAATTTGCATAAATCGGCACAAATCACATTGACAAGTGTCAGGTATTTAATACTCTATTACTTTGACTCGAGTGCTTCCTCACTTTTGCCAAAGATATTGTTATTGAAGTTTCTCTCTTTCTCACTGCCTCCGCTCGCGCGCATTATTAAGGATTTCGTATATTTATTATTGGCGTATTATATATCTTTCTCAATGGTAATTTTACGAAATATGAATTATTGTGTAGTGAACTGTGTACTTAAGACTAATCGATGTTTGTTTACGATTCAGATCTTCTGCGATTTTTAGCGTACTTAATGATTGTTCTCGCGCTACACATTGAACTCTTTACTATATAAATTCTTCCTGCAACAGATGTGTGTCTCAAGACAATTGACATCCTAATTATCTTTAAGATTATTCCGCGCGCATTAATTTTTTAACATATAAGAAGAAAAATATAGATTGTTTATTATATAAAAAAAGAATGATAATCTCTGAAGAAAATTTATTTATAGGATCGAAGGATTAAGAAGGATCGATGATTGTTGGCGAGATATGAATTATTCTTACAGATTAATAGCAATAATTTTTCACAAAGAGTACTTTATACAATTTACAATTCTGCAAATATCTCGAGAAAGAAATATTATTTTGATGCTATATTACCTCTCCGCGTAAACACATATCGGAACAAATTCTCTTCATGTATCTACATATGCATATACATTATAGATGTCATTTGAAAAGTATAATAAGATACAGGACGATCGAGGAAATTTTTATTAATAATTAATAAGTTATATAGTTCGTATAAATATATATATATATATCTTGAATATGTACAGGGACGACATAAAAGATATTCGCGCGAATCGTTTATACTCACGATTTGCTGTGCCAATCCGGTCCATCCTAGATTTTTGCACATTGATTATAAAAATGTTCACTCTGCCTTTGATTCGCGTGAGTGAAAATGTTTGGAGACCTCGTTAAAGTATGTACCTTGTACTTATTGTTAGATTCGTTTGTATTTCGAGGAACCGTTCTCATAAGCGTCAGATTTATAGAACCGAGAGATTTAAATGATTATTCATCTCTTTCTGATTTTATTTTTAAAGAGATGAGGATGCGAGAATGCGATGTTTATGGGAGCGATTCGAAAATAGAATTGACAAAAAATATTTCGGATGCTGGATAGATGGGTCCAGCGCGAAGTTGCGCTTTTGTTGACAATTTATATATATGGACGTTATAAAATTTGATATGTCGTCTTTCAAAGTGTGTGCGTGTGTGTTGAGATATTTACGATGGCATTCCACGAAAATTAGCCAATTAAGTCGGATCGATGTGCTAATATCTCTTTGTACCGACTTATATAAAGGTCCTTACGCTTTATTCTATGTATAGAAATTACAGTAGACAAGATCTTTTTTCGTGTTGTTATATGAATCTCTCGTAATAGTGCTTCTATATTTAAAATATTCGCTCTTCCGGAATTATTTTCGATTATAAACTGAGAATTATTATTGTGCTCTTCTGACAGTAATCGAGCTAAGTCAATCTATATTCTAATCGTTAAATGCAATTGTCCGTTTCTCAGTTTTAATAACTTTTAACGTTAATAGAAGAGAACCGGGCAAAGATATTTAGCATTTATTAATGTGCGATGGAAATTATGAGCCTTCATTTCCATCGCTTTTACTGTACGTTGTTGAACTCTGATGTTGTTGGACACATATACATATTATTATGATATTACGATGAAATATAATCTTAAATCACGCGTGATATACATATATACATACAATATGAAATATAGATCGAAAAGTTAAAACACCACACGAAGATCTTCCTATATGGCTTCACGCGTTTTTTGAAAGATTTAAGTGTTATAAATTTTGTATGGAGTTGAGAGAAAATTTACTTCTGTCCAAATGTAACAATACGAAACATTTCGCTTTTAAGTAATGTGAAAATAATCTCTTAAATAATGCATCTCGTTTTCGTAATATTTTAACTATTCGTAGCACAGAGACAATTAAAGGGTTTAACAATCTTTTAAATTTTTCTATGATCAAGTTAATGTTATAGTCTCTTAAATGTTTTATTAATCTGTTCGATGAATTTTAATCATTACAAAGAAAAGAAAAGAAATTGTCAATGTACTTCATCAATTATTTGTACATACATGTGGCGATTATTTCCGATACGTGTGAGAGAAGTATCATTTCTTGCATTGAAGCAAGAATTAATATTGTACTTTTATAAATACATAATATACGTACTTAAATTTTGTACCGATAAAAAGAGAAATATCTTACATTTCGCGCGATATATATATATACATATATATATATATAATAATAATAATAATAATAATAATGAAACTATATATTCGACAAGGAGAGATAATGCATATATTGTACGTGTTTCATGTGATTGTCATGATGTTTAGGATCGGTATCATTCGCATAATGTTATGGAATCGAAAAAAGAGAGGCATATTAGATATATCGTTGATAATTGTTTCAAAGATTGAAATGATGCACTTATTTCCCCATGTACCAATGTTATGAGAAAGAAAATAAAGTTGCGATTCCATAACTTAAATTGGGATATATATATCATATTCCCTGATCTTCTAATTTTAACAATATTTATTTTGAGATTAAAATAATTAATCGTTCTTTTTATTTGTATAACTAATATTCTTATCTGTACCAACAGCGACAACTATAATATAATCTAAATCGTATATATATTTTTATATCATATATCATTTATCAATCTATAGCGATGAAGCATTATACAATCTAATATATAATAATATAAATCATATTTTTCATATAATTAAAAAAGTAAAATATTATAATTTTAATTTGTCATAATTTAATAACAACTTTAATTATTCCAATTTTTATCGAAATATTTTTTTCGAGCTTAATATTATATTTTCTTTATGCAACAATATAATAATAAAAAATACTAATTTTTATATATTAATAATAAAATAATAAAAAATACTAATTTTTATCTGAATAGTTCTGACATGAACCATATCACGGAATCAAACCATTTACCGTGCTTTTTACCGAGTTTCACGACTTAGTTCACCTCTACTTTCTCAGGGAGCGCATTAGTACTCGCGTCCACTGAATCGCGGTGGCCGCTCTCAGGTTTCTCTCTGCATTCATACGACAAAATGTTTGATTGGCTGCTGGATAGGGAATTTCTAGTATTTTTCTGATTCGACACGCTTGTCGAAACATTTTCTTGTATAAATGTAATCGCGTACTCTCAGTACTAAACAAAGCCGGCAATAATAAAAATAAATTGATATAAACGTGCTTGTAAGTGTAATCCAAGCAAATTGTAAATCAGCTGTCATCAAAATGAGCAAAGCACATCCGCCTGAATTGAAAAAGTTAGTAATTTTAATGTATAATGTCTTACTATTACATTTAGTCTTCATCATTATTGTTTAATCATTATTAGATTATATGACATTTTACGCATTATTTATCAATTTTATTTTTATTCCAGGTATATGGATAAAAGACTATCTCGTAAGTATCACAAAAACATACTAATAAAACTAAAATTGTATAACTAAGAAAAAATTAGGTTAGATCAGAACTAAATATAAGCCTTGTTGAAAGTTACATACATCTACTTCTAAAGAAAATTACATTACTTAAAGATTTCTATGAAGCAATAGTATATCTTGCTATAGTAATAAAGAAATACTTTTTAATGAAAAAATTATGCAAAGAAGCTTGCTTCAATGATGTCTTAAAGATCGTGTGCGTGTGTAAACATTTATAATTATATATATATATATATATATATATATATATTTAAAATTATATTGTTGAATTTAAAAAAACTGCATTTTTTATATTAATCTTGTGCTTTTATATAATATTTTTAAGAATATAAAAGACATTTTATATATGTAGAAGGCAATATTTATAAAGACATCTTTACATAAATATATTTTGCTCTTAATTGTAATTTTACTTGAAATATCTTGTAGTGAAATTGAACGGAGGTCGACATGTTATTGGCATACTGCGAGGTTTTGATCCATTCATGAATATGGTTATCGATGAAAGTATAGAGGAATGCAAAGATGGTACCAAAAACAATATCGGCATGGTGGTAAGTAGTTATATATGATTTTATAAAAAATGGATTTAAAAGTTTAATATTCTATAAGTTATTACTTAAAATTAATAAAAGATTTCATTATGATAAATTATATATTTTTTTAGGTCATTCGTGGTAACAGCGTCATAATGTTAGAAGCCTTAGATCGAATATGATTTATAAATATGATTATGATTATGCTATTAGAATTTTTTTTTCTTTTGTAATATGTATATTTCTGAATAAATAATCAAAATTTTTTAAATCTAGAATTTCTTATATTTTTAACAAATAATTTAGACTGAACTTTTTCTTTATAAATCACTATTATTCACATCTAATAATTATATCTATATCTATAAATCTTTATTAGTTACATCTAAAATAGAAATATATAGTTAATTAGTAGATCTTTATTACGAATGTCGATAAAAAAAATATTAAAAAATTAGCAGCATTTAAATTATAGTATTACATTTTTAAGTAAAAAGAAAAATAAACACAAGTTTATTTTATTAAAGATCTCAAATATAGACTGAATAGAGAGTTTAATAAACATATTTCTAAATCGTCAACTAATTTATTTCTTCATGTAATGTTTAACAGATATTTTATCGAAATCATTATTAATATTTATTTCACAGTTTCATATTAGCTATTTTTTATATTTTTATTGTAAGCTTTATAATTTTATATCGCAATAATACAAAACAGATTATGAAACGCATGAGATGGATATTTCTAATATACAAAGCCTGAAACAATATTTATACATTAAAACAATTTAACATTTTGTTGCATATTATACTTCATTTTGCAATCCTAAATTCACAATATTACAAAGCATAGTCTTTATAAACATGTGCCTTATAAGTGCAAGGATACATATAAATTCTATATTTGCTAATTCGAGAAATCTCAAATTTATCTAACAACAGTGAGACATATATCAAGTAAGATTTGTATTCACAGTTTGAACGTATGTTTATTAGCTAGAGAAAAATATAGAAAGTGTAGAACATGTTTAAATAGATTTTATTTCTACACACGAGTCACCTATAAGTCTATAAAAAATAAATATGACTATATTAGAAGAAATATTTCAAGTTTACAAGGCACTCAACATTTCATCAATCCTTTATATTCAGGAACATTTATCCTCAACAAATCACATGTAATAAAATATTGTATGACCTCTTTCTCTTCATTTTACATTCTAGCGATACGACATGCAGAATGAATATTGAAGTGAATATTTCACAATGTGTGCAACATACAAAATTAAATTTACTTGTTAATTAAATTTACTCCAATAATTAAATGTATTCCAGTTTCACATATTTGTACTGATCTGCTCTTATATCAATTGTTTCATAAAAAAATTATTAAAAAGTGCGCATTTTACATGATTCTTAAAAAACAAGACAGTCATTTTATGCATCTTACTAGAATACTTTAATTTAATGGTAAAAACTTATTTTTTAAAAAAGAAATATTTATAAATGTTGCTTTTAAAGAAAAAAAATAATGAAATTATAAAAATATATGTCACATCGTAAATAAATAAAAATGTAGTTTGTATTTTATTTTATACGTCTTTTTGTACAAGAAATAAAATGCAATACAAATATATATATTTGTATTACACTTTATTGTGTTGTATAGCTCACATCATGTCAATTAAATTAATAAAGAGAGGCTATTTCGAGTCAAATTTAGATCGAGTTGGTCTTATTTTTTTAATTTGATTTGATGTTTACGAGTTTGTCACTTAATCAATGTGAGAGGATGGGTCTTTACACAATATGTGACGAAAATTTTTAATATATATCTGATAATTAAGGCTATTCGAGAATGAAGTCAATTTTATACTTCATATGTCAAACTAAAATATTTTTTGATGTATATAAACAGATATTGTGCATCGATGTATATCAACGACATGTCAGTTTATAATATAGTGATGACGCTCGCGCACACAGTCATTTATATTTTATTATATTTATAGTTTAAATGCTTTAATATTGCTAGAAAATTGTACAAAAAAACGTGCATTTTCTTATTATAATTAAATTTATACAGAAAACAAAAATATATCCTTAAGATGCTCGTTAATAAAATTATAAGAGAAAAATATATATTTCAATTATAAACATTTTAATTATACATTTAATTAAGATGGATCAAATATAATGTAATAATTTTTTTAGATTTTATATTCTTTAATCTCTGTTTAAAAAAAAATTCAACATTATTTGTGATTATAAAATAAACATTATTTAAAAAAGCAAAAGATAAAATCTTATTGTACAATTTGATACAAAAAAACAATAAAATATTATATTAAATTATATAATATATATATAATTTAATATAATATAATGTACATAAAATCTGATATATTTTATATACTTAATACAGGAATGTAAGAAAATTGGCATAAACAATTGATGACCATAATAATTGAGATGTTAAACATCTTACTATAAAATCATTATGTTAAATTATCATGTATAAAAATAAATAAAATTAAAACATTTTTCTTTCTATAAACGTTTTTTCTCTCTGTGCGGAAAAAGTATTATATAGGCAAATTTTATTCGTCGCGGTTTTTATTTAAAATGCAATCGCGTAAATAAAGAATCCTTTACAATGAAAGAAATTCATATCACGATGTTCCAGATTAAGTCACATCAAAGTTATTTGGAAGAGCACATTCAGTACTTTTGCATCAGAGAGAACAGTATTATAAATGAATTGTTAATATAAGTATACCTTGCTCACGTGTTGTACAAACATATACCAACATTTATATTTAATGCTTTTTGGTTGTCAATAGGATACTTCTTTGAATACTCTTCCACATATATTTTCATTCTTCCAAGTTTTTTTCCACCAGTAATACTTGGAAAAATATCGTCTAGTTTGTATTTCTTACAAATAAAATATATTGCACGCTTTTTTATCACGATGTAATAGATTCTTGTTTGTGATTTTTAGGATCGATATTTTTTTCTATTGTATCAATGAAGTTAAATCCATTCATCTTCACACTTATATTGTTTCCATAAGTAATCATCGATAAATCTTTGTAATGTTTTTTGACGACTATACTTTCGATATTATCTTCGGTTTCTTCAATATCATCGTCAGTGGATGTATCCTGACAATCTATTATCTTTACATTCTGTCCATTTAAATCATGTACTGATGTATGATTTATTTTTTCTTCAGAAGATTTTAACTTCTGTTTCAATTTGTCGTTTTCATCGAAACTCAATGCCATATGTATTTCAGCATGGGTTCTAAATAAAGCGAATGATTTGCAAGTAAAGTCACATTTATCGCAACACAATGTTCTTGTACACATGTCTTTGCGTATAAATGTCTTCCTTTGACCATCGTGTTGTTTAGCCATGTGTCTGTTCATGTCGTACTTATTGCTAAAAGATTCGTCACAAAAATCGCAAAAAAAAAGCTTCTCGCCCTTATGCTTCGCGACGTGCATTTTAAAATACCAGTCAGTGCTGAAATGTTTCGAACAATAGTCGCAGATAAAAGTCTTCTTTTTCTTTAATAGCTTTTGTCCTTTGTTTTGCAACTTTTGTATCGAAAACTGCTGTATCGGAACTTTCTGAGCGTCATTTTGTTGCGATGTGGTTGCCTTAGAGGTGGTAATAGTCGTTGTAACAGTGTTAGTGGTAGTAGCAGCAGCTGTAATAGCAGGCTGAAGAGACTGTGGGATAGTTACCGGCGTTACTACATTTTCCGCCATGATGCAGAATTTGGGAATACCCTGCGTCCGATGTAACAATGACGGCGCGGTTATCAAATTAGTTATAGGCACCACGCGTATCGGCGTTAAGATCGATTTACTCTGAATCGGTGTGGTCGTTAAAACATGTGACGGTGACACGACCCAATTGTTTATCGACAAAGGCTGAATAGTGGTGGTTTGAGTTGATGGACAAGTTGTGAGACGAACAAATTTATTCTTTAAAGATGTAACTGGAGCAGAAGTAGAAGGAACGGAAGTGGGAGTCGAAGTAGATGTCACGTACGATTTCTGCTGCAAATTTGGAAATGCAACTTGATTTATCAATTGCAGTTTGCTCTCTATTGGACGCGATGTGTTTTGCGATGAAATGGTGAACGGCACACCTCTAAAGAGATTCGCAAAGTTATTTTCTGAGTTAATTTTGATAGGTTGAGTATTAGATACGTTGGTGCCGATTGATTGAGTGCTGGGTATCGAAGTTATGGTGATAATCGGTTGTTGACTAGGCGTTGTTTTTGGAATGATTATTATTTCCTCGTTCTTTCGCAAAGTCTCCATAGCTTTTACGGGATCCGAGTAATCGTTTCTTTTCATTTTTGCGATTTCTAAAATTTGCAATTCACGTTCGCGCATCCTCTCCTTTAGCAAATGCACTCTATCAACATTATTGTGCCTATATTCGTTCTTTCTCGTGCAATTCTTGTGATATATCCGAGTTTGCGATCCTTCCAGCGTTATCCCACAAATGTCGCACACGCGAGATCTATCGCATCTATGTAACTTTATTAACGCTCGACGACAACGATTATGATCGATGCTCAACGCGTCGCAATGTTGATTTTTGCAATGCTTTCCGACCAGTGCGTTTATTTCTTCCTCTTCTATGTTCACTGCTAACATAGGCGACACTCTGTCATTATCTACATACTGCTGCACCATCACATCACAAACAATGCTCTCACATGGTTCATAGTGACCACATAATTTTTTCTTAACAGGTAACATAGAAATTTCCGATTTCTTGTCCTCTATTTTCGAAGGCAGAAGATTAGCATCCTCTTTTTCTTCATCTGGTATCTTCACAGGAACTATTGACATTGCAGGTGATTTCACATTATTCAGTGTTGTTGCATTCTGAATGCCATTTCTTTTATTATCAAATATATTCTTGTCCAGTTCAGTTGTTGAAACTATATCCTTTAAAGGAATTGTCTTGATAATAATGTTTGGCTGATTGAAAAGACGTTTTACTGGATCTGATTGCAACACCTGTAAATAACATTGTATTATTTTAAATTATAACTATAAGTAATTGAGCATTATTTTAAATTATAACTATAAGTAATTGATTACTGGAAACATTAACATTCAACATAGGATATTCTTATCTAAAATATTAATTTATTTTTCTGTTTGCACATCAACTATGTAACTTACTTCTGCTAAAGCAATCTTCGTCACTTTGTTTAGACACATGTTAGACGGCTTTATGGGTACAAGATTGGGCAATGGTGGGTATGACATCTTCACCATGCCAACGCGTGCAATCTTAGACTCTCCTGTAATTTAGAAAATTCGGTCAAAGCGCGATCGACGCTGAAGATTACAAATTTTCAGTCTTTCTCATTCTGCTTCGCTTATATATTGACCTTATTCACATCGCGTAAATATAAGACGGAGCGAACGAATCGGAGCAAAAAATATTGTGCGGCAGAAAATGATTTCTTATAGGTTAGTCTTCAAATTAATAGATCAAATATATCCGGCATTTCGCGCATATTCTTCCTTGATTATGCTCATTCTGTCGTGCATGTAATTTTTTAATTCATACTTACGAGAACAACTCGCTACGATCGATTTACATTCGGTGCCATAATTTAGAATTCGGATGTAAAATTGTTGGCGTTATTCGTGCAATTTTCCTCTTTCACACAGTGGTATATAATTCTTTTTTTTCCGGTAAGTGAATTTTTTTCGACGACACATATACGCGGTTGACAAACCGGATCCCGAGCGTTCGTTTAAAGGGACGATGATGCTCGCGCTCCGATGTTCCGGAAGCGCGCGACGCGAGTCACGGAGTCGCGGTCGCGAAAATAGCGACAAAAATCGCAAAATAAATTTTGACGAAGGCGATTATCGACACCGACGACGAAACCGCGAATGCACGTACGAAGGCTCCGCGCATGCGCGCGTCTGCTGTCAACGCTACCCGCGCATGCGTGCGTCTGCTTGTCATCGCTGTCCGCGCATGATCGATCTTATTGTTAGATCGCGCTCTTGAGAAAACTCGCTTCTTTTTTTTACATTTTTTCCTTTTTTTATATAAATATATATATCTCGCACTGCGCGTTCTGTTCTTCTTATTCTTTTATCACGCTTTCTTCTAATCTTCTCACTTCATCGCGCTTGTATTGAAAAACATCGAGTGTTTCAAGAGCGATGTAATAATTTCGCAATCATGTTTGTCTTTTGAAAGAAATCTGCGCAGTTTTAAACTCTATCTTTTAAATATTTGCTTTTATTACTTAGCGAATTTTGCATGTAAAAATGGATAATATATATAGCATTTGTTATTAATTTTATCCTATTTAAAAGTTACAAGACTTTAGCCTCTTTAATAATAAAAAAAAGATTAAAATAAGAATGAATATTAATCATAATTAAATTAATCAAAGAATTTATAATGCCTTAAGATATTTGTATCAATTTTATAACAATAACAAGGATATAAAATTTGCAATTATAGGTACGTTGCATTTTGAATTATTCGTAATATATATTTTACTGTACACTTTTATTTACGCAAATATTAAAAATTATTCTGTTTTTGATCGATAATGAATTCTTTCGCAAAATGTAGAAATACAGAAGATGGTTTAAACAAATATTTAGTTGGAATAGACTTTATTGTAACATTGTTATGGTTTAAGGTAATGTACACATTATCGTAATTAATTATTGTAGTACTTATCTCAGCAGTGTCATAGATAGGATGCTACTTATCTTTGGTACTGAATGTACAATATGTATTGCAATGATGCTTGTTGTTGTTACTTACTAAACGGTGTGAGATGAAGTCTTGTAACTTAATTATATGACATATGTGATTGGCTGTATAACTGCTTGATAACGATCGTTGTATATAAGCCAATTTTTGTCGGATATTTTTTATTACACAGTTAAATTCGTAATTACAATTACACATTGCAGTTTAGTGTATGACCTTTAATTCTTCTTTCTTTTTTTTCTTTTCAGAGTTGTACTCTTACTAAAATAGCATTTATTTATTAATAACAAGCAGATTATTGAGCCAAGCCTTCTCCTCGAACGTGTATGCAAAGAAATGCTTGATTGTCTCATAATGAAGCAACACATACGACGTCACGCTTAGAGAAACAAGCAGAAAAAGCAATGCACAGTACGTGAGTAAAAAAGCTTTATTGAACTTTGGCAAAATTCTGTATGATTTTCTGAATACTCGCATGTAGGAACTATTACAAACTGCATACTATGAATGAAAAATTATCCATCGGATTTTTTCGTACGACAAAACATAAAGAAAACGGAACGGAGTAAATGCACTCATATAGCCGACTCTGAATCAGTTCAATAAAACCTTTCCACAATTTTACGCTAATATATTATAATAAAATTTATATATTTTTTATATTAAAAAAAATCGAAGCTGTTTCACAATTCTCGCACGTATAATGCGTTAAGGGTAACTTACAACTTAACTTATCCAGTCCAAAGGTACATTGTATAAAACTTAGTTCTCTCTCTCTCTTTTTCTTTCTCTATGTGCCTATTTTATATAAACAATATTTACACGATCAGTCAAATAAATAGTTTTAGTCTTTGCGTTGAGAGCGGCCTTAAACGAAACAAGCCTTGTCGCTAATTCATTTACGCGGAGAACGATGAAAAAATAAAGGCGTGATACTGCGCGATCTAAATACTTCATGTGATTCAGATTTTAATTTAGCGTTCAAAGAATATCAATTTTACTCGATTCGCAGTGTTACGTTACTATCGAAATCTGTTAACATTTACAATTTTCCTAACTAATGGCATTTCAATTTTGACTCCTCTGGAATCTCGAAGGTACAATTTTGTATATATTTTCTATATATCCTAGATTTTGTTACATCTTAATCTTTGGAAAGAGGCCTTCTATTAACAGAATTACGTCTGTCAGATATGGCTGCGATTTCCGATAGCATTTTAACTTAATGGCGCGTGATTTTTTTCGATACAATCTACTTTGTGTATCGAATTCGGTTAAGGGCACAAATTTTCGCACATCGATTTTATAATAATTGATGAACCTTCAGTGGATTAATAAAATGAATACAAGAATAAGTTACGTGCAGTTCAAAGATCTCCCTTCTTGCCTTTTCTCTCTTTTTCATTTTTTTGCCTCCATTCGCCGAATATCTATTATAACGGGGCCTTCATCATATCTCATATTTGTGTAGTATGATATAAAATAATTTTGGTCGCATCTATAGCCTGCTAGTCGTAACAAGGTGACGTATAGTGTATTTCTGTGCAGTATTTCTTTATACATGTACATATATCACAGAGGTTAATTAATTTTCGTAACACGCCCTTCTCCAGTTTTTAAGCGAAAGTTTCGAAAATAATATCGCTTACCTCGTAATATCGCTTCTTATAAAATGCTTAAGATAAATATTACGGTAATTATTGGCTTACATGTGTAGGTACGCTTGAACGTCGGCAATGTGTGGGTAGTCTCTACAAAAAATATTTGACAATTTTTAAGTGGATGCTATTTACAATTTTCAATACTATTATTATGTCTCGCTTATGTAATGGCCACGTACGACCGCAATTTTACAATATCCTGACAAGAAATATAACATTTGCTCGTAAAATTAGCGGTTTTTCTTTTTTTGTGAATCTTAAAGGGAAAGATTCGCGATCCTTGTACTATTTTCTTCTTTCAACTCCCATTTAAGGATTCTTAATTAAGAAGTTACAGAGATATATATCGCCCTCGCGTATCTACCCCAGATAGTAAAAGTAATTATTTTAACGTCAAATTACGTCATTTCGACGGCAAAATAATGTCATAATAATTACTAAGTTGCTATCTGGGACATTTATACTCGTCCACGCTTTGTATAAGCTTGAACGTGTATATTCGTTTACATATATCTTCTCCAACGAGAATGAATCAATGACGGACTAGAATGTTTCAAGTCTAGATTTTCTTCGCTTCTCTCTCGCGAGATGATTACTTGTTTTATTTTTTCCTTTTTTTTTACGTCGCCACTGCTGACTTCCGTCACTTCGGTCGCGCCGGCATCGGCTTTTTATTATTCGCACTAGATATAGTTCTCGTGACACCAGAATTGTTTTTGTTGGCCTCGAACTTTTGCTGAAGCGACGCCACGTTGAATTTACCACTCGCCGCCCTTTGCAGCGGAGTTGTCTTCGCTCCTCCATCCTCGCCCTTGATTGTTTCAGAATTCTTGGCGGATATCTTGGACGTCGCACCTTTGACGTTATTCGAATCCTTGACAGTTGGCGATAATGTTTTAGCTACGCTCGCGTTGCCAGTCGGAGACTTCTTCCTTTCCGAGAGACCAGTCGTTTTGGACGTAATGTTTAGAGGTTTCAACGGCGTCGTAGGCGTCTTTTGTCCACTCCTCAGCAGCGTGGGTGTCTTGTGAGTGGATGTCTTCAACGGGAGACTGAACTTTGGATTGCCACCCACAACGTCTGGCGACTTTGTGCCGCCTTGATTCGAATTCGAGCAGCTCGAGACCAAATCTGGACTATTGAACTTGCCCGGATTATCCTTAGGACTACAAGGCACATTTTTGACAGATACGGTTGTACGCGATTCCTCCTTATCTAAATCGCTATTCGACTTGGTCGCGTTCAGTTGCGTTTGCCTCGCGTCCGAACGCTGCTTCGCCGAATTTATCGAACTCGCGTCGGACCCTTTCGAAGACGATTTCAACGATTTTAATGTATTATCTGAACTTTGTCTCGTGAGTTTTATGCCGGACTCGGGCGTTTCTTTCGAAGTCGGACTTTTCGCGATGTTCGGTGGCGTTTTAGTCCTGTTCAAAGGCGGCTTAACCGGAGCTTTACCCTCAACTTGGTCGTCCTTTTTGATATGTATCAAATGAGACGGTCGAGTCTTCGTCGGAGCGAACGATTTGTACCCTACAGAATTCTCAGGCGGCTTCATGCCGAGTTCCTTGGACAGCTCGTCGTTTATATTAGGATTATTAGACTTCAGGTTATCTGGCTTGTTCTTTTCGACAGGTTTCAAGTTGTCGTTCGTGTCCGAGATATTTTTATCCATCTCTTTCCTGTCCATTTGCGGAATATTTATCACGGATGGATGAAGATAACCGGAGCTGGTGGTGGAACTCGAGGAATTGAATTTACCGGAAGTCGAGTTCGAATAAACGCTCCCAGGGGTCTTGTAGTGGCTCGAATTCATATAATTACCCAGGGAACTGTCAGAGCTTGTGCTCTCTGCATTTTTACTTTCCGCGTTCTTCTTATTATTCTCCCTCTTCTTCCTGGTTAGCGTCGAGGTGGAGTATATAGAATCGAAATTGCGATTCGAGATCTCCGATACGATTTCCGACAGCAGGCCCATCGATTCTATACCACCGGTGGACGTGGCGTCGATACGTTTCGGTAATTTGTATTCGTTATCGACCATTGTGCCTTCCAATTCCGTGTTCTTCCTGTTCTTCTCTGGCACGGATTCCTCTATCACCGCGTAGATATTGTCATTCGTAGGCGATTCTTCCGTGATCTTGGTCAAGGCCGATTCCGCGATCAAGTTCATGCAGTCATCGTAAATGTTCTCCAATGGCTTCACGGGTGGATTTTGATAACCGGGCAGTCCCGGAATCTTTATCGCACTCTCCATTGATTTTTCCGTCTGCGAGATGTTCGGTGGACCAGGAGGTGGCGACGTAGGTCTCGCGCTGGTGGGAATACTGGTGGGTCTCTTGACGGGCGTCGTCTGACGCATCGAACCGAACGTATGAATAAGAGGTCTTGGCGTAACTTTGCTGTCCCTCATTGACTGAGCGCGCAGAACCACGTTTTTTTTCTCGGCTTCGGCCTCCGACATCACCGGGATGACCGGCGTGGCGATCTCGATCTCCTTCTGTGGTATTGGATTGGAAATCTCTAAATTTCTCAGGATCTCCTTGTCAATAACCTTATTGGCCTTGTGATGCTGACTTCTCGGCAGAGAATTCGTGTTCCTTTCCTCCCTCTGGGAGTTGCTTCTCATGATGCCGGAGCCAGGACGTAACATTGATGCGATTCGATTGAGCGTACTGCCTCTATCCGGCTTCTTCTCAGGCTCCGGTAAGATCACGTTTGTCAAAGGCGTGCTATTGGGTCTCTGCGGCTTTGCGGGAGCCGTGGAGCCGGCAGGCGGTGCCGGGGCAGGTCTGGTGGGTATCTTGGTGGCCGCCAATTCGACGGACGTGCAGGTTGTAGCTGCTAATACTGGACTGCTGATTAATGGTCGCGCCGTAGATCCGGGATTCAACGGTGGCAACATCGGTGCGGTCGCGTCGTTGACATTAGAACTCAACAGACTGCTTCTCTGTGGGACGTTGCACCTTTGCATGCTCGATTTAATTACATTCGTCTTTATCGCTACGGTAGGTATCCACCCTGGGGGTGGAGGCGAGGCCGGTTTCGTGGGCTCGGCCAGTTTGGATTGATTAGAGTGAAGCGGCGTGATCGTGAAACCTTTAAACTGGCCGAACATATTGTTGGTATAGCGCTCGTCGGCCTCTGTCTTAGGCAGCAAACTCACACACGCCGGATCCTGACTCAAACTAGAATCGATCGTCTCGATGTTACGAGACATGGGGCCCGAACGATCGATCGTTTTGATCAGCGATCCATTGTGGCCGCGATCGGTCCTGAAATTTGAAGCAGAATTATAAGCAAAGGAATTGAGGAACTTGGAAGAGCAATTATTGTAATACTTAGTGCCTGGCTAATAAAAACATATAGTGATTTGTAATAAGATAAAAAGTCTGAACATCTTTTCTCTAATCGGTATAAGTTACAATACAAAATACATTGTGCTTTTCCCCCTTGTGCAGATCTTGATAATAAAAAAATGTGTACGTGTTTATCAAGATATTAAAATAGTACGAGAATATAAATTTTTATTTCTTTATCATATACCACAAACTTTATTTAACACATGCAAATATTTAGCATTATGTGAAAAATAATCATGTATAAGCATTTCTCAAATGCCATTCACCATAAATTCAAACACATGCGCAGGCAAGAAACAATTGCAGGGAAATGTTAGTTACAGATTAAGATATTAGTAGAGCAAGCAACTGGAGAAGGAAATCATTGAGGAAGACTGAAAACACTTTGTTTTATAATCGTATATCGATGCTACGTTTATTCAATAATAATAATCGTACATTTTATTAATCTAAATATGAGTAACATTCGTTGAAGATTCATCTTCCATATCCAAGAAATGAGTAAAGAAATAAAAAAATATTCTTTATTAATAAAAATTAAGTATTGCTTATGTAATCGTTAATATAATATAAAATAATCAACAAAATTGATTTTTAAATGTCCTCCACATTTAGCTTCTAATTTATAAATTGCTAATTTTCCTAAAATGCAAAGCTAGTAAGAAGAGAATTTTTATTCATGCTCATGCTCATAAAACATGATTTTCTGCACATGCTCTATACGTTACGCAAACTATTCAATCTCCGTCTTTGTCGCGCAATATCACTTTGTATCACTTTATAATTATTTTATATAAAATTTCTTTTTAAACAATTTTTTAAATTTATTATATATATATATATATATAAATTTTTTTATATAAAATATTCGTTGGTTTCTAAAAAAAGAACAATATTTTGTTCTTCAAAATTGAATGCCTTAATATTAATTATCATGCATGTAGCATTGATGTATTAATAGTTTGAAATATGAACTTATATAAACTAGAATAGAGCAAAGATAAATAGTTTGCAGGTGTATATTTAATATTCTAATATATATTGATATATATTAAATTCAGATAGTTGCAATATTTAATATTTAATTAAGAGTAAATTAAGAAAAAATAAGCCTTCTAAATTAGATAATAAGTTTTTTAAAGTACATAAGCAATCACTGAGAACAAAATGCTGTTCATCTAACAAATTTTTAATTTGCGATCAAACCAAATATTGCACCAAAAATGTATCTAGTTGAAAATATTAAATAAAAAGTGTACATCACAATTACTACGCCGCGATTATCACATTCTGTATCTCATAACGCTTATTATTGTACATAAAAAATGTGTTTTGAACGGATTTAATCATGATAGACATGCGATATATAAACGTGATACGATTTATATTATTTATACTTATTCTTAGCTATTAATTTTATTTTTTGTTTAATTTATGTAAAATATCATTATAAAATTTATATAACAATATACCAGTGAGCATATTATTACGACTATCAGCAGTTGGAATCACAGTAGGAATTATTTTAGCGTGTTTTGGTAACAAGTAATGTATCCAAATATTGTTTTTATATACCACCACCATTTAAATCCCTGTATTATAATGCAAAAATCATAACTCGCAAAATGTTATGATATTTGCACTATATATTAAATAAAATTGTTCTTAAATTAATAATCCATTTCAAACGTTTATTTAAAAAATATATTCGCGGTGATAACTGATTCTGATCTTTTTTTTAATTATAATCTCACTTTTCATATATTGATTTGATCCGTGAATTTCTTTAATTTGATTAATTTTTGTAAATGATATGGTTTTAATTATAACTTGATTATTTCCCGATCTAACAAAATCTGAAGATATCAGCTCCATTATATCCTATCAATTATAAAATAAATTTTGAGATACGAGATTTTATATAAGTATATCACACATAATACACTATATAAATAATACATCAATAAATTGTTCTAATATTACGTGAAATTTCACAAATATCTACGCGCGATTAGATTCATACAGATAGATCAGAAATCGCTTAGATCTTTGGCTTTAAGCTTTGAGCAGGTGCCGGTGGCGGCGGCGGTTTTTTATTATAAAATGGAGCAGGCGTCTTTGAATTAAATAATACGTCCGTTTTTGGAGTAGCGTCAGACGTACTGGCTGGACTCTCATTCAAGTGCTCGAATTTAAATTCTGTGTGGAGTGTAAGTCCCTTGACGTTTTTAGGCGATTTTCTCTGAATCTGTTGAATACACTCCGATATCTTGGAGCCTAATTCTGATTTAAGCGGAGCGATTCTCTTCGACTGAATTTCAACGGCAGGCATCGAAAGAGTCGCAACGTTATCCTGCGTTTGGGGCTTTGCGCTAACGTCCGGCTTTATGTTGCCAAATAGCAATGATTTTCTGTACTCGATATTATTACTACATTTGATAGCATCCGGATTGGTGGTGGATATCAGATCAGTCTTAGTTATCTGTAGCGATTCTTTGAGCGCGGCGTTATCACTGACTGTAAATATTTTGTTGTTCGCGTTACGAGTGGTATGTTTTCGCTTCGGCGTGAAATAAGCGAAGATCACCCCGAAAAATTTGCTACCGGCAGTGTCATGTGTCTTTGACGTAGGAACACCGAGTGACTTATTAGCATGCGGTTTGCGTTTCTCTTTAAAACGGTCGAAACTAAATACGTACGTAGACATCACGTCCTTCTTCCAGTGCTGTCCGGAATTCCTGACGTACCAAACTCCGAGTAACACCAGAGCTACGGCGGGCACCACTCCCAAGAAGATAACGTAGAGCGCGGTTATAAAATCATTCCGCGCTGAAAGCACATGAAATGCACATCATATATAGTAGAAAATGTAATTTATAAAAAATCAATATATATCTCAAATTAAAATGTTTTCTTAGATTAGTTAATAGTATTAAAGAGTATTATTTTTCCACTGAGAAATTGATTAGAACGCTAAATTCCGAGAAACATTAGAGCTATGGCGGGCACCACTCCCAAGAAGATAACGTAGAACGCGGTAATTAAATCGATCCGTGCTGAAAGCACATAAAATCATATCATACAGTCGAAAATCTAGATCTATAAAAACATAATGTATGTATATCTCAAATTAAAATGTGTTTTCTCAGATCGAGTGTGATTTTCCATTAAGATTATTTAGAATGCTAAACAAAAACGTGATTTTTTTACTTCTATCGACTAATACATGGATGATCGATGAATATAAATACGTAAAATATTTACCGTTTGGATCTTCGGCTGGACCGCTATCTTCGGAGCCTCCGATTCCGGGATTGAGACAGTCAGGTGGTCGAAAGCCGCGGTTACAATGGCAATGACCAAGACTGTTACATACTCCGTTACCGTTGCAATTATTCGGGCAACCTTTACCGCCGGATACGGATGCTCTCAAATCCGACACTGACATACATTTTTGATTTACGCACATCTATATATATAAGCAAATTATAATTATTCAAATTATATCCAATTATATTTCTAGTCTACTTCACAATAAAAAAAAATATACTTTCGCCGTTGGAAATACTTCACCTTTCCGGGTGCACACTTGGCACCATCCGGTGCGAGTCCAGGATCGACCTCGTTCAATCCGAGATCAACTATGGCCGAACGACACGCTATTATTTTCCCGCCGTTATTGATGAAGGAGTGACTCAAGGTTGCGACCGACTCCATGCCAAATTCAAGTCGTTCATTCAAATGTTTACAATGTAGCATGCCGCAGAGGACATTTCTACAACAGATTCGATACATCAAACTCCAACTTCTCTCACTTCTATCATTCTCGTATGCGATATAGTCCCAACTTACCCATTGTTGCATTTAACGAAGCTCGCGTCGATGCGATTGTAACCGCAGTTACCGTTCTTCGTGCCTCGATTGTTCATGTCGTAACACTGTGCGTCGGAGGACCAACCGGTGGGGCCCCACAGGAGTTTGCATTGATCATCATGTGTCCTGCACGAGCCCTGATAGCAGAAAGCTTGGCCCACGCTGCAACCTTCGCCGTCCATCTTAAAGACGTCCGCCGGACAATACTCACTCTGACCCGTGCAATATTCCGGCAGGTCGCATTCGTGTTCAGCGCTTCGGCATTCCGTGCCCGCGCTCTTCGGCCTGCAGGTCTTCAGGTCGCAGCACTCACCGGTGGCGCAGCTTGCATTACTATGCAACATACAGGTGGTCACATTGCAGCAGGGATTGTCGCAATTCTCCTTCAAACCGCAGTCGCACTGTTCGCCCGATTCAACAAATCCGTTGCCACATATGGGACTGTCAAAGAGCTTTTGCGGCTTGTTCCTCAAACAGTAATCCATACCGTGTTCGAAGGCTATAGCCAGGTGTTCCAACGAGCAAGTAGACCAATGTGTAGGTCCGGACGAGCCGCTGGACGATGCCATTATGCACCTGGAAGTGACACAATAATTTATTGAAGCTGGACTTGGAGCAAATCAGCGAATAGCAATTTTATTAAAGAAAAATAAAGCCACGACGCACTTCTCTTCGGGACAGCCGCAATCCGGTCCGTCGTGTTCCATGCCAAAATTATGACCCATCTCGTGAGCAACGGTGGCTGCGACTAGACCGACGACGTTCGAATGATCCATGGAAACACCGCCAGAGAATTCGTACGTGCATATCGGTCCTTTAAGAGCCTTGCCGACCACTCCGTTTTCGAAGGTGATTCGCCTGGTATATCGAGAAACAAGAATATCAGATTCGTTATTTTTTTAACACGCAGTTAGAATCTACATAAGACATCTATGATATTACAAACAGTACTTACGTCAACAGCTGAGCGTTATCGTTGGGTATATCCTGGACCAACTTCTCCCTACGATAGCGCAGGAAATTAGACAGAGTGGCGTCGCCGTTCGGTGATAGATTTATCTCGTCCGACTCGGACCACACTTGCACGCCAACCAGAGCGATGAATACGTTTAACGGCATATACAGCTACAAACACACCGAAATACCCTCGTCTTGTATTTTGCATGGAGATTTCGCGGTATCGTGATACGGTTGAGTACGCGCTAATTAATCTCTCTGTCCAGCTGCATTGGAGAGTGTACGCTGAATATACAGAGTGTCGTGCTTTCTCTCCGTTGTAAATATATTAAAGGTCAAACGGAGATCCATCATTGTCGTTGATGATAAATTTAAAAAAAGAAAATGGAATAAAAAATATTTAAACTTAAGACCGATTAGCAGAATTTTATTTAATATTTCAAGCAAATTTTATTTTTAACTACTTTAATTACCGAGAAATTTAATCTCAAAAATTGCATATAAATCAATTTTTGAAAAATAATGAATTTAAACAAAGAAGAGAGTAGTTGCTCGCATATAATTAATAGAATTTCAGTTCTTGAGGTTTCTACTTTCTATAGAAAAAAGGTATCCACGGCTTGAGTATCCACGAGAACTTAATTATGTATATAACAGCCAATTAACTTAGATTAAGTAAAATTCGTGGAATGGAATTGCTAAACCTGATGGTTACAGTCCAGCGAATTTTAGGAAAAGGAAACCGCAAATGTTCAAAGCGTCTAATTGGATAATAGAGTTGTTGAACTAGCGCCGCTTTAGTTCGTTCTCATTCGACTTGAGGTCGAAATGAATTATACGTCTAGTTAAGTGACAACGATGACGTTACTTACAGCATTGATAATGTTGGCGATGTCCTTACAGTGCTGATGTACTTTATCCAGATTTTCGTCGAGCGCCATATATTCCTTCTTGTCGATTACAAGTACTAACTCTACGTAACGCGACTGCCTATTTGCATTGTAGGGTCCCCGAATAATTTCGGCCGCTCTTTTGTGCTATAAAAAAAGAGCGACGTGATATTGATTATAAAATTCATTAATTTTAGTTTTATTCATTAGAGTTAATAATTCAAATGCAAGATGGCGAACTCTGATTTTTCTTTTATCTCATCGAAATGCTAAATTATTCACTTTAGATTATTAAAAATTCAATTTTAAATAAATTTTCGCCAAGTGCAATAAAAGAAAGCAATTTCAAGACATGTTTACAATTATTTACGAGTCTTCCAACAAGAAGGACAAAAGATCGGAAGCAGAAGAGCATGTACGTGCAAGCAAGTCGCTAAGAATACGAAGCCTCCTGCGACTACGTTCTTTGAAGTCGTATATAATTTACTTCAGGGGGAAAAGGAAGAGGAAAAGCGGTTTGCGCGAAATTTTTGTTTTTTCCCGTCCTTCTCTGTGCACATACGTACCCTGGAGGGCCTTTTAATCTCGCGATGATCTCGAGAGAGAACGTGGTGCGGCGGCGTGCCTTCGTAACCTGCAACCGAGGAAAAACATCAGACACACAGGGACACGATCGTCGGCAGCGAGATTCCCGGTAGACTCGTGGCAGGACAAAGAGCCTCCGAGACCTTGCTCTCACATTCGTTAAGTCCGTTAAGGAGAGACCAGTCTTTCCGAGGCGGGTCTTTGAGCCCGCGAGCTCACAGAAGGAGCGAGGGCATCGTCACTGAGAGAGGACGAGGACCCGAGAGGCTTTAGCTGCTAAAGGCTGTGTTTCACTCATAGTCAAAGCTCGCGAATACCCTTAAAGAAGTCCGCGAAAATCGCATCACCGAAGTTTCTCGCGAGAACAACGGATACGATCTCGACAAACGATTTATAAATGTCAAGTTGTGAGTCAACTTATTAGTCATGAAACTCCGAGATCTTAATTATGAATGTCGTTAACTTCGTAAGACGCGACACGTGTCACGTATCTCCTCGAAGTAATAATCATCTCGTCTTTTCGAGGTCAGAAGCGGATACTTGCATAATGTTAATCATTAAAGGGAGCGCCTGCTTTAGAGAACCAAAAAATAGGATTGGTTTTTGAGAATTTTTTTGAAAAATTTACGAATCGTTCTGAATTTTTAGACATCTATTATTAAATATTTACAAATATACATTTTTTAGTCAAAAATGTGGACTGTGAAGGTCGCCTTTGAGGAATTGATTGTGAGTATAAAATTGACAATAGGTAGTGGAACGAAATAGTACGATTTTCAGTTAATTTTTTTTTACTTATTTATGCAAAAAATGTTTAAATTAATTTTTTTTATTAATATGTTAAAGGTTCATCATGTAATTTCATAAGTAATAAAAAAGTTTTTAGTTTTTTAATTTCAGACAAGATTTGGAGATATGAGAATGCTCGCAAATATTCAACTCTTGCGGTGAAGTTGCAAGAAGATTTTTATAGAGCGATCTTTACAGACCATATTTTTAACAAAAAATTTGTTGTGTATTTATAAATATTTAATTTAGCTTTTTGAAGTAGTCATTCTCCTAAGAAAAAAAAAGTATTGACAATAACTAAAATAATATCAATCGTTCTTTTTTTAATCTTTATCTTCTTAATCTTGATATTAGGTGTTTAATTCTTTGAAGAAACATCTATATGTAATAATATAGCAATATTAAATGGTTGATCGTCAGAATGCTTACCGCACGTATTATTGGCAATGAGATCGCTGTGCTTGTAAAGGTAATGCGAGGAATCCAAGTTCTCGTCTTCCGGATGGATGTAGTGAAGATTCTCACCATCGAAGATGACACCGCGCAATCCTCTACAAGTGGATAACGCAACCCACGAATCGGAAATATCTCGAACACTACCTTGGTAATGACAGAGTTCCTGCAAGATTCACATACGCGACTCGTGAATATTATTTATTAAAATACACACTTATTTTAAGAGATCCTTTTTGTCTCCAATTTTCTCTTAATTTTATCGACAATTTGTGAATGGATGTTCTCTCTTGGTTTCATCCTATTTACAATTTACAGCTTTTAGTTTATATATATGTATAATTTTCCTGGCTATAATACAACTTGCTACAACTCGGGACGTAAAACTGGAAAAAGTTTTCGCGTAATTTCATCCTAGCGAGTGAAAAAGAAATTCATAGTTTTTCATGAAGGTAAACTTTTAATTAAATTTATGTTTTAGCTTCGCGCGCACACACACACACACACATACATTTATATATATATATATATATATATATATATATGTGTATGTATTTTATTTCATCTGATATCTACTTCTGTCATTGAACGTGCGATTCATGATAAGTGAGTCACAATAATGCGATGATGCATCAAGAAATCGTGCACTCCAGAAGCTATGAGTTCGCGGTCTTATCTCGGTTTCTCGGATGCACATCGAAATCGTACATCGGCTCGCAGTACAAATATAGTTGTCCCAGATTTCTGGAACGTGCACACGCCGTTGGCGAACTCCGACGATTTTTCACGTTCCTTTTTCCGCCGCGAGGAATGAGGGAGGAGAGCCGTTTACTGAAGAGCAAGCACGTTACTTTCCCGAAAGAAATTGCTCCGTAGCACAAAGAAGCTCGATCTCGCAAAGGGTGGGTATCGGGATCGTCCCTGAAACGCTTTCTCCGTTACTAGGGCCATCGATCCGCGGTCCATTATTCGATTGCCAACATATAAGGGAGGTGTACACGTCGGATGGACGGGAATTGAATTAGCAAGGGAACGTGTCGATATCGTTCAATCATCATCGTATGATTATTTCATGCGAGCGTGATGCTTATTTATTACCAGCAGCTCGCATATTTCATTCGTTTTTGCTCGTCTCGCGAAAAAAATGCGGTAAAGACGTTTTTCGCAGGGCAAAGTTCCAATCTCGATAATAGATTTATAATATTTATAATCAATTTCTCAATAGCAATAAATTTACTCTTATCTGAAAAAAGCAGATTCGTATTCTAGAATTTTCAATATTAAATGATGCAAGAATTCATTAAACAATACAAGGATTTAAATGCACGAGAGAGAGAAACTAGGAATTTATTTGCATTCAAGGATCTATGTTATCGCGCCTCAATCGTCATCGAATGATTATGTAATGCAAGCATGATGTTTATTTATTTTTTCCAGCAACTCGCACATGTCATTTATTTTTACTCGTTTCAGTGAAAAATACTGTGAAGACTGTTCAGAGCAAAGTTCAAATTTCAATATTTTCGATTATAATCGATTTCTCAACAGCAATTTTATTCTTATCATCAGAAAAAAAGAAAAATGCGTATTCTAGAATTTTAGAATTTTAGTAGAATTTTAAATAATGCAAATATCGAAAAAATTGCAACGATTGATTTAAGAATTTATAAGAATTTAAAAAAAGAGATAAAGAAAGTAGGAATTTATTTGCATGCAACACAGAAAAAAAATTAGTTAAATTTTAGCTATAATAGTTAATATTTTTAGCTATAGAATTCTCTATTTAACTATAGCTAAAAAATATTAGTTATTATAGCTAAAATTTAGGCAGTATTATAGTAGTTAATTTTTTCCGTGAGATATCTATATGTTGTTGCGTATCTAAGCATTATATAAAAATATATTGCGTAAATTACAAAGCTTCAGTGAAAAAAAATATCAAATATCTTTTATAAATATGTTTTACATAGTTTTTAAAGAATTTTAAACGATCGATACACTTTGTTCGTAATATACACGGCTTTTAATTTTTTGCGCACACGTGATTGATTTATAGAGTAAGTTCGTGCGCGTTTAATTCACGTTAGACACAAAATATCCATAATCATCCCTCACCTATATGCGTCCAAGGATAATAACCGGGGACCTCGTTTGATATATAACGGATGGATAAAGCATACAGCTTGATTCATTGTCGGATAAGAGAAAAATTTCGCGAGAGCGTAACGTGCTCCATGGAAAGCGCGTTACGAGGCGTGTCGACGGAATATGAAATTTTGTATTCGCCCACGGTAAGCTTATCCTCGCTTCTATTAAATGTAATATCGCGTGCGCGCCGCATTGGAGATTATGTAGATTTATATCACGAGAGAGAGAGAGAGCGCTGAGCGAAAGAAAAATACATTTTGTAACAGCCGCGTCCTTATTACCGGGATGGTAAATTTCAGAACCGCACGTTGAGAGCGTAAAAAAAGGGCTTCTATATATCCTCGTAATAATAAGGGACTCCAATCGTTTTCCCTTTGGTGGGAATTGTCCCATCTATCGCGCGGTTCTATCTCGCATATATTTGCTTCTATTTTCTCCATTAACGAGCTTGAAATTAATTTATCCGCGCGGATAAAATGTATATTTATTACCACGAAGAACGGGACGATATGGAAGCCGGAACCGCCAATTAATTAAATACAATTGTGCAAAATATAATAGTAAATACGGTGCTAGCGTAACAAACTCCGACATTTGACGGCGATGAGTTTCACGCATGACTTTTGTCCCACATTCCCGATGACATTTTCTTATTCAATCATTGTTCGCCTATATAAACACAGCAAGATATCGCAATTGATGAGAAAGAAGCTAGTCTTTGTGGTTAATAACCAAGTAAATAGTATTTTTCACTTATTTTTTTCCCTTATTTTAATTTTACTTAAAAATGAAAATAAAAAATACTATTGATTTTATCATTGCTGCTTAAATTAATTCTATCATTTTCTTTTATATTAATCATAAGATAAATAAATTTTTAGCTTTAAATTTGCTGAGAAATGCTTCAATAAATCCAGAGTATTTTACTTGTCAATCATAATTAAGAGGTACAGAAATATAATATAATTATCATATCAAAATTGCAGAAAAATACTACTATAGCTTCAAATTGCAAAACAAATCAATGTTTATCACTGTTTTCATGTTTACATTTAATTTAATTATTTGTATATTAAAAGTTACTACTGCTACTTTCGCTAAAGTGATATAATCGTCACGCGACTTCGGTCAAAACTTTTTAATTAGTCGAATAACATTTAGAAATTCTTGTCATAAATTTCCATAAAATACAGGACAATCTCAATCAGTGCGTGAAATTAAGCATAATCGGTTTTTTTATTTACTACACGAAGTTCTCTTCTCTATTTTTATAGAATTTACTCCGAAAATCATGGTAATCGTGAGACAATATGGAAGAATTTTATAAGAATTTCTCTGATTAATATTTACTACAATAAAAAGTATTAATATATGTATATATTATGGTAAATATTAATATTTCTATTCTGGGGAATTAATATTAATCAAATAACTCACTCTCTCTTATAAAATTCTTCTAGTGTCATTGTCTCACGATTGCCACGATTTTCAGGTAAATTCTAAAAGAAAATTCTCTCTGTGTATATGTCGAATAATATAATGCCGAATATATTAAAAATCGATTTTCCATTTTTTTTGTTTTCTTTGCCGCTTTATTTGATTTATCGTCTGTAAGGCACGTGTTAGCCAAAATAGCTGCGAAAAGAAACGTTATTACGATAGACAGCGGAATCGGCCGAGTAACGTAAAAAATTGTCGAGTTTTCCCAGAGCGATTCTCGCGTTTTGCGCGACTCGCTTTGCGGATATGTCGCAATTCAACGTATTCTGTGACACTTTTTCCTTTTTTTCCATCCTTCCTGCCTTTCTCCCACCGGCGCTTGAATTATAAAGCGGAAACACTAGCGCTCGCGCACAGTTTTATAACGCGACGGCGTTATATGCCCGTCATCCGCCGAGCCCAATACATCGTCGTCCCTTATACACATTTGCTGTGTGTTTGCAACGAGACATTGTATTAAACATGCAGACAGACAGAGAGTGAGTCACTCCGATCGATTTCGGTCGAGTCGTTACACCTATGCACGGTATGCATGTACCTTATATATACCTATCTGCCAAGTCCATCCGCGATGACGGCAGACAGATACGGCCAGACAGAACGGCGGACATCCGCGGAGAGATTTTTAATTTTCGTGGGACCGGAAGTTTGAGCCGAGCGTGGAATCGAATAAACTTTCCCAGTTATAGGTGGATTTGAATTCTCCGAAATGGGAATGAAAATTTCTCTTCCGTTTGAAACGGAAATTACTTTTAATTATAATAACTAGCTATTTCTCTATTCTACCTGACATACTTTTTGGCCGATCCGATTAAATAAAACATCGTCTAAAGTTTTTTAGCGTTGGCCGATTATGTTGCAAATATATATATATAGCAACGTGAAATATCTTTTGTCGGTAGCAAGTTAATACAACGTGGTGACGTCAATGCAACGTTCGACAAAAGTTCTGGCAAATTAAAATTAAATTGTATAGGGTAGCCTTCTTTATATGGTTGCATCATAAAATCGATGCTTCTATAGTCGATTTCTAGAACCATCGTAAAACCGGGATTATTAACCTTTCTATCTAAAGATTAAAGTATAATAAAAACTAGATGTGAATAGGAAATGAGAAAAAATTTACATTAATATACATTAGCATAATTATAAATAAATTGCAAGTCTTTTTCTAGTAAGATAGCGATGTTGATCTTAAACAGCTGATTTGTGCTTAGCTCAGCAAAACAACGTTTAATAAACACAACATCTCGTTGCGCTTTATATAATGTATAAAGATTTTGAAAGTAATTAGAGAGATATGCGATGAAACAAGAATAAAATAATATTTAGCAAAAATGATAGGCGATAATAATATTTTAAAAATTATGCGAAACGTCAGAGATAAGAGGAATGTGTGAAAAATAACATGTCCCAATTATCCCTCTTCTAACGGAATGAACGATCGTGCATACGATCGTAAATTTTACATCGCATATCAAGTCATAAAATGACGATAATGCTCTTTTTTATGCGGCCATTCGACATATGTCATCGAATCGAGCGAGTGAATGGCCGCGTGCGACCAACCCTGGCTTCAAGTGGAATGTATCTTGGACCGAGCCCTCTCGATATCCCGATAAAATTACGCTTGCTCGATATCGATTAACCGACGTTGTTTGCGGAAAGGCAGTTAACACGCCACGGCGTGAATACTGTGGGAGTATCCAAGTGTACTTACAACTTTCGACGGGGTGTGCACTTTGTACGTGCCACGATGCTGGTGGCGTTGCTGATAGCCGACCGGAATTAAATCGGTGTTCAGTCGAAGGTCGAGAACACGCTCGACACCGTCCACGTTGAAACCCACCGTCAGCACGTCCGCGTGCTCGATGTCCTGAAAAATACAAAAAATATCGCAATCTAAAGTTTCTGTCCGTTGATCAATTTTTCTTCCTTTCTTACGCCAACGCTACAAAAAATGCAAAACTGTGCTTCGAAGGATCTATATTAATCAATGATATCAAGTTTCAACTGATTGGGAATTTAGAAGAAAGGATTGTAAACGAGAAATAATTTTTATCATTTATCACATAAAAATATAACATGTATTGAAAAAACTATTCTCATCAAATATTTTAAAAATATTATAAAATATTATATTACACATAAAAATATTATATAAATAAAAATATCATAATTTAATTTAATTCAAATAGAAACGAAAAATTGGATTTATATTTCGTCATGCTTTACACATATATTTATATTTTGATACATTTATATTCAATTTCAATTAGTAGTCTGTAATGTTTATTTTCATCATGTTTTCTAAAATTTGTTTTCATGTATATTATACTCTATTATAAACTTTTTGTATGCAAAAAATGATTCGTTGCGAGCTGATTCTTTCTTGTCACACCAAAGAGCCTGATTGCGCACCTGTTGCGTTAATAGCGATAAAACTATGCTTAGAGCTGAGAAAAGAAAATTTCTCTCTTGAAAATTGAATTCCCGAGATTGTTGTATCGACTGCAATTAATTTTATACTCTGATGCTCGCTTTCTCCGACCATGAAATCAAATGACTGAGTATCCAACAACCCGAGAATATTATATGAACAATAAACAAGAAACCGGACATCGGTGGAAACTTATTAATTGTTGAGCGATATTAAGCAAGCAAATAGCAAAACTTTTATTAACGAATAATTAATTCAAATGTAAAAAAAAAAGTAGAAAGTTTGTAAAAGTAGCGTATCTAGCATAAAATAAAATAAAATAGTATTCAGCTGATGTTTGTGAATTCCATTTTTCAATTTTGGAAATAATAAAGAAGATATTTAATTTCGTATGACAACAATTTAATCACGAATGACAAGATAAAGTAATAACTCGAGCACGCAGAAGTGATGAATTTTCATGAATTTCTGAAGCGCGATTTCTACGCCTATTTATCAAAACATGATTTCAATCCTTGATTACCAGAGCAATGGCAATTATTATTGATGAAACAGCTGACCATGCGTCGCATTTATCGTTTTCGGTACGATTAATGGAATTTACCGTCTGCCATATCGTTTGAAATCACGTAAAACAGTTAACAGTTATTAGATTACAATTCCGTGAGAGCGGAAAGCTCGGTTCGAAATTCATAAACTCTCGGAGAGAATCAAGCGCGTACGTACAACGTCATCCCTTTCGAGCATACGCGTGCCGAGTGCGAAATGAATTTGCGAATCTCGTTTGCGCCAGCGACATGGGCGATGTTTAATTCATGGGGTACGTCCCAGTCGGGATAAGCTCTTTTCCCGCGAGCGCTTCGTACCGCCGAACGCGGATGCTGCGTTATACCTGCGGGTACGCTGCACCGACGATGACATCGACAGCTAACAGCGGTTTGCTCGGTGATGGAATCGTTAATCTTGAGAGGACAATCTGGATCAATTTTTAGACGTATTTTTAGCAGTAAATTAAATTTGCTATCTTTGTCGAGACTCTTATTCAGAGTACCCAAATGAGACAGATTAAATCACAACGACCGATTTCCTCATTAATTTAGAACTGACTCTTTAAGTTTTTCAAATCGATTTTCTCGACGAAAATATCGCGCTTGTGAAATAATCAGCGAATAAAAATTGGATTGAATTCTAAATATAATATTAGAATATATTTTTGTGCCGTTTTACTTTAATCTGAATTTTTTTTAAGAATAAAAATAAAGTGCATCACTAACAGTAAATAAAATACCGCTTGTTGGAAGTAAAATTCAACGCTCTTTCGCTACAATCTACATAAAAAATTGTACAAAAAATTTATTAAAAAAAGTACAGAAAAATGTCAGAAGCCAGGCAGGATTAGTTAAGGTGGTCGTTGCAACTGACGTTTTAAAAATTTAGACGAGATCACGTGTGATTCCTAAACACCGCACAGCCATTTTACGTCCTTATTTACAATTTATGTTGACGCCAAGGAGAATACAAAAAACGCTTCTAACTAAGCATCTTTCGTCTCGCGCTTGCAAAGACGGAGCAGCTCGATGGAAGCTCGACTCTTAATTACTCTAAGTGCCGCGTTCAATTGAAATTGTGGCAGTAATTACTCGTGTAACGTAGCGCTGTAGAATTGGAGAACTAGCGCTTCCACGCTAGAACAGATAAATCGAACGAAGGTACTGCGCCAACATGCATTATTGATTAACCTTCTTGCCTTTCGATAGCGCAGTATCGCCTAATACACTTTTATGAACTCAACATCTTATTTTTAATAAACTAAGTCGCAGAAGATGAAGCATTTCACTTGCAATAATTTTGCGTCCGTAGTTGAAGCAATAAAAAGAATAGCATTTTGAAAAACTTCATCATTCAATTTGATAAGGAAAAACCTTTAATGTATGTTATGTATTGTATCTTGATTCAGAATCATTAAGTGTATGTATATATAATGATTTTTTTACTATAATATACAAGCGAAATTCTTGTTACTATAAATAATCAGAAACAAAATATTAACATTTTCTACAAAAACTTAGTATTTTGAAAACAGGATGACAAATAGATGTTTAACACGTGCGATTTTAGTTGGACGCTTATTTACGTAAAAGGGCACCTTTTAATAGGATTACTAAGTATTAGCAATGCATGAAAAAAATATGATAAAACAATGTCGGAGTTTTCATATTGCGAATATATGATCACTGAAGCGATTTTCAAATTTAATTAAATTTGATATTATTTTAAATATTATCTTATTCGTAACGAAAATTTAATTTCATATTAAAATTTTATTTCATATAATGAAAGAATTACATTTAAAAAGTATATATATATATATATATATATATATATATATATATATTATAAAATTGTCTGTGAAAATATTGTGATGATAGAAATATAAATTAAAATTATAGCTTAATTGATAAAACACGCGCTTGTTAAATGACGCCGATCTTTTATTAAACTTTCAGAGTAAAATTAATTTAATTATTATTACATTCAAATACATATATTGTGATAAGTCAGAATCCATTAAATAAAATATAACTTTTAATTCAACAGTCTCTGCATTATGAAGTTTCTCTATATTTATACGTGTTAAAAACTGACTTTCCAAAAAGAAACGCATTAAGCAAATTGAGGAGAATCTTCAATGTAATATCTGCGAAGCAGCTTACATTATGTCGGAAGACAAATGGCGCAGTAACGATATTTCTTTAGGAAGCTGTCCGACTATACTGTGTATGGGTCGACAGTACGTTCCTTTGAAATCCTTTCAGTGTGGTGTATATCATTGTTCAGTGACAGTTAGCAATCTATACTTGGCTCGTGGCCACCGCAGAAACCGTTTTTTGATATCGTATCGTTTGCTAGCTCTTATGCTGGCACGACCTGCATCCGTCTTCCGTCGATATCGGGAAACAAATATTGTACATAAATATATACCGCCAGGTCACGGCTATTTGGTATAGATATCTCACATTGAGATATCGCAATCTTCCTTTATTCAGTCAATATCTTTTGGAAGGATATAATTATTCCTTGTATAAATCATTCCCTCTTTGCGACATTTGCGCGAAAATTGATATCATTTTTCTTTTTTTTCTTCACGATATCAAGCCACATTTATATGTGTATAATTTTAAAATTTATTTTAATATTTTTAATTTACTTCTTTTTATATGTTTAAATTTGTTGCAGAAAATTAACAGAAAATATACACACATAAATATTTCTTTTATTCAAACTTTAGACGCAAATAGACACTACAAATAGATCAAAGAATTCATAGATAAAACGTAACTTGCTAAATTCGCAACATTTTATGTAATATATAAAATAATTGAAAATTTCATATAAATGCAGTCATTCTGTACACAATTTCGTTGGATTGAAAGTGGCTAAAGCAGACCCAAGGATATTGCCAAAGTAAATGCGAAAGCTCGCGAAAGTTCGCGGACACTTTTTGCTCTTCGCTCTGTGTTGGCGCATTCCAAACAATTTAGTTGGTAAAATTCAACAAACTACATTATCCGGCCTGTTGGATTAAAACAGCTGGTTAATCGTTTCAACTTTTCCGATGGAGAGAGTCCGGCTGCGCCGTGTCGTTCGCATGTCGACGGGAAAAATTCGCCACGCGTTGTCCTGCCCTTTTTAATCCCGTAAGCAGACGAGTTAATCCGACTCGACGGAAGGAAAAAGGAACGTAACAACGGAGGAGAAAAAAAGCGGAACATCCGGTAAAAACAGAAAGATATGGAAACAGAAAAGATTCTCTCGCGCGCGAGTTACCAGCATAAAACTCAGCCGAGATGGTCCTTACGTTCCATCCATTGTGTGTGAATACCCGTAAACTATTCTCGCTCACGTTTCCGGAGTTTCCGGTTCCGCGGTTCTTTCCACACCGTCGTCGATTGTGCGTGTGTTGCCCGCCTCCTCTCTTTTTCCCCTCGAAAATTCCAAGAAAAGAAAAGCTTTTGACGGTGACGCCGATCTTTTTAGGGAAATTCTGTTGGGGCCGCAGAAACGTCTGCCGCTGGGAAAGACAAATTGCGAGGAACGTTCGCACGAATAGAAATGCACAGCACGATTCACCCAGGACGTTTTGATTAATCGCGTTCCAGGGCAATTTGTGTTCAACATTCGACGGCACGATTACTATAGCTTTCATATTTAAATGCAGTTTTCGGAAAAACTTCTCTCTCCGGTTGTTATATATATAGTTTATTGTACTATAAATAAATAAATAAATAAATAAATATATATATATATATATATATATAATATCTCAAAAACATTTTTTACTAATCACAGTCGATATATTTAAAAAGTTATTGAAAATTAAGATGGCCTATTTATTTCTTCATTTTGCTTTATTCTGCTATCTTGAAAATTATGAT